ACCTTTCCAAAGTCGTATATGGATACGTGGTTCTCTCGTTATAGTAGCACTGGCATTAATAATGGTATATTCTCTGAGAGTAACTCCTTTGATTACGAATCTTATTAACTGACTTGCTCAGATCCTATTTTGTTAGTCGGGTGAATACTTTTTTGATAAGGTATTTAGAAAATACGGTATATTCCTTGAAATTCTTATCCCTAAGTTACCGTAAAATGTACTTGAATTTACCGCTTATCGGGATGTATTTAGTTCATATCCCAAATTCGAGAGAATTTTCTCCGTGTTGAATTTAGGACTCGCCCATGTTTCACACCACCACTCTTCACTGAACACAGACGAGAGATTCATCGCACCACTACACAGGAATAGAAGAAGGCATGTGAGTCACTTCACAGTGGTTGAAACTGGCGAGCGCCTGACCTGTCACGTGATGACCCTCAACTCTCTCTCCCTCTCCATCTTTTTAGGAATCACATAAATTTTAAATAAAACAAAAAAATATTGTTTAAAATTCTTAAATTCCCACTATTTGAAAAATTGTAAAAACAAAATAGGATTCGGTATTCTGGATTCGATCTGAATATTCTAAAATATTCTGGGATAGTAAATCATTCTACGTTGACTATCCCTACGATATAAAAAATGCCACACACTACCGCACTCCGAGTCTCGAATCAAGGTAAGTCACTGCCATCTCAGTATCGACTTAAGTTTGAATTGAGGAAATTTATAATTCTCGAGTATCAAAAGTCATTGTATCAGGTGACATGGACAACAAGGACTCAACTGCTATTGCTACAAGGAAATATATTAAGATGTAACAAATGAGTTGTAAAGCTTGTGTTGTTTAGAGTTACTTGCTAAATTCATGTTATAAAATGATTTCGAAAGAAATATAAGCCATAGGAAAGGGAATACACGAGAGTGCAGAAAATGAACCACTGCGTGATCGGATTGCCATTTCCGGAAATTTTCCAGGTCCTATAAAGTATAAACTTTGCAAATGCATTACTCTCTATGTTTCATCTACATATGCTTATTTTAATCCTGTTTTTAATTTTGGTCGGCATGCGGAAGAATTTTTTCGTTAAATTTAGCCGATTTTGTCACACGAGCCGAAAAAGATTGCCCACCCCTGTCTTACACGGACTTTGAACCACTTTAATTAAATTGATATGAATAAAATTTGTTTTACGTATCCCATGCTCATAATGCTCCCATGTTCATAGTTGCGCGTTCGATTATATTAACTCTACAGTAAGTATTGGTAGTTAGAGAAAAGCAAACAGATGACAAAATGCACGAAAAAGATAATTGGATTATCAGCTGATAATTGGAGGGTATTGAACTCTTTGCGGAATTACACAACAATCGCACCTATTATTGCATGTGGCAATGTGGGGTAGAACCGGATGAAATTCATGCTTATTAAATTTGTATTGCTCACAAAATTGGACCTCTATATTTCGAGAATATCTCATATGATACTGCTGTCTATCTACCTGAGACCATTCGTTCAATGCTAAGTATTTGCTTCCGTCTGATATTGCTGATAAATATCAGTGTGTTGAAAAAGTAAGGCAAATTTTACAGAAGTTAAGAAGAAATGCTACCTAAAACATCTAACGACTGACACATTTAACAGTATTGAATTACGGTAAAATGTCATTTAAAAATTTCACAACTGACGCTTTTTAACAGTTACTTTTTTAACGTTGCCATGGCGAAAAATTTGACCTTCATTTTGCGTGACTTTTTTAACACCCTGTATATTAAAAAAACATGTGTACATCACTACCAGATACCTCTTTGTGAAATTATGGGATATTTTGTACAAAGCCTCCGCCCAAAACTTGGTGCATATACTTCTGGAGGTCCCAAGATGGCGCACAACCTGAACCCAAACCTGGTACACATACTATGTTCAGATTGTGCGCCATCTTGGTGCACATATTTCTGGAGGTCCCTAATTTGTTTATTTAAAACGTGGTGGCGGAGATATTTTTCTCAAACTTACATTTTTGCATTAGTGGCGGGGGCTTTGTACAAAAAATCCGAATTATGTTGAGAGCGCGTATTGCTTGATGAATTGGAATATATATGCCTAAATAATGACCATTGGACAATTTTCTGTGTCTTCGGCTTATGAATGGTACGCTTTTCATAATAGGTAACACATCAGAAGTTCTCTGGGAGAATTCTGATACCCGCCACTTCGAACTGTACAGAAAAATTGTGACGCGCACGGTTCGGTTGACCCAATTAACTTCAAAGGGCCTGACAGTATGGTATGACTTTTGACCCATAATAAAGCGCTTATATTTACGTTCATAGATTTGCTAAATTGTTGCGACACGACCTCAATTTATTTGAATTTAGGGTCAAATTAAGTGACGCAACATCCTTGGTCAAGCTTGGAACAATAATTCATATTTATTTTATCTCCGGAAATTTGATCTTAAAATAATCCAAAATTACCCGAAATCGGAAACTAATTGTAAAACCAAATCGCTTCGCTGCAAATAATCTCACTTTGTAGCAGCCAGTGAGTGCTTTGGGCGGAAAAAGTTCTGAATCTGATATCGTTGTTAATAAAAAAAAAAGTATCCGATTCTGTTTTGTGCTATATAGGATATACGTAACGCATTTTCGTGCATTGGCAATATTTTTTGCGAAACAGGATTCTTATCAAGCGAACTTCGATGTCAGCTATAAATCTAAGCATTAAAATCGTGTGTATAAGCATAAAAAATGCCAAACTTGGAGGGACACGACTGGGCAAGCAAATTTGCAAAAAATTTCTACAAAGGAATTGTGCGAAAAAATGGAGCATATATCTTGTGTTATGTATGAGCCACATGTTATCATGGGCCACGTTTACTACGTTGCTCTGATTTAAGACAAAACGCCAAAAGGCAGCATTAGTGCAGAGACACTCAATCAAAGACAAGAAATTATAAATATAGAAACAGTTTCTGAAATTTTCTGTTAAGGACCGAGAATAAAATGTAAATAAAATTTAAAAAACATTTCTGACGTCATAATATTAATAAAAATCCAGATAAAATATAAGATTTTTAGCAGTCAAATTCATTATCAAATTTTTTGCTTTCCATATCTATTTAGACACCATATTAATACTAATTTTGAAAAAAATGAACTTTCTGAAAGCATTCTGCCCCATTTGCCTGTTTGTAAGTCAACAAATAGTCAATGTACAAGCCACTCAAATCTGCGTGACTCTGCCAGATTCTGATGACGACGTCCAATTGGTGGATTATGACCGAATAAACGAAGGGATTGAGGATAGATTTGCTATAGGTAATATTTAATTTTAGAATAAGCGATGGTATAAGTATAATAATTAATTACAATAAAACTTTGTTCCTTTTTAAAAAATTCTTTGTTCGGGTCAGTTCAGCAACTTGAACCACTTGCATTATATTCAACAATTCTGTAGGTTGCGCCAAAACATTTCGATTATCCGAATTATTGCTCACCCGCCCCTTGATGTGGCTGGTTGACCGGCTGGTTTTCGCTTTTCAGTTGAAGTATAGACGCATAACTGAATCTATTCAAGAACTATTTTTCTATTGCAGTAATGGACAAATGGAAAGCAGAAATGACAGAAAAATTCGGCAATCTTGGGGATGCCATAGCGGCAGAAGCTGATGAAAACTTTGAAGAACTTGAAAATACTTTGGTTGAATCAATTACAAACAATAAAACAGCTTCTTGCGAAGTCAAACCAATAAACAGGGATGATCTACCGCCCGGTGAGTAGCATATAGTAATATTTATCAAACTTAGAGAAAGGTACATTTCGCACGGATGTTGATTCCATTAGTGGGAAAATAAATCACCAAATTAGTTTTAACTTTTATTCGCCTATTGAACATATATAACTAGATTTTTGTTGTTTTCTTTGCTCTGAACAGGGCTCTATGCAGTCCACAGTTATCTATATAAAGAGGTCGGAATTCGGCATTGTCTACCTAAATTATTACACCGTCGGGAGGGGAATGTGTGTGAACCCGAGATAGCATTGCAGAATACACATTTTAGGTGTAAATCCAATGCCGCCTCACATAGAGTCAGAGGCGTGACAAACTTTTTTACTGCCCGGGCCGAGTTTCTGATAATGATGCCCTTTATACCTAACTTAAAAAATAATTCGTAGAAAAACAGATTATAAATGTCGTTATAGAAGAAAATAAATAAATTACGGGTCAAAGTAAGATAGAAAGTGGAAACGTTTGTTTCATTAACTAAACATCCAAACTAAGCCACAAACTCACAAGTATAAGATCACGTGTATAAAATTCCTTTGCACCCACAGATATTTTCACCCATGTACGCACGGGTTCGCAGTTAGCTCGTTTTCATTACAAAATATAACATTATGATGTCCCTATTTCGACGCAAATGACAATAGAACATCTTTTGGGTGCAAAATTCCATGGGTACAAGTGTCCATAGATGCGAATATCCGTGGGTGCTAATGTTCGTGAGTGCAAATGTACGCGGGTTCAATTGTACGTTGGTGCAAATGTTCGCGGGTGCAAAAGTACGTAGGTGCAAATGTCCTTTGGTTCAAATGTATATGGGTTCAAATGTCTGTGGGTGCAAATGTACGTGGGTGCAAATGTCGATGGGTGCAAATATCTATGGGTGCAAATGTCAATGGGTGCGCAAATGTTCATGGGCGAAATCTGTATGTGGGGGCTAAAATCTGCGGGTGCAATTGTTCATGGGTGCAAACGTATGCTTATGAAATTGTCCTTTGTGCAAAGATAATAGAACCCAATGATTATACTGTCTTCTTATATAGTTTAATTGCAGTAATCAAAAATTAGTCCAATAATAGCCGTGATAGACAAGGCTTAACTTTTCTACTGGTGCTTTCAAATAACAGGGTTGAATATTTTAAATATTTATTTAAATATTCTAAATAAACATTTTATTAAAATGATAAAAGCATAAAACCAGTTTAAGGGGCCAACTCACGCAACCACTCTTAAAATGAGCACTCAAAAACATGTGTAATAACGCCAACCACTACAGCCTGTTTCTGCTGCCCTCTACAACATGCTGCCTCAGGGCGGCTGCCCCTTTTGCCCCACTCTAGGCACGCCACTGTATAGAATGTAATAAATTGGAGAGGCAATGCAAAATCGGACAGATTCCGATTCTTTCAAATAATACATAGGTTTTTACAGTGTATGTTAGTAGCTTCTCGTATGCAAATTTGGTCGGAAAATGATGCTTGAATCAGCTCTGTATTAAAGGATAGGGCCCCTTCTCATTGAGGTGGATAAACGGCACCGGATGACGATTGTGTTCATTTTCAATTTTTTCTTCTGTAGAACTTTGCGAAGTTCGTATGGAAGGTGCATGTTTCTACTCCAAGATAAACACAGTGTCCAATGTTAGCTATGAACAAGCGAAGGCGATCTGCTCGGAGAATGAAGCAAAGTTGGCGATTATTCCAAACCAGGAAATTTACGACGACATCGTAGCAAATGTTAGAGAAAAAATAGAAGGAAGATCGTACACGAACTTGTGGCTTGGGATCAAAATTAATGTGATGGTAAGCAATATGTATACATTACATTTATTCACAGACAAGATTTTCCAGTTGCTAGTTCATGTCGGGTATTGGACTGTAGCAGTGGTTCTTAAACTGGGGGGCGCGAGATGCTCACAGGGGGGGGTCTGTGTTCAAGGTAACTCGCGGTTGCGGCGACTCACGACAAAATAAACTCATTACCTATCTAAAATACCACGCCAATCCGGGTACATAATAAAGTGTGATCAACTGCCCGATTATATTTAGTTTTTATACATATTGCACTCATGCGAATTCGTTGTCGTCATTAGAAAGATCTGGTATAATATCCCAGAAAGTATATTTAATAAGTATATTAGTCGATGAAAAATACATATTCATCGAAACGAAATCCCCGCGGTACTGCTTCTGAGTCAGTCCTCGAGATTACGCCAGTCGTTAAAAGAGCCGACTTTTTCAACGGATATGTAATGGTTTTTCTGTTGAATAAAATATTCAATCCATGATCGATATACTTATTTAAAATGGTTGCTTTATTCACTCAATTGTGATAAATTAAAACTGCGATTGCGCCGATAAAATAAAAGCACCAGTACTCCAAAATAACACGGTAATCCGCAACCATAAAAATGTCGATTATATTTTGTTTTGATTTGTATTCTTGCCAATTTCACCAATATGAGCTGTCCCTGCAACTACTCCGCTCTATGGCAATGCCGCCACTCGATTAATTTCAAGATATCACCGTTACAGTCTGCGATCCCACGAAGTAAAATTTATATAAAGTCTGTAGTTTTGGAACACTACTGGTGTGCCGCACGCACAAGGAATTTATGAGATTTTCAATGTCTAAGAAAGTGTTTTTAATCTGTCGCGGTCTACCCCAAAACAAAACTCATGGCGTTTTTCGTTTTAATTTGAGTATTTTATAATGCCACTTTTACAATGAGGAAATTTTTAGTTACGGATTCACTTCTTTATTCTATCTTTAGCATCTCGTCGCTGATGATTATAATAAAAACTAACTCGTTTTCCTCAGAGGTGTCATGGTTCCATTCGAGAACAAAAAAAGTAATTATAATCGTCTTCGCGGCACAAGAATAAGTCGAGGGAAATTTCGGATTTAGGAAGAATAAACACCGAAATCAAGATATTTAGGGCTTGAATAACACGCGACGCTGACGTAAACAATGGAGATTTAAACAAAATGCAATCGCAAACGCCTTATAGGCTTATAGGAACAACAATTGATTGAAATTTTACGTGTCTTATGTTAACGTTTAAGCAGAAAATACATTAAAGCATAGGTTTATTGCTTGTTTAGTTTTACTTAATAATTAGTTTGAATTTGCCAAGTATTGCAAACTGGGCGGAAAAACGAGAATGTATGATGACCAACCAAGCGATGTACTCCGACCGAAGCGTTTTATGCCTAAACAATCTGAGCAATGAAGCTATGAGACCAACACTCAGTAATAGCGCCATCTTAATATATTATAGGGAGACAAAGTGTGGTCTTAGGGATAAAGACTGTTCACCCTAATATCCAAAGTTCGATTCCCACGTTATTAATTTCACGTGTTATGGAATGTGACTCCAATCTGGATTCCCTCAGACGATAATAAGCACACTATGATGATTGTCGAATTGTTGTATATTATTGAAAAGATGCACGATCCAAATTCCAAATACAGATAAAATTGTATACACTTAATTCCTCATGCAGTAAGATTACGGTCAGATCCAAGTCATAAATCGAGTGAACAAGAAAACACAATATTATAGAGCATTCTCGGCAGACCGGAAACGATACGTTATCAAATTGGTCGAAACGAGAAAGGCAATACATGGATCGAATGCATTATCGCTGTTGCGAAACATAATGCGGCCTAGTTTGTGAAATATTACATGCTATTAATATGAAAGGGTAAAATACATTATAATCCATAGTTACACAATGCACATTCGCTACACAATTCCAACCTAATATTCAAAGTTCGATTCCCACGTTATTAATTTCACGTGTTATGGAATGTGACTCCAATCTGGATTCCCTCAGACGATAATAAGCACACGATGATGATTGTCGAATTGTTGTATATTATTGAAAAGATGCACGATCCAAATTCCAAATACAGATAAAATTGTATACACTTAATTCCTCATGCAGTAAGATTACGGTCAGATCCAAGTCATAAATCGAGTGAACAAGAAAACACAATATTATAGAGCATTCTCGGCAGACCGGAAACGATACGTTATCAAATTGGTCGAAACGAGAAAGGCAATACATGGAGCGAATGCATTATCGCTGTTGCGAAACATAATGCGGCCTAGTTTGTGAAATATTACATGCTATTAATATGAAAGGGTAAAATACATTATAATCCATAGTTACACAATGCACATTCGCTACAATATAACAACTTGTCTATCACAAAATCATTTTTTCAAAGCAAAAAGAGGGGGGGGGGCGAAGTTTGTAAAATTTTTCAAAGGGGGGCGCGGCTCAAAAAGTGTAAGAACCACTGGACTAAGCCATATTATGTTTTCAGATGCGTGGACTCGGTGATGAAGGAGGCCGTTACCAGCGTAACATGAACCATACGGCGGCGAGGAGTCCAGCAATTCTCTCGCACATAGTTTCCCAACCTGCTGCGAACCCACGAAGGGTAATCGGAGTTGCAATGACAAACGCATTTGCTAACACCTAGTACTATGCGCCATCTCGCCGAGACTAATTAATTATTATTAGTTGCCAAATATCGTTGTTTGAGCATTGATAGGCGGAGTATTCTATTGTGATCGAGATTGCAGGCAGTGGAATTCTGACTGGTAATAATTCCAAACACTATTCTAAGCTTCCTACGATTCCTGTCAATATCAATGACTGGTATATCGGGCCATGACGCAGTGCGTCAAACTGGAAAATGTGCCGAGGGCCACATTGTATGTTGGTAAATCTGCCTAGGTCGCATGTAATTTTCCACTCATTTTTATGATTAATACTTATAGCCTATTTTATTTTTGTTAGGTGAATTTTACGAAGTAATATATGTGCCCTGGTGTCTAACAACTCATATTACAAGTTGCTCAACATTTATAACTATTTCAAGCTCAGTTACCAGCTCGGGAGCATAATCCCTTTTTATATAGACTATTGTATTTGTTTATGCCTCCTATAAGACTTCTGTGAAACTAAGATCTTTCTAAATAGGAAAAAATTTCATTTGCAGTCGTTTGAGATAATTTTAGAAATTAAAAAAAAAATCTTTTTGCGTTCAGTTTTTAACCGGTTCCAATAAACAGAAATACTATATACTTATATATCTAAAAACATTTTGTACCTATGAAAAATTGCAATTAAAGGACGAATATGCTCCAAGGGTTAGGTTGTCGTATTCTAAAATTTAAATAATTCAATTGCAGAGTGGTGACGTTATCTACCCTAATCCAGAAACCTTCACAAAGTGGAGCAGAAACTTCCCATCTATAGGACTGGATTATAAGAAACACCAACATGTTTATCTCTTTGCGTCTTCGAACCCAGGGATGAGGAATTCTTATCCCACTTTCAATCACTTTGGTGTTGTCTGTCAGATATAAAATCCATCGCTGGAATCACTATGAGGCACTGCATTTGATGAAAAAGATTTTGCCGCAAATTGGATTCCGACAATCGATTTAAGTGAGGCAAACAGAAGTTAATAAATTAAAAAATAGGCATTCCATTCCGCTATAAATTAATGTTAGATTGGTCAATTAACCGCCGTCTTGACAGATACATAAATAAATGTCAGCAACAGTTAAATTTTTTTTCGAACAGTTTAATAATTGTGTTGTCGGCCAACAACTAGCGGCCGCTTATTATTGTTTTGTGATGAGTAAAATACTTGAATTATTAGCTACGCATTTTGATCTCTTATTATGTTATAACTGCAAAGATATTTCCTATTATTACCCATGCCAATATAGTGTGTTTAAATGCAAGTGAAATGTCTCTTTTCCACAAAGTACGGCTCTAGATAAGGCATTAAGTGTTACGAAAAACAAGTGAGAGAATTGGTGAAGTTGTAAATTCGGGCGGAAGTGTGTATATCAATATAGAGGTAACTAATTTTATTCGCTTATTTTACATCAAGTTGTGGAAAGGAACTGAAACCTATGGGCAGGGGATGTATTCACACAGACAGTCCCGAACTCGTGATAGAACTAATATGAGGAAAATAGGAATAAAATTATGGCCTAACCCTAACCTGGTACACATACTACGGGAGTACCTGAATTCGTGTGATTATGATTTGAATTTCGCTGCTGCCCATAAAAACCATATATACTTGATGAAAGAAAAAGAAAATTAAATAATATAATAGCAAAGGCCAAAGGGTTGAAGATTCAATATCACCAAATCGTTTTGGAAGATTCAAAGACACGGTAGATAGCGTTTCTTTCCGATATAATTATTATTATGTCTTAGGTTCATTTTGGTTCTGAAGCTTACCCTATATATTTTCGCATGGAGGTTTTTGTTACAGTCTTTTCTGCAATTATTTGAAAATTATGAGAAAACGCATATCGTATGTCAACCACAACAGCAAGAATTTCTACGCAATATTGTTCAAATAATGCTTCTCTGCCTAAGCAAGCAGTCAGGGGATTTTGTAGGCCAATTATTTAAAATAATATTTCTGCAAAGCTCAATTACCTGAAATCGGAAACTATCGGAAAATTGACGAGAAACCAAAGTCGTCTGAAATTTCCCTGCCATGGTGCGAGGATAAATAATAACAAAAAGAGATTAATATATACGACATATACATAATTTAGCTTGATCTTAGTGTAAGGGAGTGTAGTGATATTTACCAGGAGAAGTCCCTATCACAATTTTGGTGTCATATGGTAATAAATCATATCCAAAAATATCGAAACTGGCATTTCGAGTACTGCTTCCCTTCGCTATGACGTACATGTGCGAGAGCGGATTTTCGACTCTTACGTATCAAAACGAAAGGCCGATACAGATTGAAGGTAGAAGATGAACAGATGCCTGCTTTGTCTTTATAACAGTGTTTCCCAACCTATGAGTCGCGACCAAAAACTGGGTCGTCGCCTGCTTTTTCGACAGAAATATTTTCTAGTAAATTTAATTGCATATTGTATATTTGGTAGAATGGTATTGTTCAATCGTAATTTTATACAATGCGTGTTTGACTTAAGTTAAGTGAACCTACGCCACAATTTCAAAAACTCGCTGATGGCAAAGAACCACTCCTCACTCACTAGCGACTTTGGATTTATTTTTTTGTTGATATGAATACCATGTGAAAATGACGGTTTTGTAGTAGCCATTTAATTTTGCGGGCATAAAAGCACTACATGCCGTTCAGTATGCGAGTATATCATAGCGTCGCGAGATTTTACAAAATTAGTGTCGCTTGAAGAAAAAAGATTGGGAACCCTTGCTCTATAACAAACAACCACAAATTTCCAGACTTGGTTACACAGACACATACACGCTAAACTATCACATTAAATATTACCAGTTGACTGCGAATAAATATATGTGGCTATGCTATACATTTTGTGCATTTTTTAAATATAAATTTAGTAAATATCGTGGAAGGGGTCGCGGTATTTTAGAAGATGTTCAAAGCGGATCGTGCGGCAAAAAAATGTTGGGAACACCGAACTCGAACGGAAATTAAAAAAGTTACTAAATCAATGAAACCTAAGTTACCGCTATAGATATGAGCAGGGTTGGATTTAGTAGGAATGGGACGAGTCCGGCATTACAGAGATTCGACGAATCCGAGTAATGGGTCACGGACTCGAATCGAATCCTCCGAGTCCGTGACGTCACAATGTTAAAGCAGAAAAACACGTTTTTGACCATACTACAGCATCGCGCGCTCACAAACATACATCGTAGCTCATATTTTTTCCCCAATGGTTCCGCAGATGGCTGTTGAATCAATTTGAAAATATACTTTTCTTCTTTTTCGGCAGTCATAATACAAACGTAACTGTGGGTCAATGTGCGCCTTGGCTGTGAACTGGATTTCCAGCACACCACTTTGCGTCAATTCTGGGCGGCTATTTAGAAATTTTTACATGTCAATATGAAAAATAAAAAGCTTTTGACTACAATGATTTCCCATAATTCCAGATATTTCTAGCCCTAAATTTACTATGTCGTGTGCGCAAATGGTAGAGAGATGCCACTCGTCGTCAATACAATGCTTGCAATTTAGTAGTTCATGTAAACGTTCTAAAAAGCTCCATGCTTTCCATTGCTCCCTTTTTAGAGAAAGGATTGCACGTAATTACCTCGATTTAAAAGAGGTATTGATGAAACTCCCTCTTGGGTTGATCCTGCGCATGTTTCATATTTATTTATGCGAATCGAAAACTCAAAAATATTGCGCTAACACATATTTTATTGTGTACTACATGTATACCAAAAAGGATAGATAGTTTGAAGGCGACTGTCGCATCATTGTTATAAGCGATCAATAGTTTTTAACTTGCGTTATATTATCTGGATATCTGTCGTCCTTTTTATTAGGAGTGTTTATAATACACATTAGTGATATTGTTAAATATCTAACCTTGAATTTCAACTAGTTAAGATATGTAGTGAAATTTATAAGGGTAAAGGTACAAACATAGGCGTAAATTAGTAAAAACAGAATTGATTATAGACTCGGTAAAAACGACTTGGACTCGAAATCGAATCCGAGTCCAAAAAATGCCTGGATTCGACTCGAATCCAGCCCCTAGGCTATGTCATTTGTGAGGACCCTCTATTACAATGACGTCATAATAATCCTTTATTGTTACGTGTTATATTTATTATGGCGTCACAGATGTTTTAAAATTTTAGGTAATGCAAAATAGTACGCTAATCACTGAAGTAGATTGGATAATAAGTTGTGTTTAGACACACTTAAAGAAACTGGAATCTGTAATAAAACGTCAAGACACGAGAAAACCCGACGTCATATTATACTACCTTTCTGGTAGCGAGAAGGTGGGGGGAGACATGGACAAATTACTAATAAATAGAACATTACAGTTGAAAAAGATTCAAATATAGTAAAATATATAATACTTTTGAACAGCTTAAGCTTTCTAAATTAAAGCAAATTCATTTATTCGACCGTCTTTTAATTTTTTAACCGTTTAAATGTAATTTATTCGAAACAAGAAATATTGACCTGAATTAAAAATGAGGCGAATATCATTTTTATGATTCTAAACCTGTTACATTTTGGGCAGGTCTCTTCAATTTAAAAACAAGAGAGCTATACTCAAATATATGTCACGTTGCCCCACACAGTGGCAAATTTTGATGGCGTCATAGCACACAAAAAAACGATAAATAAAAGTAAGACCCTTCCAGCGAAAAATATAATCTTTACTCACTAAAAGTTTCAAAGCAATGGGTCCAGTATTCGAAGAGAAAAGCGATTTTATAATGATGACGAAAAATAATATAACAACAAGAACAAAAACAAAATATTGAAACGATCGTTATGTCCACTAAACATGTCCAATAAATCAGTGATTTCCCTACACCCCCCCCCCCCCTATAGGGGGTTAAAACCCCCCTAAAATTTCAAACACCCCCCCCCCCCCCTAATTTTGAGGTGCGATTCCACACTGAGGGGTTCTAAACCGCAGTCTGCGGGCCAATTACGGCCCGCGTGACCATTTAAAATGGCCCGCCGAACTTGAGTGAAATAGTTTAACCCTTCATGTGGTACCTTTTGAGTTTTAGATACCGTCTATTGTTACATCATTATCACAGTTTAATCACGTTTATTTCGTAACAATTGAATTATTCCGGTATCGTATGTATAGGTATGGGTATTATGATTACACACTGCAGTATTTTAGATATCAGCCGTATATTAAGAAAGCTTAAAGATGTCACAAAACGAAAACTAGGCACTGAAAACAGACGTTTTTTAGATTAATGACAGCGTTTTTATTTCTTTATTGAAAAGAATCAAACTTCAGCGATTTGTCTTCTTACCAACAAAATATTTCAGTTCTGAAGGAATACAACATTATGCGACATTATGATCAGTTGACGAGCGTATTTCAAAATTTAATTCATACAAAAGTCAAACAAACATGTTCAAAAAAATTAGAAATGTGTAACAAAACTAGCCATAAGTAGCCATTCATGACAGATGAGCAAGTAACTTCATTAGTCACTATCATTTGCAAATTACTTGTTGAAACGTAGTAGTATATATTTACGGTTGAAAGCCGTGCTTGTTATCTATTCCCCGGGAATTCTATCAGCTAAATATTATAATTATTGATTTTATTACATAACAAACTGCAATGCTAGGTGTATCTAAAATCAAGCTTAGAGCCTATTTTGGTGCCTATTTCTCAAATTTTTCTCAGGGCGCTTAAGCGCGCCCTGAACCCCAGCCGTGTCGTCCCGCACTTTTCTTCGCTCCCCTTTTCTGGCCCTACAATTTCATTCTGCTGTGGATTTTGGCTCGTCGTCAATCAACTTGGGGGGGGCTCCCATGTACATCCTCTCGTAAATACATACCATTTTTTTAAGGATACAAATAGCCTAGTTTTATCTCCGATAGCAAATTATTTACCACCCCCAAAATTTTGAAACACCCCCCCCCCCCCTAAAGAGAAAAGCTGGGGAACATACTGCATTAAATAGTAGTTAATGATTAAATGTCGAGGCTCCTAAGGCTTGGGGCCTTTCTTTAATTTTCTCAGCCCTTATATATTAGTTGATGCATCCATTGAATGTATTTGATTCTACTAACTTAATTCATTAGTTCATCATTATTATTTGATCACAATTTATACTATAGTTCTTTTGAACCTAATTAACGATAATATGACGTTGGACTGAATAGAATCAGATTCGAAAATATTCGAATCGAAACATTTTGATTCGAAAACAAAATATTTGTAAAACATTCAACCGCTTAATATGCATCAATCGAGCCAAACGAGTTGATAGGGTATCCAGGGAACCGAACCATGAACCCGATCGTGGAGACGCTGTGTAATATTTAGATTAGAATTGTTGCTAAGTCCTCATTCTTCTGAAATTATCTATAGTGGTCAAAACTCTCTATCAAATTAAATGGAATAAATAATTAAAAAATTACAAACAAATACATATTATTAATAAAGCGATCGTCCAGCATACTCTTTCTACCTAGACACGAATTTTTACAGATCTACCCCTTTTATTAAAGGCCTTTTGTTCTTTTCCTAAACCGCTTCCATTCCGCTTTTCGTCAACGAAACGCACTTAACCCAGATCTGCTTCCAATACGCTCCCCCCTCCACTGTACAGCAAGACAAATAATTAGGCTTACCATACGTCCCGCTTTAGGCCGGACAGTCCCGTTTTTTCAGCGTTTTGTCCCGCCGTTCCGATAAGTCAGCAAAAGTCCCGCTTTTCCAGTATAATACACGAACATGACCTTGTTACTGTTGTTTCTGTGTAGCGCAGCGCTAGCCTATTTACTGAAGGTGAATGCGTTCGTTTCCCGCTGATTCCCATTGACAGATTGGCAGACGTATCGCATGTAAAACCAATACTAATTAGTCTAAATGCGAATTATTTGTACCGATATCGTTAACGTCAATTTCTTCCTATTTTTCGAACTGAACCCGATATCTGGACAGAGAATATGCGCATGAAATTTCGATAGCAATAGGGTCAATAAAGACAGCCGAGACAGCTTTAAATGTAGGAATGTAGGCCTATGTAGTAAAATCGGAAAATGTGAAGTTATAAAATCACAGCCAAGGGGTCGTTGTCTTTCGAGGCGTCCCGATTCTTCGCTTCTGATTACATTGCACTAGTGTGTGTATAGTAGAATAGAACTCTACCCATATTTGCTTGTTCAAAATCCCACTTGATATGTTTAACTTATATTCATTCAATAAAACAAGTTACCCAAATAATGGGTAGCTTGTCTGACCTGCTTTCCCACTTTTTTTCGTTTCGATCATATTATATTTTGCAATATAATTTCAATTTGTGCAAAATCCCATTATTTTAAAGAATGCTTCCATAATTGAAAATAGTAAATTCATGTAAATATTGTACATAGTATAAATCGTGAGAGACGTTGATATATTGACACGAACCTGTTATTTTTATGCTTATTTAATATAATTGGGTGGCAACTGACTCTGATGACCCCCAAAGGTCGTATCGTTGCCCCCCAGTCATATACCGAAAACTATTTTTTTGATATTTGTTTATGTGTGCATGAATTGTTTTCTTGGTTTGACAAAAATAAAATAAACTCTCTCTCTCGATTTGAAGTCACAAAAATATGGTAACCCTACAAATAAGAGAGAGAGAGAGAGAGAGCGAATTTATTATTTCGTCAACCAGAAAAACCATGTAAAACCAATACTAATTAGTCTAAATGCGAATTATTTGTACCGATATCGTTAACGTCAATTTATTCCTATCTTTCGAACTGAACCCGATATATATAAATAAATAAGGGAAGTAACATTTAAAAGGTGTGCTATCGCAGTGCCTGCAATTAAAATATTGTGCGTGCCATATTATAGTTGTACGTTACCGTTACTGGCAATTTGTTTTTATCTTTGGTGAGATCGATAAATGATGCACAGCAAAGATGTATCCCAAGCATCGACTTTCTTATTTATTTTCGTAACATTCACGAATCACCAAGAGGTCAAAGGTGACTGACTTATTCGCTCGGATCAGCAGATAGGTGCGTTTGTTGTTTTGCATGCTATTTCTCGGTTTTCGGTTGTATTTCCGAAATTAGAAATAAATCAAATGAATCAATGTTGATTTTGTTTTCTGAGAATATTTGTTATCGTTGCAGTACCGTAATCAAATATTAGTTCAGAAAAATGAGTGTTATGAAACGAGTAAAACAGTTTGTAAGCGACAAATAGGTATACTTCACTGACAGACGGCATCGAATACATTTTTTTGCAATGGCTGAATGGTGATGATGTGACTACTGCAATATAGAACAGCTTTTCTGGGGCTAAGGATCGGAGCACTATCTATTGTTAAGTTGGTATGCAGATCATTTATTGTAGTCTATTGCATTTTCAAAACTCACGGAATTCGAGCAAATTTCTGCAGAGATTTTCAGCTAATTTTTCATTGCATTCTATGCATAGTCTACAAGTACTTGCACAAAAAATTGTAACCGGGAACCATCTAAGGTACAGTATTTGGTTTCCGAATCCCCAACTGCTGAATTGTGTGACTGTGCAACTGATACCGTAATTAATTATTAATATCGTTGAATAAATACTGATAAATAGTATACCGGTATTATTTATAAACAACTAATATTTTTATTCCTTTTTTTTTAATTTTATTAAAAAAAAATTAAATTTTATAAAAATAAAAACAAATAAAGACAGCAAGACCAAAATGAAGTTTGAAAGATTTTTGTCTGCAGTTAGTAAAGCCAGGAAACCAAGCCCCATTAGAATGGCAACTGCTTTGATGCTGCGTAGTCCACTGTCGACTATATCATTGGGTGGAGGATCTCCCAATCCTTGCACATTTCCTTTCCGAAAACTGGATGTGGAGATAAGTAATGGAACTAATATAAGGATAGAAGGAAAAGAAATGGATAGAGCTCTTCAGTATTCACAATCTGACGGAATTCCCGAATTAAAAGATTGGTTGAAACGAATTCAAAAACATTTTCATCAGCCTCCATTAATGAATGACTCAAATGAAAACGAACTAGACCTGTGTGTAACAGTCGGAAGTCAAGATGGCCTTACAAAAGTTTTTGAAATGCTTCTTTCTCCTGGTGATAACATGCTATTAGATGATCCTAATTATCCTGGTTCGCTTGCATTTTTGCAACCATTACCAATTAATTTATTGCCTGTTGACACAGATGAATTTGGAATGAAGTCTAGTAGCTTACGCGAAGCTCTTAGTGCTTGGAAACCATCTGATGCTTTAAATCCAAATTCTGATATTCCTAAAGTTTTATACACTATCCCAAATTGCGGGAATCCGACAGGTGCTTCTGCTTCTACTGGAAGAAAATTGGAAATATATAAAATCGCCCAAGAATATGATCTTATCATCGTTGAAGATGATCCTTATTACTTTTTACAATTTAATGAAACCGTTGCACCGAGTTATCAGCAATTGGATACGGATGGTAGAGTTATTAGAAGCGATTCAATGTCCAAAGTTTTATCATCTGGTATGAGATTGGGCTGGATTTCTGGAGCAAAACCATTTATTGATAGACTTGTTTTGCATCAACAGGCGACTCTTTTACACAATAGTACGTTAATTCAAATGTTGGTTTGGAAACTTTTAGAAAAATGGAAGTTAGAGGGATTCGAAAAACATTTAAAGGAAACCAAAACGTTTTATGAATCGCAGAAAAATGTAATGATTGAAAGTGCTAATAAATGGCTAACAGGTCTCGCTGAATGGAATGTTCCCCAAGGTGGGATGTTCCTTTGGATCAAATTATTAGGAATCGATGACACAACAGAGTTGATTCAAAAGCGTGCAATGGAAAAAGAAATCATATTAATTCCAGGATCAGCTTTTAGTGTAAAAGAAAATGTGAAATCGTCATACTGCAGAGCGTCGTTTTCATTATCATCCCCTGAAAATATTGACGAAGGGATACGAAGACTAGCTGAACTGGTTCGCGAAGAGTTGGATAGAAAACACAAATAAAATGTGGATTACTGTAGTTATAAAATGGTGATCTGTATTATGCACAAGCCTTCATGGCGCTGGCTTGCTGCAGCATTTTGGAGTCGTAGAGTAATGAAATCACTTGAAAAATACCACAGGTATACTCGAGTCTGCTTTTAAGCTTATAGTTGGTTTTAGATGTAGTTTGTCAATTATTCTGGGTGCAATTTATCATTTGTATGTTTGTTGAGAGATGATTGTCTTGACTTTATTGTGATGTTTTACTGCTTAGCTCAAGTTTCATCTTGTAATTTTAGAAAAATTGTAATGTTTACCTATAAAAAATTCAGCCTTTTTTAAAATACTTTATTCTTCAATCTGGTACTTTCTCTATTAACCATGACCTTGTATCGGAATGATTTGTACTAACTCCCTAGTGATCTCACATAATTGGCAGCTGTTACTAATTGATTATTATTCTTGCAGCTTATTTTGCTAATTCTCCTCTCCCTCGAAAAAATATATAACTAAGGCAACACTGACTATAATGCAAGGATGGCTAACCCACAAGGATGGCTCACCCACAGGTCCCAAGGTTAAAATGTTATGTTTTTTTGGTGACCGTCAAGTTACAAATTATCACATAAAACATACTGACATTTCGATGATAAACAAATTTGTAATAAGAATGATTCTAATTCAATTCAACGAGAGTCCAGTTTGACAGAAAGTACGTACGGTACAAGAGTGCAATTGTATTTCATAAATTCGGATGTAAAAAATTGTTGCGGAAAGACACCACAGCGAATTCTTATCGATTAATTAAAGCCCTACTAACATAAAAATATATTGTGTGACACTCTCATTAAAGGAGGTTTACCATCCCTTTACTGGGGTGATATAATTTTTGTTGTATTTTTCATTTTAAATCATTAAAATGTTAGCTTTCTTAGTTATATCTATTGTTGGTACTCCCATAGTATGTGTACCATGTTAGGGTTAGGCCATAATTTTATTCCCATTGAGCCAATTGAATATCCCCCTGTCCATAGGTTTCAGTCTCTTTATAACTTGATGTATAATAGGCGAACAAAAATTAGTTACCTCCAAATTGGTACACATACTTCTGGAGCGCCCTGTTGTTTCACTATTGCTATGTATCTTAAATATTTGAATAAGTTCCTTATCAAGTGTCAATTGAGTAGGGTACAGTAAGCCGAGAAGATTATGACCATGAATCCTTGCAACTCTGTATGTGTTAATGATCAATTTTTTGTGCCTTGTTCATATTAAAGTTTTGGAACACATCTTACACAAATTATTCCATGAAATTGAATCAAGATATATATTAGTACACAATTATTTTTTTACTATGCATAGCATTACTATGCATTTATGAATAATACAACTATAATAGCCTATTTGTGATCAATCCAGTCTTTATATATTGCAGGTTAATGGTATAAAACAATCCATTTTGGTTGGGAAGTAACCTAAATAATTTGCGAGATAGTTACACAAAATGGATTTAACTTCACAAGATGAAAATTGTGATGGCTATGAGTCGCCATCTAGTGGAAGTGGGAAAGATTTGAAAAATGTTGAAAAAATCCCATCTTCACACGAACTGCTTTCTGATGGATTTATGAATCAAATTTTGCCAAAAATCAGGAATATAAAGAACAAGATTGAAGAAGTTACTAAAAACCAAAATGTGATGATCGAAAGTTTGCAAAAAGAAAATGAAAAAGTTGAAGAGTGGAACGCGCATAATGAGGTTTCAACATACATGGCTGAGGTAAAGCATTACCATTCCAAATTGCTGAAGATCCGTAAAGAAATGGTAAAACTGTCTGAAAAAAGTGCAAAATTAAAACAAAGGTCCGTCAAACTTGATCAAATAAAACAGAAAGAAGATTTGAAACAAAAAGAAATAAAAGAAAAACAGAAACAAGAAGAATTAAGCTTGACAGCTAAGCCAGCTACTTTGCCACCCGAGCAGAGTTGAGATCGGGTTTTCATATTTATATTGGGGACAGGAAAGATGATAAGACAGCTTAATCATATGACAAACCATGGCCTTCTGGTTAACCCGGTTATCAACCCTTGTTGAATATTAGAATTGTTGAGCAGGTATTTGTGTGGGAGAAGAATCCACTGTAACCGTCCTGCTGTACAGGAACCATTCAATGGCAATGAGAAGTCCAGCAATTATCTCACTTTGTTACTTATCGATCTTAAGATTGATAAGTATGTTGATAAGTATTTGTCTGTCCGTTTGTCTGTTAGACGAACACGATATCTCACGAAGGCGAGGTTGAATCTGCTCCAAATTTTGCATGCGCATTCATCATATCTCGGACCAGAAGCCTATTGATTTTTGATGAATTATGTCGTTAATTAGCGAGTTATTGATTGATTAGTGATGGGACGCGCAGTGTCACTATGGAGTCATGAATCAAAACCGCAGTTTCGATCGATAAGTCTTCGGTCTCCGACCGATATTCTCGTTTGAATTTTGTTCAGATTGATTATTTATTTCATATAAAATTAATCAGCATTGCAAACTTTTGATTTTTTGGAAAAATTTAATAATAGAATGAAAGGGTTTGAGCAGAATTATTAACCTGTGCCTATGACTTGGATGTTACGAAAAGGAATTTTATGTCTTTTGCACTGAGCAAGGCTCTGCACAGGCAGACGCCGGTAGGTGAGGAGCTATAATAGTTTGAAACCGGAGTCTTGGCTTTGCCATTACAAACTCTATTCATTACGCCCTGGGTGAGGCAGTGTTCATGGGAATTGAATACTTGATTTGGACTTGTGATGCCTTTATAGTGAATCTAATTAAGTACAATGCTTCAGCCATTAGGCAGGCCACTGTATGTGTATTCAGTGATATGATACCTACTATACAAAAATTGGCTTAAGAATTTAGTGAAATTGTGATTCATATTATATATATATATATAACAATTTAAGCTAGTTAGTTTCATTGCTCAAAACTTTTTTCGTACAAAACGTTAATATTTCGTCAGTGCTGTTTGCTCGTATTTTCATCATGAATGCCTTATTGTGTTAGTTTATGCTCTTTTTATTCCTCTGTGATCTGTGCAATAACTGCAGTTTTCAGCTTGCAAATTTTTCAACTTTGTGCTTGATAAAAGCTTGTTATATAAGTAGACAAAACTTTCTGAAGAGTATTTTCACCTAGAGGATGTACGGCAGGCGCCGTTTTTAAACTTTGCCATGGGCGCCGTTTAACGCAGAAAAAAGTTTGGTAGCTTGTAGCAAAATCTTGGAATAAGGCGAATTTAAAAGAAGTTTCTTTTTTTAATATTTAATGCGCCACAGTTCATCAAGTTTCTGGTGCTATGCCATTTTCCAATGCGAGAATCGTTTCACCATTTTTAAAAGCTTAAGTCCTATAAACGAAAAGACTCTACTAATAGAGATACGTGACTTTGAACTAGAAGGTATTTTTGAGCTAGTCTTCGAAATATAAAATAAAATCGAGATACAATGTACAAGGATAACATGTAATTTAGCCTACATATTTATCCCGAGGAAGGGGAGAGGCGATCAAACGGTTTAGGATAAGATAAGTTTATTTCGACTCCATAATCAGCAGAAAGGCGATAAAACGGTTGATGGAATCAGGAGAGTAAACAAAACCTCGGATAAGGTTTAAAACATGCAGAACATAAGATGGAAGGTATTACCAAAAAGAAGTGGTACGTGTTCACTTATAGCAACTAACCCCCAAATGTACCCCATTTCATGTTGAAATCATTAAAACAAAGTTAATTTGTACCAAAATTCGAACAAAGACTTTCGTAGGAATCAAATTACACCAGTTTTAAGAACATAACATGTTCCACCCAGTCATTATCAAATTAATATTTTCAAGACCTTTGTCACTGATTGAAATATTTATATCTAAGTTCCCATCCGTACGATGTACATAATTACCCTTATTGAGATAATAGGAGTTTCTGTTTATAACGTGAATCACGAGCTCACGTTTACATTATTTAATTAGATGTATGATCGACGTATAAATAGGAGTCCGATATCTTTCGATAAATGTAAACCATTTTAAGCTAGTTTGGATAAATGTTCTAAGGTTTGTATTCTGTGTGTTGTGGAAATTTACGAATAAAAACATATAGAGATTTTTAACGCATCTTCATTCACGTGGGCGTTGAAGCTGAAGGGTGAACGGGTGACTTGCAAGTCAGAGCCAATCTACAAATTAGCAATATACGGTGACATCACATTCATACATTCATTTACTAATCACATATGCTATAAATGGTGACAAAACCGACTTGAATTAATCTTCTGAAACGGAGCAGATCAACAGGGTTCAACCACAAGTACGGACAACAATCAGGACAGGCAACAATTTGACGGAATCAACCAAAAAGCTGACCAAGCGGAAGCTCTAAACAATTGCTGAGAAACCGTCTATACAAAAACGTGCAAGGATCAAATTGCTGACAAGCCGAAACAATTTAAAACATCATGACGAGTCAATGAACTCAATTGAAAACTGTTAAACTATAGTGACGGACTCTGGAAACGATAAAATCATGAATATGGACTGTATTGAACATCGATCGAAATGAACTCTTTTAGAACATGATATATGTTCGAGGTGAAAAACCTAATCAAATAACGAACTGTTGAAAACAATGAACTATATGAACTGTTTTACGATAAATTACGCGCTCTATTCCGAATAATAGGGAAAGGAATTGTCGCGCGTACCTAATGGATATACAGATCAGGAGTATGTAATTCTACAATTTGTTTCATGATTTGCAGGTTTTTCTTCTCATTGAGATCGACATTTTTCATTCTTCCACTATTACTAAGGTAAAGTACTTCTTTTTCTTCTTATATATACATGGCGTTTCAATCGACATTCAATTTTTATAAATCAATTAATGGTAACAACTTTGAATATTCTAATTTCAAATACCTTTCAAGAGATTTATATTATTGAATATTTGTGGTTAGCATTTCTTTTCGATTAAATAGATTTCGTTAGAATTAAAATGCTTTCTAAAAGTAGGTTCGAGCGAGTCATACTTTTAATTATTTACAAAGCCGTCATATAGAACGGTAAAATAATAAGCTCGTTAAACAAAAATTGTATCCAAAAGCGTTATTTTTTCAAAAAAGCCCTGAGATGGCATAAACTTAAAGATGCGTTTTTTCTTCCCGACATGGGACAAGCATATATTGACCAACTAGGTCTACAAAATCGTAACAATGCGATAAAGCGAGTATCAGTATTTTAACTTAGCGAAATACATTAAATTGAAAATATGTTTTAACCGTCCAAACCAAAATTTTTAAAATAAAAATACGCCATCCTTCTGTAATTCTACTTTACAACCGTTACCTTTTCTATGACCTCTTCTTTATTTCAATGTCTTGTCTCATTGTAGATCATATACATATAAATATTTTTTACTTATATCATTAATTTTAGCATTGTGTATTGTATTTTTCTATATATTTTCAATTTATTAGAGGTGCCAAATATTTAAACTTTCAGTTAGTAAGATGGGGAGATAATATAGCAACTAACCCCCAAATGTACCCCATTTCATGTTGAAATCATTAAAACAAAGTTAATTTGTCCCAAAATTCGAACAAAGACTCTCGTAGTAATCAAATTACACCAGTTTTAAGAGCATAACATGTTCCACCCGGTCATTATCAAATTAAAATTTATATTCTCAAGACCTTTGTCACTGATTGAAATATTTATATCTAAGTTCCCATTCGTACGATGTACATAATTACCCATATTGAGATAATAGGAGTTTCTGTTTATAACGTGAATCACGAGCTCACGTTTACATTATTTAATTAGATGTATGATCGACGTATAAATAAGAGTCCGATATCTTTCGATAAATGTAAACCATTTTAAGCTAGTTTGGATAAATGTTTTAAGATTTGTATTCTGTGTGTTGTGGATATTTACGAATAAAAACATATAGAGATTTTTAACGCATCTTCATTCACGTGGGCGTTGAAGCTGAAGGGTGAACGGGTGACTTGCAAGTCAGAGCCAATCTACAAATTAGCAATATACGGTGACATCACATTCATTCATTTATCATTATATATGTTATAGATTCATCAAGTCAGTCTTTGAAAAATTGCTCACATGTTTCACCTCATTCGATAATTGTGACATAGCCTGAAAAACCATCTGCGAGAGAAGGATTTAAAAGATTGCATATATGAATATATGTTGACCTATTATTTATTGGGACATTCCATCATATGTTTTTTCTCGGTAGCTTATGAAATATACTCTTTCTTGGTCTTGACTTGTAACTCGATACTGGACTAGCCTCGAGAGCGCAGTAACTAAACTCTGGATGGTCTCGACTCTAAATTTGTTGGGACGCGCATGGCGCGTGACTTGACTCGGGGTTAGGGGACTTGTACCAATATATATGATTGTGAATTTGGGGGGGGTGGGAGGATGCGGAAAATAAAAAGTATTTTGTTAAATATAACAACTAAATATAAATATTCAATTTTTTTGTTATCAGGGAAAAATAGAATTGAGTATTTTATAAAATCGAGCATATTGCATTCAACCAGTATCTTTGTCTGATACCAAAATTGAGGGTTGCAAATCTTGGCGGGCAGCACATATTTTTAGAAAGTTAAAAATTGAACGGATTGCCGATGAATCACAATTTTTTCACACAGATCAAAAGTTGAAATTTCAGATTTTGAACAGAGCGCGAAGAATGAAACAAGTCGACTCAGTCGTCTCAAAAAAAATAATTTACAAATGACATTTAATGTGACACTTAATTGATGCATCACGCTTAATAGCTTTTTCGACATCAGGCGGCACACTGGATGTAGCCAAGATTCGAACATTTTCTAAATCTGCATTACTAATCAAAGTTCTCAGATTATTCAGATGTAATGTTCGAACGCATATATACTTGTTAATTTGGATGGTTTGTCAAATTCGTTATCCTTATCTTCGACTTAAATTCGACTTCCTTATCTTTTGAATAGAATATAGATTTTATTTCTTCGTTGCATCTCATGAAGTTTCGAATAGTTTCTGCGCCATTGAATCTTATGCACACAACTTTTCTGCGTGTTGAGATTTGTCTAATTATAATTAAATTGTAGCTGTTTACTAAATTGTTAGGTTATGATCTAATTTACACATTAAATTCTGTTACTTATAGAATATAATCAACTCCTCGAGCGTGGATTATAAAATTAATCATTCGTCAACACCGCGGTCTTGTCGCTATGTATCAGTGGGGGTGACCGTACATTTGAACCCATGCGTATATCCACCGGTTCAATCTATATGCGGGTGCTAAAACCCATGGGTTAGGGTTAGTATGGGTTTAACTATCCGTGAAACAAAAAAAAATTTCATAGGTGCAATTGTCATGGGTTCAAATGTACGTGGGTTCAAATGTAATGGAACCATCAGTGGGGCGTCGCGGGTCGGATGATTTTACCTCGCGGGCCGTAGGTTGTCAACCCATGTTCTATAGTAGTGGTTCTTGAGTCGAGCCCCCCTTTGAAAAAATTTACAAACTTCGCGCCCCCCCCCCCCCCCCCCCTTATTTTTCTTTGAAAATCTGCTTTTGTAATGCGCTAGTTGTTTTATATAAAGATGGCGCTGTAGGAGTGTTAGTCTCATAGCATCATTGCTCTGATTGTTTAGGCATAAAACGCATCGGAGTACAACTTCGTTAATCTCTGTCGTATGCATAAAGCCATACTCAAATGCATTACATACATTCTCCGTTACCGCTTAGTTTGCAATACCTGGTAAAGTTAAACTAAGTTTTAAGTGAAACTAAGCACGCAACAAACGTATGCTTTTTGCGTGTTAATGTATTTTCTGCTTAAACGTTTATATATATATAGGACAGTAAAGACACGTAAGATGTCAATCGAATGTTCACTTTATCACTATTGTGCAATGCTAGAATTATTTACTGTGTGTCAGAAACATACAACAATAACAGACGTCTCCAAAATTCACTACCAATACCTTTGGATTGGACAACCACCAGGTTCAAAAATACAGTTTACAAAATTGATATATAAGTGTAGATGAATTTATGTACATTTTTAGCCAAAAAACAGCAGTTTTTTTTTGTAAAAGTTGATATGCATGTGGACGATTCCCCGACCCTTGACCGCTGAAAAATAAAGTTGGTAATTACGTTTGCGATGCCATTTTTGTTTAAATCACCGATTGTTTTCGTCAGCGTGACGTGTTATTTAAGCCGTAAAAATCGTTATTTCGGTGTTTATCAGAAATTTTCCTCGACATGTAATCGGGCAGTTTACAGCACATTTTATGTACGCGGATTTCTGTTGTATTTTGGAGTACTTTTGCTTTTATTTTATTGACGCAATCGCAAATTTAATTTATTACAATTAAATAAATAAAGCAACCATTTCAAATACGTATATCGGTCATAGATTGAATATTTTGTTCAACAGAAAACCATTACATAATCGTTGAAAAAGTCAGCTCTTTTGAGTGGCGTAATCTCGACCACTGATTCAGAAGCCGTAACGCGGGGATTTCGAGTCGATGAACATGTATTTTTCATATACTAATATACTTTATATGTATTTTCATTGTACTAAATTAAATGTATTTTCTGGGTTTTTATACCAGATCTCTCTAACGACGATAAAGAATTCGCATGAGCGCAATATATATTAAAACTAAATGTAATCGAGCAGTTATTACTGATTGATCGATTATTATTATTGTCACATTATTGTATCCGCGGATCGGCGTGTTATTTCAGATCGGTAATAAGTTTGTCGTAAGTCGCCGCCACCGTGAGTTACCTTTGACACAAAGAAATTAAAATAAAGATATATTTTGAAGTCTTCTAGTTGTCATAGATTGAATATTACGAGACAGAAAAAATTTATTATAATATGAAAAAGCGCGCATTTTTAACACAACGCGGAGACCGTTTCAGGAGCCGTTGCATGGAAATTTCCGATCCCATATTACGACCCTTCGCGCACCCCCCCCCCCCCCCTCAGAGCATCTCGCGCCACCCAGTTTAAGAACCACTGTTCTATAGCTATATAGCCCGATGTGTAGATCGCGATGCCACAAAAAAGGCTGCATTATTGATGGAAATTTTAATAAAGAGCTTTGGCGCTTGACTTTCACGAAAAATCGAAGTAGTGGTTGTCTTTTTGATGGCAAATCGAAATAGATTATCGGTATCATCATAAAACGTATATAAGCTATAACATTACTCTGTGCAAAATGCTATATTTGTTGAAATTATCTGCCAATAAGAAAGATCAAGGGTGCGACTCTATTCAAACTCTTACTCAGTGAATTTGTTGGAATTCTAACAATTAATAAAGTTTTAGGCACAAGTTAGAATCACCGGCGGTCGTTCACTGTATGCAAAAACATGAAGGGGTGAACCATACAATCTATGGCGTACTACGACTTTTCCGCCAATTTCGCGATCTTACAGAGGAAATGGATCGGTGAAAAATTTAATTAACCACATTATCTGGCACCGGTTATTTCCCCGGAGATGAACAATATCCAAAAATATTGTGATGTAACAATTTTTGAAAAAAACGTTGCAGGTAGTGTGAGTGACACTGAGTGTGCATGCCTGGGGTCGGTCGTTACGACGTCATGTAAATTCATTGCTAATAATCAATGTCGTCTTGTTGCCTTGAACAGAGATTCATCGCAAACAAAGCGGTCTTCAATACCGAAGAACCATAAAAGAAGATGTTTCACTTCATCGTGGGTATGCCCCTTTTACATGGCTGGATACGGCGTTAAAAGGACCAGGCGTTTACTCATGGAGCATAGTCATCGAGTACAGGAGCTATGGAAATTAATCATGGACTGGAGCTCAGAGCACTATGATAGTGCACATCGTCACTGGGAGATAGAGGTACTTCAATAGGTTGTTTTGGTAATAATTTTATTAAAACTTGGCACATAGTTTGATTTTATAAGAATACCAATATAAAACGGAAACAAGTTCAGGCTCACAGGAAATTAATACCACAAAAACTTGTTTTTTACGGGCGAAGATAATTGGGTTAAATATGCCCATGTAATATGGCCAAGAAGGTTTAGTTTAAATATAATTTCTCAGTTTCACGCCTTAGTGGGTCATTTTCATGCCTTGTTGATTTATTAAATGAATAAAACGTTGATAGTCGCCGTTTGATTAAAGTGGCATAGCGACAACAGCCCGCTAAAATCGTTGTATGGTTAAAGTGTCCGCCATTTGCTGTATAGGTGCGGTTACATGAAGCGCTACCATAAACGTCGTCGACGGCAAAGGTGTTTCCTTCATCCATATCAATCAAATCGTTTTTTTATTAGTCATTCCGGTAAAGCATAATAAAATAAAAACAAGAAAGATCACAAAATATTTGTACCGAATAGACGAGATAACCGTGAAATGACCATTCGTCGGTCTACTTGTCAACGTAGGGTAAAAGGCTACAAAGTTGCACAGCGCAAGACGTTTTTACGCGGGAACAGCATCGCCCGAAGATGGCGCTGCAAGGCAATAACACACCTTGTTATTTAAGTACCATATCTGATTATTATTATACGACATATAAACAGCGAAGAAAGTATATTACTTGAAAAAAACATTACCGGCATGGCAATTTTGCCCACAAAAAAGATTATCGCTAAGGCAGCGGTTCCCAAACTACTGTTTGTTCGTGCGGCGCCAAATTACCAGGGAAAAAACTCACTTACGACCCACTTACACAAAAGAAATTGCCGCCTCTGAATAAATCTCAAATTTTTGATCGTTATTCTTTACTTTTATACCTTTAAAAAAGTTCATGAACATGTAGGCATAAGGAATAAATCCAAAAGGGCAACTATTCTTCCTCATCCTGTTTGATTTTAATTTGAAATACTGAAAAAATCACTTATGATTGGTAAACTCGGTGCAGACGATAAAAAACTACAACTCGCAAAATTGCAGCAAGTAATGTCTACCCATTGTTACGCAGCAATTACGTAACAACAGAGGAAGACACTACTTATCAGAAAACGACATGGAAAGATACGGATTTATTGATTCATATACACAGCGTTTAAAAAAAAGAAACCATAACACATTTTTAATAAATACCATATGAAAAATATTAAATTATATGTTACTTATGTTTAACACTATTCTATTATTTTAGAGCATTCAGCAAATCGCCACGGCGCACCCTTTGGGAACCACTGGCATTGGGCACCTTGCAACGTATCCGACCTCGATATAGCTTTCGTTGTCTCCTACAATGGAGTTAAATTACTTCTGTAGTTTCATCGATTCTGCATGCAGGCAATAGCGTACTGATATCGCGATGAAATCGAGAAGAGTTTCAACATACAGAAAACGGAAATAATTCACGGAATGAATATTAAAACAAACCCACGATTTGCCAAACTGTAAGAGTAGGATAATGAAATAATACGGCAGAATTTTACATATGACTATGCCACAAAGAGAAAGTGCGTGGAAATAGGAGAGGTAGAACAGGTAGGCTACAACAAATCAGAATGAGCGTCAAAGTGGCTGCTAGTGCCTACTCTTTTATAATACACAAATCGATAAAGAGTGCTGGGCGAGAAGATCACTCAATGAAACAAACCAGGAAATGACTGGAATACTCCAAGAGTAAAGATTTTATGTACGTTAGTTCTCGTTCACAAAAAGCAACGCACATACAAGTATTTATGAATAGACACGATGAACAGCAGTATTAAGCTTGGCACAAAACACATGAATAATATTAAAAAATTGAGTACAAATACATAAAAAAGTAGCACAAAGAAATGTGTACAGTAGTTAGTAAATGTTAGTTTAATCCCCAGGATATGATTTATGAAGTTTGAGTACATCTCAATGAGAAATAACTTAAAAGTGTTTGACTTATGGTAGGACAACTTGTTATATACATGTTCACTAAATACTTATCTATATGTAATTCTTCACAGGTTTTGATTAGTTGGTAATTTAGTTCAGTTCGCCAATTTTACATTACATTTTCCAATATATCGCAAATATTAAAATGATAAAACCCTACGAGGTAGCCTAACTCTAACATATGTAAAACGAGCTGCAAATAAATCGATGGTGTTTGATAAAAATTACATTCAAATGTGAATATAAAACTCAATTTGCTTTCCAATATTCAACCTTGGTGTGCCAATCCCGGAAGCAAGTTCTGCCGTTGCGCACACACAGATGAACATTGCATTCGCTACACCGCACAGTTGTTCGTGGAACAGTAGTTGATTTTCTATTTACAGGAGCCAACTGATCTATTTTGGAACACACTGAACATACTCGTAGTTCTACTGTGGACACTGGGTGATGAATGCCAGCATCTTGGAGCCTGGCAAGAGATATAGAAACTGTAGTTGGGGTGTTTCGAGGAGCTCTATGGTTCCCAATCAGAGCAGTCATAAGTTTTTCCCTAAATTCTAAGTCATAATAGCTCTCCCCTGTCACTTTTTCATAGACTACCCTAGCATTATTAATAGCCACTTCGATCAAATATGAAAAGACTTTTCTATACCAAACCTTAGATCGTCTCGCTATGTTGCCATATTTTCTTACTTGATTTGATACACACAGATGTCCGGTTTGCATATTGTATTCCCTCACTAGAGGGGGGCATGGTGTTTCAACAGTGCCATATATTGTATGATCCCTCCTTCTTTTTGTAATTGTTTTTCCGGAATGACCTACGTCATAATCAGGTTCATGAATGGTGGACAAATAATAGAAAGCCTTATTGTCCATCCACGACTGAGCCAATAAATTTCCCGTTGCTCGCCAATCACTTTCACCCATTTTGCAAGTCTGTTCCATTATGAGATCCTTTGGAAATCCTACACTGTCGCTGTTAAATGTGCCACAGGCATATGTTCCTTTTGATAGTAGGTATTCAAACACCTTAGGACTGGCAAAAAAATTGTCCACATATAGATGATGGTGGAGCCATTCGAATGGACTCACTAAATATTTGATAACACGGAGGGACAATCCACTTTCTGGGTTCATAGCTTGATTTTTTCCAGAGTAAAATTGTAGTCTAGATACATATCCTGTTGATGATTCAGTTAAAAGCCAGAGCTTGATCCCGTATTTTTTATGATCCATGTATTTTTTAAATCCACTTTTGCCCTTGATTGGAATTAAGTTTTCATATATGTGAAGGTCTCTACCCGGAGTGTAGCAGGTTTGAAAACGCGGCAAAAGAAGTGACAAAAGTTCATGAATTTTAAAAAACCTATCTTTTTCATTATCTTCTTCTGCAGGCACCAGCGATTCATCACAAAAATGCAAATGTTCCTGGATAGTTTGGAATCTATCCCTTGGCATAATCATATTAAAACTTGGTACATCAAGAATCCAGTTCTTTTTTTGCCAGTACATCGCTACATGCGGGAGGCGTATTATTCCCATGAGTATAATAAGTCCCAAGAAAGCCTTCATTTCATCAACGTCAACAAACTTCCAACTTTTTTCACTTGCATCGTTTGAAACAGTTTCTACTTTGATGGAAAAATCTGGATCTTTTGATGATTGTGTTTTTAAAAACGACGCTGTTTCTTCACCCTGTATTTTTCTCACAGCATTAAGATTTGTCATATCAATAATGAATCGAATTACTTCAGAATCGAAAAAAAACGAGAAACAGTCTAGGGGAGTCGATCTTTGACCCAATTCTTTACTACACACCCTTTGCTGACCCACAAATGGCTGAATATCCCTTCCAGAGAAAGATTTTGTCCAGATGTATTCTTTCTCTTCTTGAGGATTTGGTCGCACCTTCTTTGGCCTGTGAGACTGTATCACACCTTCTAGCTCATGTTCAGAATGCCTCTTTTGAATTGCTGCAGGGGAAGTCTCCTTTTCAAGTGAATCTTCGAAAACAAAAACAAAGTTTAGAAACAGTTCCATTACATCTAGAATTTTTAAAAATAAATACTGACAAACCTTCATATTCTTCTTCAGATACTGGCTCTGTTTTGATCCTGACTCCTTTTACAGATGAGACAGATTCCTCTTCATCATCACTGTCACTATCGGGAAAGTATTCTTCATCATCATCACTCTGCCATGAATCATTCTCCTCTTTGAGAATCTTCCCATTCATACATTCCTCCATCATAATTTACCTACTTCTATATTTTCTGTAATCAGTAAGCAAGCTATAACAATTAGAACAGTGGTTCCAAACCTTTTATGGCTCGTGACCCACTCCTGTAGGCTTTAGGCACTCATGGCCCCTTTGTTTATCATTCCTGCGGTAATTAAAGTGTTATTTTGATTGCTAGATTCTAAATCCCAGTATGTTCAAACAAAACACCCTGTGAATTAACCTTAATCAAGCAATGAAACTAAGAATAACTGGGAATTTATTTGTAAAGGGAATAGTAAAATCAGTTTTGCCCCTAACATTGTGACCCACCACCCCTCAACTGCTCTGTGACTCCATTGGTGGGTCACGGGTCACCCGTTGGAAACCACTGAAATAAAATAATTGCATATATGTAAAAGTTTTTGTAATCAAAATTTGGTTTTCTCAGAGTTAGTCTGAGAGTCAAAATCCCCTCTCCCCAACCTAGAGATGTAGGCACAGAGATTTGAATTTTATGTAAATTCCATCGATGCCACAGCATTCTACGCCAATACTGTGTGAATATCTGAGGCAATACTTTAGGCATGATTAATACTTTCTAGTACCTAACAAGTATACTTGCAGTTAAAGACCATGATTGAAATAAAAATAGAAGCATAAATACATAAAAACACAGCATATCGGCAATGTGTACATGGTAGTTTATTCCCCAGGATATGGTGTATAAAAATTTGAATACGTGGGAAGGAGAATTAACTTGCAGGTGTTTGACTTATGCCTGGACAACTTGTTATAAACATGTTCACTAAATAGTTATCGGACCTCCAGAAGTAGGTGCACCAAGATGGCGCACAACCTGAACTCAGGTTGTGTACCAGGTTAGGGTTCAGGATATGCGACATCTTGGTGCGCATACTTCAGGAGTACCTAGTTTTATCTATGTGTAATTGTTCACAGGTTTTGATCAATTTTTAATTTGGTTCAAGTTGACAATTTTTGACAGTGTTTTTGATATGTAGTTTTTTATTATATCACATATCTGAAAATAAATTATCACTGTTAGGAAATTAAAAAAACAACTATAATGTACTAAAACATCCTGAACATAGAATGTTGGTGTTTGATGGGAAATAACGAGAGCGTTCAAATAAACTTGAATATAAAAAGTTTCACTTCCAATATTCAACCTTGGTGTGCCAATCCCGAAAACAAGCTCTGCCGATGAGCACACATAAGTGAACATCACATTTGCTAAACCGCACAGTTGTTCGCGAAACGGCATCTAATTTTTTATTCAGAGGAGCCAACTGATTTTTTTTTGGAACACACTAAACATACCCGTCGTATTTTTGTACACACAGGGTGATGAATGCCAGCATCTTGGAGCCTGGCAAGAGATATAGAAAATGTGGATGGGATGTTTCGAGGAGCTCCATGGTTCCCAATCAGAGCGGTCACAAGGTTTTGCCTAAACTCTAAACCTTCAGTTTGCTCTCCATCTCCAGTCACCTTTTCATGGACTACCCTAGCATTATTAATAGCCACCTCGATCAAATATGCAAAGACTTTTCTGTACCAGACCTTGGATCGTTTTGCTATGTTACCATATTTTCGTACTTAATCCGATAGAACCAAAATTGCGAGAAACAGTCGAGGAGAGTCGATCTTTGACCTAATTCTTTACTACACACCTTTTGCTGACCCCCAAATGGCCGAATATCTCTTCCAGAGAAAGATTTTGTCCAGATGTATCCATTCTCTTCTTGAGGATTTGGTCTCGCCTTTCTAGGCCTGTGAGACTGTATCACAACTTCTAGCTGATGTAGGGAATGCCTCTTTTGAATTGCTGTAGAGGAGGAGCTAGTTGTCTCGTCTTCAAGTAAATCTTTGGAAAGAAAAACAAAATTTAGAAACAATTCCATTACATCCAGATTTTTTAAAAATGAATACTAACAAACCTTCATATTTTTCTTCAGATACTGGCTCTGTTTTGATTCTGACTCCTTTTACAGACTAGACAGATTCCTCTTCATCATCACTGTCGCTATCAGGTAAGTATTCTTCATCATCATCACTCTGCCATGAATCAACCTCCTCCTTGAGAATCTTTCCATTTATACATTTCTCCATCATAAATTAACTACTTTCATATCTTCTGTTAACAGTAAGCAAGCAACAATTAGAATAGTGGTTCCCAATACTTAACACGCATGGCCCGCTTGTTTATCATTCCTGTGGTAATTAAAGTGTTATTTGATCGGTTGATTTTAAATCCCATCAAGTTCAAACAATTCATGCTCAACAAAGTGTAAACACCCTGTGAAATAACCTTGTCAAGCAATGAAACTGAGAAGAACTGGGAGTCTTTTTGTAAAGGAAATAGTAGAATCAGCTTTGCGCCTAACATTGTGCTCCCCCTCCCCCCTCAAGTGCTCTGTGTCTTTCCTTGGTCCTTGGTGGGCAACAGGACACCGGTTGGGAACCATTGAATTAGAAAAAGTGCATAGTATTTGTTATCAAAACTTGGTTTTCTCAGAGTTGGTGAGAAAGTCAAAATCCTCGAACCAACCTAGAGTTGGAAGCACATAGATTTGACTGTTGTGTAAATTTCCTTTGATGCCACAGCATTCTACGCCAATACTATATGAATATTTGAGGCAATATTTTCTTAAGCATGCTTAATACTTCCTAGTACCTAATAAGTATACTTGCAGTTCAAGATCATGATTGATAGAAAGTTAGAAGCATAAATATGTAAAAAACACAGCACATAGACAATGTGTACAGAGGTAGGTAGGGCTGTCCAAGCGAACCGAATATTCCAAAAGTGAATCGCAAATTATTCAAATGGTTTTTCGGCTAATTTTCGAATCGCTAAAATTAGGTACTCAAAGCGGAAAAGGTTTGAAACCACCTTTGCAGGACGTTTTTCATCGGGAAAGCGGCGGCGCTTCGAGCTTAGACAACTCTCGCTCATTGGTTTCCCGATATTTCTCTCGCCTTCATTTTGTGGTAAACATGTCATTCCCAATGCCCTCCCGGTGGCATGTGTATAGCCATTTCATGCATGGTCATCATAATGTAAAGTTATAATCCGTAATGACGCTTTTGAGAGAGAACAAGGAGAAAAAGGCAATTTAGTATCCTTCGCAAACAATAGTCATAGAAATAGAATCGATGTGAAGCTATTGAGTTAGTTATCATAGGAACATGGTACAGGCAACTCGTAGCTGAAACAGGTATTGTGGGATCCTTATGATGGCAATACCTTCTTTCAATTGAATTTGTAATTTCCTATGTTGGCAATATTGTATTATTCATTTATATACCAAGACAAATAATCGCACTCTTGCATTTTGATGGCTGTTGTACACTAACAATATTATATTCATCAAATAATATTGTCATCAAACTAGCTTCGAAAATGTTAAATGCAATTCTAAATTTGGGCAACAGTTTTATCTATATTAATGGTTGTTATCATTTTGCTGGAAATTGCACAAAAAACATAAGACTAGTGATAATAATAGAAATAAAATAGCATCTACAGGCTTTATTAAAACTCAATCCATTATAATTGAGTTTGCAATTTCTACTCTCAACACGAAACCCTAATTTTGGAGTCCACCAATTTTTTTGACCAGTTCATACAAGCATGTAATCTCCTTTCATAAATCTGAAACATAGTATTGCAAAATTCCAGCAGTAAGTCAGATGTAACTGCACATACGTTACCACAACATCGAGGGGCAGGCGTTTATTGTATATTAGAGACAGACTTAGGATTGCGCAATAATATTCGATTCGGCGAAAATGTTAGATTCGAATCAAAATATGATTCGATTTTGGACAGCCCTAGAGGTAGGTATATGGTAGTTTATTCCCCAGGATATGGTGTATAAAAATGTGAGTACATGGGAAGGAGAACTAACTTGGAGGTGTTTGACTTATAGTTGGGCAACTTGGTATAAACATGCGTCCAACATACTCAAAGAGTAGTGATAAGCATTTTTTTTGCATTTCACCGCTTTGGATTAGTTTTTAATTTGGTTCAATTCTTGACAGTGTTTTATATTTAATTTTTCATTACATTGCACACCCAAAAATAAATGAGCACTGGTAGGTAAGTTTTTTAATTTACCTACCAGTGCTACCATTAAAAAACAACTATCGTGTATCAAAACAATTCGAACATAGAATGTTGGTCTGTGAAGGAAATAGAAATAACTTTAAATATAAAAAGTATCACTTCCGATATTCAACCTTGGTGTGCCAATCACGAAAACAAGCTTTACCATTGCGCACACACAAATGAACATTGCATTCGCTACACTGTACAGTTGTTCGCGAAGTCCACTTAACTTTTTCATTGACAGCAGCCATCTGATTTTTCTTGGAACATACCAAACATGTTCGATGTATTTCTATGCACACTGGGTGATGGATGCCAGCATTTTGAAGTCTGGCAAGTGATAAAGAAACTGTATTTGTGGTGTACTGAGGTGCTCTAGTGTTCCCGATCAAAGATGTCATAAGTTTTACCCTAAATTCTAAGACATCACAGCTCTCTCCAGTCACTTTTTCATAGACTACCATAGAATTATTAATAGCCACCTCAATCACATACGAAAAAACTTTTCTATACCAGACTCTTGATCGCCTCGCCGTGTTGCCATATTTTCGTACTTGATATGCTAGACCCAAACGTCCAGTTTGCATATTGTATTCTCTCACAAGAGGGGGGCATGGTGTTTCGACGGTCCCATATATTGTATGACCCCTTCTCCTTTTTGTAATTGTTCTTTCAGAATGACCTTTCTCATAATCAGGGTCGTGAATGGTTGACAAAAAATACAAAGCTCCATTGTCCATCCACGACTGAGCCAATAAATTTCCTGTTGCTCGCCAATCACTCTCACCCATCTTGCAAGTCTCTTCCATTATGAGATCCATTGGAAATCCCACACAGTCTGTATTAATTGTGCCACAAGCATATATTCCTTTCGACAATAGGTATTCAAACACTTCAGGATTTGTAAAAAAGTTGTCCACATATAAATGGTGGTTAAGCTCTTCAAATGGACTCATCAAATATTTAATAACACGCAAGGATAAACCACTTTCTGGGTTCACAGCTTGATTTTTTCCCGTGTAAAATTGTAGTCTAGATACATATCCCGTCGATGATTCAGTTAAAAACCAGAGCTTGATCCCATATTTTTTATGATCCATGTATTTTCGAAACCCAATTTTCCCCTTGATTGGGATCAAGGATTCATTTATGTGAAGGTCTCTTCCAGGAGTGTAGCAGGTTTGAAAACGTGGCAAAAGAAGTGCCAAGAGTCCATGAATCTTCAAGAACTTTTCAGGATCTTTTTCGGGATCTTCTTCTGCAGGTGCCAACGGTTCATCACAAAAATGCAGGTGGTGCTGAATATTATTGAATCGATCTCTTGGCATGATCATATTGAAACTTGGTATATCAAGAATCCAGCTCTTTTTTTGCCAGTACATCGCTTGACGTGGGAGACGAATTATTCCCATAAGTATATTAAGTCCCAAAAAAGCATTCATTTCATCAACATCAACAAACTTCCAACTTTTTTTACTTGCATCGTTTGAAACAGTTTCTACTTTGATGGAAAAATCTGGATCGTTTGATGATTGTGTTTTTAAAAACAACGCTGTTTCTTCACCCTGCACTTTTCTCACAGCATTAAGATTCGTCATATCAATAATGAATCGAATTACTTCAGAATAAAAAAATTGCGAGAAACAGTCCAAGGGAGTCGATCTTGGGCCCAATTCTTTACTGCAAACCCGTTGCTGACCTCCAAATGGCGGGATATCTCTTCCAGAGAATGATTTCGTCCAGTTGTACTCTTTCTCTTCTTGTGTATTAGGTCGCACCTTCTTAGGCCTGTGTGATGGTATCACAACTTCCAGCTTGTGTTCAGAATGCCTCTTTTGTATTGCTGAAGAGGAAGATCTAGTTGTCTGGTCTTCTTCAGGTGAATCTTAGAAAGCAGAATTTATCATTAGCTCTAGATTATAATAAAATAAATACTAACTAACCGGCGTGGCGGTGTTGCCCATCCTGCAAGGCGTTAGGAATACGCTCACCAACGCACCGCTAATTACTCTGCATGGGTTCAAATCACATGCTAAGATAATTATGTGTAATAAGATTGTTGGACTCTTCGCCGCGGTAGGGTGGTTCACGTAACCGCTGGTCAGTTACGGCTTCCTCCAACATCAAGTCCATGCTTTCGAAAACAAATACTGGCTAATCTCGTACCTGACATGGAATGGTAACCGAACGATAGGCAGTGGTTCGCCATATGGTTAACCCATTTATCCACTTTTCCCTCCCCCAGGATAAATATGTAAATACTAACTAACCTTCATCAGATACTGGCTCTGTTTTGATCTTGAATCCTTTTACAGATGAGACAGATTCCTCTTCATCATCACTATCAGGAAAGTATTCTCCGTCATCATCACTCTGCTCTGAATCATTCTCTTCTTCACTAATATTTCCATTCACAGATTCCTCCATCATAATTATTTTATGTTTCCCTTAACTAATTTTCTGGAACTAGTTTTTCTATGAACATAATTTTCATTCATAATCAATTAAAATATAAGGTCATGGACAAGCTTATGAAACAAATTGTCTCACTAACATTGACCAACGACAATTAAGTGAAAGTGGACATACAGATATTTAAAAAAAATTACAATCATTCATGGCATTTTTCTTCAATATAGCAAAACCAATTAATATTCACATATTTTTTGTCATTCAATGTTAGTCCATGCATGTTATATTTTTATTTCAGTGCCTCTTGAAAGTTATAATTTGCACAGATTCGCTGGATTAAATCCTGTAGGAGATAATTATGTTGAAGAAGATTGCTAAATCGCCACTGTCGTAATGTAGTTCATGTTACTGCTGGTCAGTTATAACCTCCATTATCCAGTCCATACATCTGAAAATGTATACCTAGAATGACATGCCATATGACTGAGGGATCTCATTGGCATTCCTCCTCCACGCAGTAAATATGAAAGTCTCAACTTGATACATACTGTTATCAAATTTTTCAGTGTATAAGTTTTTATATCGCATTCTTAAAATATTCTGTAACCCTTGGCAAGCTTTCACGATCCAAAACGATACTCCCGAAGTATGTGAACCAAGATGGCGGACACCGGAACGTAGTATGTGTAATAGGTTAGGCCATAACGTGAACCAGGGCCCAAAATTAGAAATATTTCCCCACAACACCTCTACTCTTATACTATATGATAGGGCTACTCAACTGGTGGACTGCGGTCCAAATCCAGACCTTTCGAGAATCCGATTCGGCCTGAGTCTGATTCTTTATTTTGGTGCCTTGACGCCATTGACTTTAGATATGTAAACATTGTGAAGGTGACCTTTATTTATAATTTCAGGTTATTTTATCACTTTAAGTTAGAGGCACCAAAATATATTTAGACGCACCTCGAAATATATTTTCTGAAAGGACCAAATCTCAGTAATTTTTAGGTCCCATATAAGAATCTTTGGTAAAAATAGTTGAGTAGCCCTGCTTTATGAAATATACTTAAAGCCCGATATATATAAAACATACCCCAAGAAAATGTTTTTGAGCATGCTTTAATACGTACGTACGGGCATCAAATGGCACAAAACACATGAATAATAATAAAAAATTGAGTACAAATACATAAAAAAGTAGCAGATAGAAATGTGTACAGTAGTTAGTAAATGTTAGTTTAATCCCCAGGATATGATTTATGAAATTTGAGTAGATCGCAATGAGAACTAACTCAAAAGTGTTTGACTTATGGTAGGACAACTTGTTATATACATGCTCACTAAATACTTATCTTTATGTAATTCTTCACAGGTTTTGATTAGTTGTTAATTTAGTTGAGTTCGCCAATTTTACATTACATTTTCCGGACCTCCTGAAGTATGCATACCAAGATGGCGCACAACCTGAACTCATGTTGTGTATCAGGTTACAGTTCAGGTTATGCGACATCTTGGTGCGTATACTTCAGGAGTACCCATTTTCCAATATATATCGCAAATTTTCAAAATGATAAAACCCTACGAGGTAGCCTAACCCTAACGTATGTAAAACAAGCTGCAAATAAATCGAAGGTGTTTGATAAAAATTACATTCAAATGTGAATATAAAACTCATTTTCCTTTCCAATATTCAACCTTGGTGTGCCAATCCCGGAAGCAAGTTCTGCCGTTGCGCACACACAGGTGAACATTGCATTCGCTACACCGCACAGTTGTTCGTGGAACAGTAGTTGATTTTCTATTTACAGGAGCCAACTGATCTATTTTGGAACACACTGAACATACTCGTAGTTCTACTGTGGACACTGGGTGATGAATGCCAGCATCTTGGAGCCTGGCAAGAGATATAGAAACTGTAGTTGGGGTGTTTCGAGGAGCTCTATGGTTCCCAATCAGAGCAGTCATGAGTTTTTCCCTAAATTCTAAGTCATAATAGCTCTCCCCTGTCACTTTTTCATAGACTACCCTAGCATTATTAATAGCCACTTCGATCAAATATGAAAAGACTTTTCTATACCAAACCTTAGATCGTCTCGCTATGTTGCCATATTTTCTTACTTGATTTGATACACACAGATGTCCGGTTTGCATATTGTATTCCCTCACTAGAGGGGGGCATGGTGTTTCAACAGTGCCATATATTGTATGATCCCTCCTTCTTTTTGTAATTGTTTTTCCGGAATGGCCTTCCCCATAATCAGGTTCATGAATGGTGGACAAATAATAGAAAGCCTTATTGTCCATCCACGACTGAGCCAATAAATTTCCCGTTGCTCGCCAATCACTTTCACCCATTTTACAAGTCTGTTCCATTATGAGATCCTTTGGAAATCCTACACTGTCGCTGTTAAATGTGCCACAGGCATATGTTCCTTTTGATAGTAGGTATTCAAACACCTTAGGACTGGCAAAAAAATTGTCCACATATAGATGATGGTGGAGCCATTCGAATGGACTCACTAAATATTTGATAACACGGAGGGACAATCCACTTTCTGGGTTCATAGCTTGATTTTTTCCAGAGTAAAATTGTAGTCTAGATATATATCCCGTTGATGATTCAGTTAAAAGCCAGAGCTTGATCCCGTATTTTTTATGATCCATGTATTTTTTAAATCCACTTTTGCCCTTGATTGGAATTAAGTTTTCATATATGTGAAGGTCTCTACCCGGAGTGTAGCAGGTTTGAAAACGCGGCAAAAGAAGTGACAAAAGTTCATGAATTTTAAAAAACTTATCTTTTTCAGCATCTTCTTCTGCAGGCACCAGCGATTCATCACAAAAATGCAAATGTTCCTGGATAGTTTGGAATCTATCCCTTGGCATAATCATATTAAAACTTGGTACATCCAGAATCCAGTTCTTTTTTTGCCAGTACATCGCTACATGCGGGAGGCGTATTATTCCCATGAGTATAATAAGTCCCAAGAAAGCCTTCATTTCATCAACGTCAACAAACTTCCAACTTTTTTCACTTGCATCGTTTGAAACAGTTTCTACTTTGATGGAAAAATCTGGATCTTTTGATGATTGTGTTTTTAAAAACGACGCTGTTTCTTCACCCTGTATTTTTCTCACAGCATTAAGATTTGTCATATCAATAATGAATCGAATTACTTCAGAATCAAAAAAAAACGAGAAACAGTCTAGGGGAGTCGATCTTTGACCCAATTCTTTACTACACACCCTTTGCTGACCCACAAATGGCTGAATATCTCTTCCAGAGAAAGATTTTGTCCAGATGTATTCTTTCTCTTCTTGAGGATTTGGTCGCACCTTCTTTGGCCTGTGAGACTGTATCACAACTTCTAGCTCATGTTCAGAATGCCTCTTTTGAATTGCTGGAGGGGAAGTCTCCTTTTCAAGTGAATCTTCGAAAACAAAAACAAAATTTAGAAACAGTTCCATTACATCTAGAATTTTTAAAAATAAATACTGACAAACCTTCATATTCTTCTTCAGATACTGGCTCTGTTTTGATCCTTACTTCTTTTACAGATGCGATAGATTCCTCTTCATCATCACTGTCACTATCAGGAAAGTATTCTTCATCATCATCACTCTGCCATGAATCATTCTCCTCTTTGAGAATCTTCCCATTCATACATTCCTCCATCATAATTTACCTACTTCTATATTTTCTGTAATCAGTAAGCAAGCTATAACAATTAGAACAGTGGTTCCAAACCTTTTATGGCTCGTGACCCACTCCTGTAGGCTTTAGGCACTCATGGCCCCTTTGTTTATCATTCCTGCGGTAATTAAAGTGTTATTTTGATTGCTAGATTCTAAATCCCAGTATGTTCAAACAAAACACCCTGTGAATTAACCTTAATCAAGCAATGAAACTAAGAATAACTGGGAATTTATTTGTAAAGGGAATAGTAAAATCAGTTTTGCCCCTAACATTGTGACCCACCACCCCTCAACTGCTCTGTGACTCCATTGGTGGGTCACGGGTCACCAGTTGGAAACCACTGAAATAAAATAATTGCATATATGTAAAAGTTTTTGTAATCAAAATTTGGTTTTCTCAGAGTTAGTCTGAGAGTCAAAATCCCCTCTCCCCAACCTAGAGATGTAGGCAGAGAGATTTGAATTTTATGTAAATTCCATCGATGCCACAGCATTCTACGCCAATACTGTGTGAATATCTGAGGCAATACTTTAGGCATGATTAATACTTTCTAGTATCTAACAAGTATACTTGCAGTTAAAGACCATGATTGAAATAAAAATAGAAGCATAAATACATAAAAACACAGCATATCGGCAATGTGTACATGGCAGTTTATTCCCCAGGATATGGTGTATAAAAATTTGAATACGTGGGAAGGAGAATTAACTTGCAGGTGTTTGACTTATGGCTGGACAACTTGTTATAAACATGTTCACTAAATAGTTATCGGACCTCCAGAAGTAGGTGCACCAAGATGGCGCACAACCTGAACTCAGGTTGTGTACCAGGTTAGGGTTCAGGTTATGCGACATCTTGGTGCGCATACTTCAGGAGTACCTAGTTTTATCAATGTGTAATTGTTTACAGGTTTTGATCAATTTTTAATTTGGTTCAAGTTGACAATCTTTGGCAGTGTTTTTGATATATAATTTTTTATTATATCACGTATCTGAAAATAAATTATCACTGTTAGGAAATTAAAAAAACAACTATAATGTACTAAAACATCCTGAACATAGAATGTTGGTGTTTGATGGGAAATAACGAGAGCGTTCAAATAAACTTGAATATAAAAAGTTTCACTTCCAATATTCAACCTTGGTGTGCCAATCCCGAAAACAAGCTCTGCCGTTGAGCACACATAAGTGAACATCACATTTGCTACACCGCACAGTTGTTCGCGAAACGGCATCTAATTTTTTATCCAGAGGAGCCAACTGATTTTTTTTGGAACACACTAAACATACCCATTGTATTTTTGTACACACAGAGTGATGAATGCCAGCATCTTGGAGCCTGGCAAGAGATATAGAAAATGTGGATGAGATGTTTCGAGGAACTCTATGGTTCCCAATCAGAGCGGTCACAAGGTTTTGCCTAAATTCTAAACCTTCAGTTTGCTCTCCATCTCCAGTCACCTTTTCATGGACTACCCTAGCATTATTAATAGCCACCTCGATCAAATATGCAAAGACTTTTCTGTACCAGACCTTGGATCGTTTCGCTATGTTACCATATTTTCGTACTTAATCCGATAGAACCAAAATTGCGAGAAACAGTCGAGGAGAGTCGATCTTTGACCCTAATTCTTTACTACACACCTTTTGCTGACCCCCAAATGGCCGAATATCTCTTCCAGAGAAAGATTTTGTCCAGATGTATCCATTCTCTTCTTGAGGATTTGGTCTCGCCTTTCTAGGCCTGTGAGACTGTATCACAACTTCTAGCTGATGTAGGGAATGCCGCTTTTGAATTGCTGCAGAGGAGGAGCTAGTTGTCTCGTCTTCAAGTAAATCTTTGGAAGGAAAAGAAAAATTTAGAAACAATTCCATTACATTCAGATTTTTTAAAAATGAATACTAACAAACCTTCATATTCTTCTTCAGATACTGGCTCTGTTTTGATCCTGACTCCTTTTACAGATGAGACAGATTCCTCTTCATCATCACTGTCACTATCAGGTAAGTATTCTTCATCATCATCACTCTGGCATGAATCATTCTCCTCTTTGAGAATCTTTCCATTTATACATTTCTCCATCATAAATTAACTACTTTCATATCTTCTGTTAACAGTAAGCAAGCAACAATTAGAATAGTGGTTCCCAATACTTAACACGCATGGCCCGCTTGTTTATCATTCCTGTGGTAATTAAAGTGTTATTTGAACGGTTGATTTTAAATCCCATCATGTTCAAACAATTCATGCTCAACAAAGTGTAAACACCCTGTGAAATAACCTTGTCAAGCAATGAAACTAAGAAGAACTGGTAGTTTTTTTGTTAAGGGAATAGTAAAATCAGCTTTGCGCCTAACATTGTGCCCCCCCCTCCCCCCTCAAGTGCTCTGTGTCTTTCCTTGGTCCTTGGTGGGCAACAGGACACCGGTTGAGAACCATTGAATTAGAATAAGTGCATAGTATTTGTCATCAAAACTTGGTTTTCTCAGAGTTGGTGAGAAAGTCAAAATCCTCGAACCAACCTAGAGTTGGAAGCACATAGATTTGAATGTTGTGTAAATTTCCTTTGATGCCACAGCATTCTACGCCAATACTATATGAATATTTGAGGCAATATTTTCTTAAGCCTGCTTAATACTTCCTAGTTCCCTGATAAGTATACTTGCAGTTCAAGATCATGATTGATAGAAAGTTAGAAGCATAAATAATAAAAAACACAGCACATAGACAATGTGTATAGAGGTAGGTAGGGCTGTCCAAGCGAACCGAATATTCCAAAAGTGAATCGCAAATTATTCAAATGGTTTTTTGGCTAATTTTCGAATCGCTAAAAAAGCGAAAAAGGTTTGAAACCGCCTTTGCAGGACGTTTTTCATCGGGGAAGCGGCGGCGCTTCGAGCTTAGACAACTCTCGCTCATGTCTTAAATTGGTTTCCCGATATTTCTCTCGCCTTCAGTTTGTGGTAAACATGTCATTCCCAATGCCCTCCCGGTGGCATGTGTATAGCCATTTCATGCATGGTCATCATAATGTAAAGTTATAATCCGTAATGACGCTTTTGAGAGAGAACAAGGAGAAAAAGGCAATTTAGTATCCTTCGCAAACAATAGTCATAGAAATAGAATCGATGTGAAGCTATTGAGTTAGTTATCATAGGAACATGGTACAGGCAGCTCGTAGCTGAAACAGGTATTGTGGGATCCTTATGATGGCAATACCTTCTTTCAATTGAATTTGTAATTTCCTATGTTGGCAATATTGTATTATCCATTTATATACCAAGACAAATGATTGCACTCTTGCATTTCGATGGCTGTTGTACACTAACAATATTATAGTCATCAAATAATATTGTCATCAAACTAGCTTCGAAAATGTTAAATGCAATTCTAAATTTGGGCAACAGTTTTATCTATATTAATGGTATCATTTTGCTGGAAATTGCACAAAAAACATAAGACTAGTGATAATAATAAAAATAAATAGCATCTACAGGCTTTATTAAAACTGAATCCATTATAATTGAGTTTGCAATTTCTACTCTCAACACGAAACCCTAATTTTGGAGTCCACCAATTTTTTTGACCAGTTCATACAAGCATGTGATCTCCTTTCATAAATCTGAAACATAGTATTGCAAAATACCAGCAGTAAGTCAGATGTAACTGCACATACGTTACCACAACATCGAGGGGCAGGCGTTTATTGTATATTAGAGACAGACTTAGGATTGCGCAATAATATTCGATTCGGCGAAAATGTTAGATTCGAATCAAAAAATGATTCGATTTTGGACAGCCCTAGAGGTAGGTCTAAGGTAGTTTATTCCCCTGGATATTGTGTATAAAAATGTGAGTACATGGGAAGGAGAACTAACTTGGAGGTGTTTGACTTATGGTTGGGCAACTTGGCATAAACATGCGTCCAAAATACTCAAAGAGTAGTGATAAGCATTTTTTTGCATTTCACCGCTTTGGATTAGTTTTTAATTTGGTTCAATTCGACAATTCTTGACAGTGTTTTATATTTAATTTTTCATTACATTGCACACCCAAAAATAAATGAGCACTGGTAGGTAAGTTTTTTAATTTACCTACCAGTGCTACCATTAAAAAACAACTATCGTGTATCAAAACAATTCGAACATAGAATGTTGGTCTGTGAAGGAAATAGAAATAACTTTAAATATAAAAAGTATCACTTCCAATATTCAACCTTGGTGTGCCAATCACGAAAACAAGCTTTGCCATTGCGCACACACAAATGAACATTGCATTCGCTACACCGTACAGTTGTTCGCGAAGTCCACTTAACTTTTTCATTGACAGCAGCCATCTGATTTTTCTTGGAACATACCAAACATGTTCGATGTATTTCTATGCACACTGGGTGATGGATGCCAGCATTTTGAAGTCTGGCAAGTGATAAAGAAACTGTATTTGTGGTGTACTGAGGTGCTCTAGTGTTCCCTTCCCGATCAAAGATGTCATAAGTTTTACCCTAAATTCTAAGACATCACAGCTCTCTCCAGTCACTTTTTCATAGACTACCAAAGAATTATTAATAGCCACCTCAATCACATACGAAAAAACTTTTCTATACCAGACTCTTGATCGCCTCGCCGTGTTGCCATATTTTCGTACTTGATATGCTAGACCCAAACGTCCAGTTTGCATATTGTATTCTCTCACAAGAGGGGGGCATGGTGTTTCGACAGTCCCATATATTGTATGACCCCTTCTCCTTTTTGTAATTGTTCTTTCAGAATGATCTTTCTCATAATCAGGGTCGTGAATGGTTGACAAAAAATACAAAGCTCCATTGTCCATCCACGACTGAGCCAATAAATTTCCTGTTGCTCGCCAATCACTCTCACCCATCTTGCAAGTCTCTTCCATTATGAGATCCATTGGAAATCCCACACAGTCTGTATTAATTGTGCCACAAGCATATATTTCTTTCGACAATAGGTATTCAAACACTTCAGGATTTGTAAAAAAGTTGTCCACATATAAATGATGGTTAAGCTTTTCAAATGGACTCATCAAATATTTAATAACACGCAAGGATAAACCACTTTCAGGGTTCACAGCTTGATTTTTTCCAGTGTAAAATTGTAGTCTAGATATATATCCTGTTGATGATTCAGTTAAAAACCAGAGCTTGATCCCATATTTTTTATGATCCATGTATTTTCGAAACCCAATTTTCCCCTTGATTGGAATCAAGGTTTCATTTATGTGAAGGTCTCTTCCAGGAGTGTAGCAGGTTTGAAAACGTGGCAAAAGAAGTGCCAAAAGTCCATGAATCTTCAAGAACTTTTCAGGATCTTTTTCGGGATCTTCTTCTGCAGGTGCCAACGGTTCATCACAAAAATGCAGGTGGTGCTGAATATTATTGAATCGATCTCTTGGCATGATCATATTGAAACTTGGTATATCAAGAATCCAGCTCTTTTTTTGCCAGTACATCGCTTGACGTGGGAGACGAATTATTCCCATAAGTATATTAAGTCCCAAAAAAGCATTCATTTCATCAACATCAACGAACTTCCAACTTTTTTTACTTGCATCGTTTGAAACAGTTTCTACTTTAATAGAAAAATCTGGATCGTTTGAGGATTGTGTTTTCAAAAAAGATGCTGTTTCTTCACCCTGCACTTTTCTCACAGCATTAAGATTCGTCATATCAATAATGAATCGAATTACTTCAGATTCAAAAAATTGTGAGAAACAGTCCAAGGGAGTATTGCGAGAAACAGTCCAAGGGAGTCGATCTTGGGCCCAATTCTTTACTGCAAACCCGTTGCTGACCTCCAAATGGCGGGATATCTCTTCCAGAGAATGATTTCGTCCAGTTGTACTCTTTCTCTTCTTGTGTATTGGGTCGCACCTTCTTAGGCCTGTGTGATGGTATCACAACTTCCAGCTTGTGTTCAGAATGCCTCTTTTGTATTGCTGAAGAGGAAGATCTAGTTGTCTGGTCTTCTTCAGGTGAATCTTAGAAAGCAGAATTTATCATTAGCTCTAGATTATAATAAAATAAATACTAACTAACCGGCGTGGCGGTGTTGCCCATCCTGCAAGGCGTTAGGAATACGCTCACCACCGCACCGCTAATTACTCTGCATGGGTTCAAATCACATGCTAAGATAGTTATGTGTAATAGGATTGCTGGACTCTTCGCCGTGGTAGGGTGGTTCACGTAACCGCTGGTCAGTTACGGCTTCCTCCAACATCAAGTCCATGCTTTCGAAAACAAATACTGGCTAATCTCGTACCTGACATGGAATGGTAACCGAACGATAGGCAGTGGTTCGCCATATGGATAAGCCGCATTTCTCTCCCCCAGGATAAGTATGTAAATACTAACTAACCTTCATCAGATACTGGCTCTGTTTTGATCTTGAATCCTTTTACATATGAGACAGATTCCTCTTCATCATCACTATCAGGAAAGTATTCTCCATCATCATCACTCTGCTCTGAATCATTCTCTTCTTCACTAATATTTCCATTCACAGATTCCTTCATCATAATTAATTTATGTTTCCCTTAACTAATTTTCTGGAACTAGTTTTTCTATGAACAGAATTTTCATTCATAATCAATTAAAATATAAGGTCATGGACAAGCTTATGAAACAAATTGTCTCACTAACATTGACCAACGACAATTAGGTGAAAATGAACATACAGATATTTAAAAAAATTACAATCATTCATGGCATTTTTCTTCAATATAGCAAAACCAATTAATATTCACATATTTTTTGTCATTCAATGTTAGTCCATGCATGTTATATTTTTATTTCAGTGCCCAGTGCCTCTTGAAAGTGATAATTTGCACAGATTCGCTGGATTAAATTCTGTAGGAGATAATTATGTTGAAGAAGATTGCTAAATCGTCACTGTCGTAATGTAGTTCATGTTACTGCTGGTCAGTTATAACCTCCATTATCCAGTCCATACATCTGAAAATGAATACCTAGAATGACATGCCATATGACTGAGGGATCTCATTGGCATTCCTCCTCCACGCAGTAAATATGAAAAGTCTCAACCTGATACACACTGTTATCAAATTTTTCAGTGTAAAAGTTTTTATATCGCATTCTTAAAATATTCTGTAACCCTTGGCAAGCTTTCACGAACCAAAACGATACTCCTAAAGTATGTGAACCAAGATGGCGGACACCGGAACGTAGTAGGTGTAATAGGTTAGGCCATAATATGAACCAGGGCCCAAAATTAGAAATATTTCCCCACAACACCTCTACTCTGATACTATATGATAGGGCTACTCAACTGGTGGACTGCGGTCCAAATCCAGACCTTTCGGACTGAGTCTGATTCTTTATTTTGGTGCCTTGACGCCATTAACTTTAGATATGTAAACATTGTGAAGGTTACCTTTTATTTATGATTTCAGGTTATTTTATCACTATAAGTTAAGAGGCACCAAAATATATTTAGACTCACTTTGAAATATATTTTCTGAAAGGACCAAATCTCAGTAATTTTTAGGTCCCATATAAGAATCTTTGGTAAAAATAGTTGAGTAGCCCTGCTTTATGAAATATACTTAAAGCCCGATATATATAAAACATACTCCAAGAAAATGTTTTTGAGCATGCTTTAATACGTACGTACGGGCATCAAATGGCACAAAACACATGAATAATAATAAAAAATTGAGTACAAATACATAAAAAAGTAGCAGATAGAAATGTGTACAGTAGTTAGTAAATGTTAATTTAATCCCCAGGATATGATTTATGAAATTTGAGTAGATCGCAATGAGAACTAACTTAAAAGTGTTTGACTTATGGTAGGACAACTTGTTATATACATGTTCACTAAATACTTATCTATATGTAATTCTTCACAGGTTTTGATTAGTTGTTAATTTAGTTGAGTTCGCCAATTTTACATTACATTTTCCGGACCTCCTGAAGTATGCATACCAAGATGGCGCACAACCTGAACTCATGTTGTGTACCAGGTTACAGTTCAGGTTATGCGACATCTTGGTGCGTATACTTCAGGAGTACCCATTTTCCAATATATATCGCAAATTTTCAAAATGATAAAACCCTACGAGGTAGCCTAACCCTAACGTAGGTAAAACAAGCAGCACATAAATCGATGGTGTTTGATAAAAATTACATTCAAATGTGAATATAAAACTCATTTTGCTTTCCAATATTCAACCTTGGTGTGCCAATCCCGGAAGCAAGTTCTGCCGTTGCGCACACACAGGTGAACATTGCATTCGCTACACCGCACAGTTGTTCGTGGAACAGTAGTTGATTTTCTATTTACAGGAGCCAACTGATCTATTTTGGAACACACTGAACATACTCGTAGTTCTACTGTGGACACTGGGTGATGAATGCCAGCATCTTGGAGCCTGGCAAGAGATATAGAAACTGTAGTTGGGGTGTTTCGAGGAGCTCTATGGTTCCCAATCAGAGCAGTCATAAGTTTTTCCCTAAATTCTAAGTCATAATAGCTCTCCCCTGTCACTTTTTCATAGACTACCCTAGCATTATTAATAGCCACTTCGATCAAATATGAAAAGACTTTTCTATACCAAACCTTAGATCGTCTCGCTATGTTGCCATATTTTCTTACTTGATTTGATACACACAGATGTCCGGTTTGCATATTGTATTCCCTCACTAGAGGGGGGCATGGTGTTTCAACAGTGCCATATATTGTATGATCCCTCCTTCTTTTTGTAATTGTTTTTTCGGAATGGTCTTCCCCATAATCAGGTTCATGAATGGTGGACAAATAATAGAAAGCCTTATTGTCCATCCACGACTGAGCCAATAAATTTCCCGTTGCTCGCCAATCACTTTCACCCATTTTGCAAGTCTGTTCCATTATGAGATCCTTTGGAAATCCTACACTGTCGCTGTTAAATGTGCCACAGGCATATGTTCCTTTTGATAGTAGGTATTCAAACACCTTAGGACTGGCAAAAAAATTGTCCACATATAGATGATGGTGGAGCCATTCGAATGGACTCACTAAATATTTGATAACACGGAGGGACAATCCACTTTCTGGGTTCATAGCTTGATTTTTTCCAGAGTAAAATTGTAGTCTAGATATATATCCCGTTGATGATTCAGTTAAAAGCCAGAGCTTGATCCCATATTTTTTATGATCCATGTATTTTTTAAATCCACTTTTGCCCTTGATTGGAATTAAGTTTTCATATATGTGAAGGTCTCTACCCGGAGTGTAGCAGGTTTGAAAACGCGGCAAAAGAAGTGACAAAAGTTCATGAATTTTAAAAAACCTATCTTTTTCAGCATCTTCTTCTGCAGGCACCAGCGATTCATCACAAAAATGCAAATGTTCCTGGATAGTTTGGAATCTATCCCTTGGCATAATCATATTAAAACTTGGTACATCAAGAATCCAGTTCTTTTTTTGCCAGTACATCGCTACATGCGGGAGGCGTATTATTCCCATGAGTATAATAAGTCCCAAGAAAGCCTTCATTTCATCAACGTCAACAAACTTCCAACTTTTTTCACTTGCATCGTTTGAAACAGTTTCTACTTTGATGGAAAAATCAGGATCTTTTGATGATTGTGTTTTTAAAAACGACGCTGTTTCTTCACCCTGTATTTTTCTCACAGCATTAAGATTTGTCATATCAATAATGAATCGAATTACTTCAGAATCGAAAAAAAACGAGAAACAGTCTAGGGGAGTCGATCTTTGACCCAATTCTTTACTACACACCCTTTGCTGACCCACAAATGGCTGAATATCTCTTCCAGAGAAAGATTTTGTCCAGATGTATTTGTCCTCTTCTTGAGGATTTGGTCGCACCTTCTTTGGCCTGTGAGACTGTATCACGACTTCTAGCTCATGTTCAGAATGCCTCTTTTGAATTGCTGCAGGGGAAGTCTCCTTTTCAAGTGAATCTTCGAAAACAAAAACAAATTTAGAAACAGTTCCATTACATCTAGAATTTTTAAAAATAAATAATGACAAACCTTCATATTCTTCTTCAGATACTGGCTCTGTTTTGATCCTGACTCCTTTTACAGATGAGACAGATTCCTCTTCATCATCACTGTCACTATCAGGAAAGTATTCTTCATCATCATCATCACTCTGGCATGAATCATTCTCCTCTTTGAGAATCTTCCCATTCATACATTCCTCCATCATAATTTAACTACTTCTATATTTTCTGTAATCAGTAAGCAAGCTATAACAATTAGAACAGTGGTTCCAAACCTTTTATGGCTCGTGACCCACTCCTGTAGGCTTTAGGCACTCATGGCCCCTTTGTTTATCATTCCTGCGGTAATTAAAGTGTTATTTTGATTGCTAGATTCTGAATCCCAGTATGTTCAAACAAAACACCCTGTGAATTAACCTTAATCAAGCAATGAAACTAAGAAGAACTGGGAATTTTTTTGTAAAGGGAATAGTAAAATCAGTTTTGCCCCTAACATTGTGACCCACCACCCCTCAACTGCTCTGTGACTCCATTGGTGGGTCACGGGTCACCAGTTGGAAACCACTGAAATAAAATAATTGCATATATGTAAAAGTTTTTGTAATCAAAATTTGGTTTTCTCAGAGTTAGTCTGAGAGTCAAAATCCCCTCTCCCCAACCTAGAGTTGTAGGCACAGAGATTTGAATTTTATGTAAATTCCATCGATGCCCCAGCATTCTACGCCAATACTGTGTGAATATCTGAGGCAATACTTTAGGCATGATTAATACTTTCTAGTATCTAACAAGTATACTTGCAGTTAAAGACCAGGATTGAAATAAAAATAGAAGCATAAATACATAAAAACACAGCATATCGGCAATGTGTACATGGTAGTTTCTTCCCAGGATATGGTGTATAAAAATTTGAATCCGTGGGAAGGAGAATTAACTTGCAGGTGTTTGACTTATGCCTGGACAACTTGTTATAAACATGTTCACTAAATAGTTATCGGACCTCCAGAAGTAGGTGCACCAAGATGGCGCACAACCTGAACTCAGGTTGTGTACCAGGTTAGGGTTCAGGTTATGCGACATCTTGGTGCGCATACTTCAGGAGTACCTAGTTTTATCTATGTGTAATTGTTCACAGGTTTTGATCAATTTTTAATTTGGTTCAAGTTGACAATTTTTGGCAGTGTTTTTGATATGTAATTTTTTATTATATCACATATCTGAAAATAAATTATCACTGTTAGGAAATTAAAAAAACAACTATATAGTACTAAAACATCCTGAACATAGAATGTTGGTGTTTGATGGGAAATAACGAGAGCGTTCAAATAAACTTGAATATAAAAAGTTTCACTTCCAATATTCAACCTTGGTGTGCCAATCCCGAAAACAAGCTCTGCCGTTGAGCACACATAAGTGAACATCACATTTGCTACACCGCACAGTTGTTCGCGAAACGGCATCTAATTTTTTATTCAGAGGAGCCAACTGATTTTTTTTGGAACACACTAAACATACCCGTTGTATTTTTGTACACACAGGGTGATGAATGCCAGCATCTTGGAGCCTGGCAAGAGATATAGAAAATGTGGATGGGATGTTTCGAGGAGCTCTATGGTTCCCAATCAGAGCGGTCACAAGGTTTTGCCTAAACTCTAAACCTTCAGTTTGCTCTCCATCTCCAGTCACCTTTTCATGGACTACCCTAGCATTATTGATAGCCACCTCGATCAAATATGCAAAGACTTTTCTGTACCAGACCTTGGATCGTTTCGCTATGTTACCATATTTTCGTACTTAATCCGATAGAACCAAAATTGCGAGAAACAGTCGAGGAGAGTCGATCTTTGACCTAATTCTTTACTACACACCTTTTGCTGACCCCCAAATGGCCGAATATCTCTTCCAGAGAAAGATTTTGTCCAGATGTATCCATTCTCTTCTTGAGGATTTGGTCTCGCCTTTCTAGGCCTGTGAGACTGTATCACAACTTCTAGCTGATGTAGGGAATGCCTCTTTTGAATTGCTGTAGAGAAGGAGCTAGTTGTCTCGTCTTCAAGTAAATCTTTGGAAAGAAAAACAAAATTTAGAAACAATTCCATTACATCCAGATTTTTTAAAAATGAATACTAACAAACCTTCATATTCTTCTTCAGATACTGGCTCTGTTTTGATTCTGACTCCTTTTACAGACGAGACAGATTCCTCTTCATCATCACTGTCGCTATCAGGTAAGTATTCTTCATCATCATCACTCTGCCATGAATCAATCTCCTCCTTGAGAATCTTTCCATTTATACATTTCTCCATCATAAATTAACTACTTTCATATCTTCTGTTAACAGTAAGCAAGCAACAACTAGAATAGTGGTTCCCAATACTTAACACGCATGGCCCGCTTGTTTATCATTCCTGTGGTAATTAAAGTGTTATTTGAACAGTTGATTTTAAATCCCATTATGTTCAAACAATTCATGCTCAACAAATTGTAAACATCCTGTGAAATAACCTTGTCAAGCAATGAAACTGAGAAGAACTGGGAGTCTTTTTGTAAAGGGAATAGTAAAATCAGCTTTGCGCCTAACATTGTGCTCCCCCTCCCCCCTCAAGTGCTCTGTGTCTTTCCTTGGTCCTTGGTGGGCAACAGGACACCGGTTGAGAACCATTGAATTAGAATAAGTGCATAGTATTTGTTATCAAAACGTGGTTTTCTCAGAGTTGGTGAGAAAGTCAAAATCCTCGAACAAACCTAGAGTTGGAAGCACATAGATTTGAATGTTGTGTAAATTTCCTTTGATGCCACAGCATTCTACGCCAATACTATATGAATATTTGAGGCAATATTTTCTTAAGCATGCTTAATACTTCCTAGTACCTAATAAGTATACTTGCAGTTCAAGATAATGATTGATAGAAAGTTAGAAGCATAAATAAATAAAAAACACAGCACATAGACAATGTGTACAGAGGTAGGTAGGGCTGTCCAAGCGAACCGAATATTCCAAAAGTGAATCGGCTAATTTTCGAATCGCTAAAATTAGGTACTCAAAGCGAAAAAGGTTTGAAACCACCTTTGCAGGACGTTTTTCATCGGGAAAGCGGCGGCGCTTCGAGCTTGGACAACTCTCGCTCATGTCTTAAATTGGTTTCCCGATATTTCTCTCGCCTTCATTTTGTGGTAAACATGTCATTCCCAATGCCCTCCCGGTGGCACGTGTATAGCCATTTCATGCATGGTCATCATAATGTAAAGTTATAATCCGTAATGACGCTTTTGAGAGAGAACAAGGAGAAAAAGGCAATTTAGTATCCTTCGCAAACAATAGTCATAGAAATAGAATTGATGTGAAGCTATTGAGTTAGTTATCATAGGAACATGGTACAGGCAACTCGTAGCTGAAACAGGTATTGTGGGATCCTTATGATGGCAATACCTTCTTTCAATTGAATTTGTAATTTCCTATGTTGGCAATATTGTATTATCCATTTATATACCAAGACAAATGATTGCACTCTTGCATTTCGATGGCTGTTGTACACTAACAATATTATAGTCATCAAATAATATTGTCATCAAACTAGCTTCGAAAATGTTAAATGCAATTCTAAATTTGGGCAACAGTTTTATCTATATTAATGATTGTTATCATTTTGCTGGAAATTGCACAAAAAACATAAGACTAGTGATAATAATAGAAATAAAATAGCATCTACAGGCTTTATTAAAACTCAATCCATTATAATTGAGTTTGCAATTTCTACTCTCAACACGAAACCCTAATTTTGGAGTCCACCAATTTTTTTGACCAGTTCATACAAGCATGTAATCTCCTTTCATAAATCTGAAACATAGTATTGCAAAATTCCAGCAGTAAGTCAGATGTAACTGCACATACGTTACCACAACATCGAGGGGCAGGCGTTTATTGTATATTAGAGACAGACTTAGGATTGCGCAATAATATTCGATTCGGCGAAAATGTTAGATTCGAATCAAAATATGATTCGATTTTGGACAGCCCTAGAGGTAGGTATATGGTAGTTTATTCCCCAGGATATGGTGTATAAAAATGTGAGTACATGGGAAGGAGAACTAACTTGGAGGTGTTTGACTTATAGTTGGGCAACTTGGTATAAACATGCGTCCAACATACTCAAAGAGTAGTGATAAGCATTTTTTTTGCATTTCACCGCTTTGGATTAGTTTTTAATTTGGTTCAATTCTTGACAGTGTTTTATATTTAATTTTTCATTACATTGCACACCCAAAAATAAATGAGCACTGGTAGGTAAGTTCTTTAATTTACCTACCAGTGCTACCATTAAAAAACAACTATCGTGTATCAAAACAATTCGAACATAGAATGTTGGTCTGTGAAGGAAATAGAAATAACTTTAAATATAAAAAGTATCACTTCCAATATTCAACCTTGGTGTGCCAATCACGAAAACAAGCTTTACCATTGCGCACACACAAATGAACATTGCATTCGCTACACCGTACAGTTGTTCGCGAAGTCCACTTAACTTTTTCATTGACAGCAGCCATCTGATTTTTCTTGGAACATACCAAACATGTTCGATGTATTTCTATGCACACTGGGTGATGGATGCCAGCATTTTGAAGTCTGGCAAGTGATAAAGAAACTGTATTTGTGGTGTACTGAGGTGCTCTAGTGTTCCCGATCAAAGATGTCATAAGTTTTACCCTAAATTCTAAGACATCACAGCTCTCTCCAGTCACTTTTTCATAGACTACCATAGCATTATTAATAGCCACCTCAATCACATACGAAAAAACTTTTCTATACCAGACTCTTGATCGCCTCGCCGTGTTGCCATATTTTCGTACTTGATATGATAGACCCAAACGTCCAGTTTGCATATTGTATTCTCTCACAAGAGGGGGGCATGGTGTTTCGACAGTCCCATATATTGTATGACCCCTTCTCCTTTTTGTAATTGTTCTTTCAGAATGACCTTTCTCATAATCAGGGTCGTGAATGGTTGACAAAAAATACAAAGCTCCATTGTCCATCCACGACTGAGCCAATAAATTTCCTGTTGCTCGCCAATCACTCTCACCCATCTTGCAAGTCTCTTCCATTATGAGATCCATTGGAAATCCCACACAGTCTGTATTAATTGTGCCACAAGCATATATTCCTTTCGACAATAGGTATTCAAACACTTCAGGATTTGTAAAAAAGTTGTCCACATATAAATGGTGGTTAAGCTCTTCAAATGGACTCATCAAATATTTAATAACACGCAAGGATAAACCACTTTCCGGGTTCACAGCTTGATTTTTTCCCGTGTAAAATTGTAGTCTAGATACATATCCCGTTGATGATTCAGTTAAAAACCAGAGTTTGATCCCATATTTTTTATGATCCATGTATTTTCGAAACCCAATTTTCCCCTTGATTGGGATCAAGGTTTCATTTATGTGAAGGTCTCTTCCAGGAGTGTAGCAGGTTTGAAAACGTGGCAAAAGAAGTGCCAAAAGTCCATGAATCTTCAAGAACTTTTCAGGATCTTTTTCGGGATCTTCTTCTGCAGGTGCCAACGGTTCATCACAAAAATGCAGGTGGTGCTGAATATTATAGAATCGATCTCTTGGCATGATCATATTGAAACTTGGTATATCAAGAATCCAGCTCTTTTTTTGCCAGTACATCGCTTGACGTGGGAGACGAATTATTCCCATAAGTATATTGAGTCCCAAAAAAGCATTCATTTCATCAACATCAACAAACTTCCAACTTTTTTTACTTGCATCGTTTGAAACAGTTTCTACTTTAATAGAAAAATCTGGATCGTTTGAGGATTGTGTTTTCAAAAAAGATGCTGTTTCTTCACCCTGCACTTTTCTCACAGCATTAAGATTTGTCATATCAATAATGAATCGAATTACTTCAGAATCAAAAAATTGCGAGAAACAGTCCAAGGGAGTCGATCTTGGGCCCAATTCTTTACTGCAAACCCGTTGCTGACCTCCAAATGGCGGGATATCTCTTCCAGAGAATGATTTCGTCCAGTTGTACTCTTTCTCTTCTTGTGTATTGGGTCGCACCTTCTTAGGCCTGTGTGATGGTATCACAACTTCCAGCTTGTGTTCAGAATGCCTCTTTTGTATTGCTGAAGAGGAAGATCTAGTTGTCTGGTCTTCTTCAGGTGAATCTTAGAAAGCAGAATTTATCATTAGCTCTAGATTATAATGAAATAAATACTAACTAACCGGCGTGGCGGTGTTGCCCATCCTGCAAGGCGTTAGGAATACGCTCACCACCGCACCGCTAATTACTCTGCATGGGTTCAAATCACATGCTAAGATAGTTACGTGTAATAAGATTGTTGGACTCTTCGCCGCGGTAGGGTGGTTCACGTAACCGCTGGTCAGTTACGGCTTCCTCCAACATCAAGTCCATGCTTACGAAAACAAATACTGGCAAATCTCGTACCTGACATGGAATGGTAACCGAACGATAGGCAGTGGTTCGCCATATGGTTAACCCATTTATCCACTTTTCTTTCCCCCAGGATAAATATGTAAATACTAACTAACCTTCATCAGATACTGGCTCTGTTTTGATCTTGAATCCTTTTACAGATTCCTCTTCATCATCACTATCAGGAAAGTATTCTTCATCATCATCACTCTGCTCTGAATCATTCTCTTCTTCACTAATATTTCCATTCACAGATTCCTCCATCATAATTATTTTATGTTTCCCTTAACTAATTTTCTGGAACTAGTTTTTCTATGAACAGAATTTTCATTCATAATCAATTAAAATATAAGGTCATGGACAAGCTTATGAAACAAATTGTCTCACTAACATTGACCAACGACAATTAAGTGAAAATGAACATACAGATATTTAAAAAAATTACAATCATTCATGGCATTTTTCTTCAATATAGCAAAACCAATTAATATTCACATATTTTTTGTCATTCAATGTTAGTCCATGCGTGTTATATTTTTATTTCAGTGCCCAGTGCCTCTTGAAAGTGATAATTTGCACAGATTCGCTGGATTAAATCCTGTAGGAGATAATTATGTTGAAGAAGATTGCTAAATCGTCACTGTCGTAATGTAGTTCATGTTACTGCTGGTCAGTTATAACCTCCATTATCCAGTCCATACATCTGAAAATGTATACCTAGAATGACATGCCATATGACTGAGGGATCTCATTGGCATTCCTCCTCCACGCAGTAAATATGAAAAGTCTCAACTTGATACATACTGTTATCAAATTTTTCAGTGTAGAAGTTTTTATATCGCATTCTTAAAATATTCTGTAACCCTTGGCAAGCTTTCACGAACCAAAACGATACTCCCAAAGTATGTGAACCAAGATGGCGGACACCGGAACGTAGTATGTGTAATAGGTTGGGCCATAATATGAACCAGGACCCAAAATTAGAAATATTTCCCACAACACCTCTACTCTGATACTATATGATAGGGCTACTCAACTGGTGGACTGCGGTCCAAATCCAGACCTTTCGAGAATCCGATTCGGACTGAATCTGATTCTTTATTTTGGTGCCTTGACGCCATTAACTTTAGATATGTAAACATTGTGAAGGTTACCTTTTATTTATAATTTTAGGTTATTTTATCACTATAAGTTAGAGGCACCAAAATATATTTAGACGAACTTTGAAATCTATTTTCTGAAAGGACCAAATCTCAGTAATTTTTAGGTCCCATATAAGAATCTTTGGTAAAAATAGTTGAGTAGCCCTGCTTTATGAAATATACTTAAAGCCCGATATATATAAAACATACCCCAAGAAAATGTTTTTGAGCATGCTTTAATACGTACGTACGGGCATCAAATGGCACAAAACACATGAATAATAATAAAAAATTGAGTACAAATACATTAAAAAGTAGCAGATAGAAATGTGTACAGTAGTTAGTAAATGTTAATTTAATCCCCAGGATATGATTTATGAAATTTGAGTAGATCGCAATGAGAACTAACTTAAAAGTGTTTGACTTATGGTAGGACAACTTGTTATATACATGTTCACTAAATACTTATCTTTATGTAATTCTTCACAGGTTTTGATTAGTTGTTAATTTAGTTGAGTTCGCCAATTTTACATTACATTTTCCGGACCTCCTGAAGTATGCATACCAAGATGGCGCACAACCTGAACTCATGTTGTGTACCAGGTTACAGTTCAGGTTATGCGACATCTTGGTGCGTATACTTCAGGAGTACCCATTTTCCAATATATATCGCAAATTTTTAAAATGATAAAACCCTACGAGGTAGCCTAACCCTAAGTCCTAACGTATGTAAAACAAGCTGCAAATAAATCGAAGGTGTTTGATAAAAATTACATTCAAATGTGAATATAAAACTCATTTTCCTTTCCAATATTCAACCTTGGTGTGCCAATCCCGGAAGCAAGTTCTGCCGTTGCGCACACATAGGTGAACATTGCATTCGCTACACCGCACAGTTGTTCGTGAAACGGTAGTTGATTTTCTATGTACAGGAGCCAACTGATCTTTTTTGGAACACACTAAACATACCCGTTGTTCTTCTGTGGACACTGGGTGATGAATGCCAGCATCTTGGAGCCTGGCAAGAGATATAGAAACTGTAGTTGGGGTATTTCGAGGAGCTCTATGGTTCCCAATCAGAGCGGTCACAAGGATTTGCCTAAATTCTAAACCTTCAGTTTGCTCTCCAGTCACCTTTTCATGGACTACCTTAGCATTATTAATAGCCACCTCGATCAAATATGCAAAGACTTTTCTGTACCAGACCTTGGATCGTTTCGCTATGTTACCATATTTTCGTACTTGATCCGATAGACCCAAACGTCCAGTTTGCATATTATATTCTCTCACTAGAGGGGGGCATGGTGTTTCAACAGTCCCATATATTGTATGACCCCTTCTCCTTTTTGTAATTGTTTTTCCGGAATGACCTACGTCATAATCAGGTTTGTGAATGGTTGACAAAAAATACAAAGCCTTATTGTCCATCCACGACTGGGCCAATAAATTTCCTGCTGCTCGCCAATCACTTTCACCCATTTTACAAGTCTGTTTCATTATAAGATCTTTTGGAAATCCCACACAGTCACTGTTAAATGTGCCGCAAGCATATATTCCTTTCGATAGTAGGTATTCAAACACTTCAGGATTTGTATAAAAATTGTCCACATATAAATGGTGGTTTAGCCCTTCGAAAGGACTCATCAAATATTTAATAACACGCAAGGATAAACCATTTTCCGGGTTCACAGCTTGATTTTTTCCCGTGTAAAATTGTAATTTAGATACATATCCCGTTGATGATTCAGTTACAAGCCAGAGCTTGATCCCATAATTTCCACGATCCATGTATCTTCCAGATGCACTTTTGCCCCTGATTGGTATCAAAGTTTCATTTATGTGAAGGTCTCTTCCTGGAGTGTAGCAGTTTTGGAAATGTGGCAAAAGAAGTGCTAAGAGTCCACGAATCTTAAACAACTTGTCTTTTTCCGGACCATCATGTGGAGGTGCCAACGATTCATCACAAAAATGCAGATGATCTTGGATATTTTGAAATCGGGTTCTCGACATGATCATATTGAAACTTGGTATGTCAAAAATCCAGTTCTTTTTTTGCCAGTACATTTCTACATGTGGGAGACGAATGATTCCCATGAGTATAACAAGTCCAAAAAAAGCATTCATTTCATCCAAATCAACAAACTTCCAAGTATTTTTACTCTCTTCGTTTGATACACATTCTACTTTGATGGAAAAATCGGGATCGTTTGAGGATTGTGCTTTTAAAAACGACGCTGTTTCATCGCCCTGTACTTTTCTCACAGCGTTAAGATTTGTCATATCAACGATGAATCTAATTGTTTCAGGATCAAAAAATTGCGAGAAACAGTCAAGAGGAGTCGATCTTCGGCCTAATTCTCCACTACAAACCATTTGCTGACCACCAAACGGCCCGATTTCTCTTCCAGAAAAAGATTTCTTCCAGATGTGTTCTGTCACTGCTACAGGATTAGGTCGCAATTTCTTCTTGGGACTGTGAAATGGTACCACAACGTTCAGCCCAGAATGACGCTTTTGTATTGCAGTTGATGAAGAACCAGTCGTCTCTTCCCTCATTGGCGAATCTGTAGAAACAAGCATAAAATTAAGAAAAAATTCATTCCATTTTGGATATAAAAAAAATACTAACAAACCTTCATATTCTTCTTCAGATACTGGCTCTGTTTTGATCCTTACTTCTTTTACAGATGCGATAGATTCCTCTTCATCATCACTGTCACTATCAGGAAAATATTCTTCACCATCATCGCTCTGCTCTGAATCATTCTCCCCTTCGAGAATCTTTCCATTCGTAGTTTCCGCCATCATAAATTAATTCCCTTTGCTTAACTCAACTATTTTTTTAATTTTTGTAATCAATAACCTGCAATAAACAAAATTTTCATTGTTAATCAGTGATTGAGATGTCATATCATTAAAAGACTTGAATCACACTGAAAAGTATTCTTGATCTTTGAGAAACATAGTGTTTGGCATTAATTTTAAAGGGATAAAGATTATAGTATCAATTGTAAAAAAGAAAACAATAATGAAGCTCTGGATAAAATTTTTAAAAACTTTCTGATGTCTTTACAGACAGCACCGCAATATACCATGGATGACAACTTTTTTCACTGAATGCAAAAAAATGGGTCACAAATTCAAATAAAATGTAGACCAATGTTGCATAACTTTTTCAAGTTTTATAAACTTGGGTTTGTGTAGTGCTTGTTTATCACTGAGGCAAATTCTAGAGAAATCCAAACATTAATTTGATAAAATACTATATATTCCCTATAGGAAACTACCAAAAAGGCCGGGAATGCAGGAATGTGAAAGAAACCAAGGCACCAGCTGAGGCCAATAAAAAAACAGGAGCAAAGAAGCGACTGGAAGCATCTGGCGCCCATCAACAGCTTAGACAGTTTTCTGAATGGCATAATAAGTACACATAATACAGGTACCGGTACACTTTCCTTTACACTCAACAACTTGCAGACCTGTACTGTTAACAAAAGTCTGATGTTTAAATACCCCATTTCAGGCGATTGTAGGCCACCTTACAGCTGTACTGACAATACGCAGTTCTATATGGGAAGAATTGTTAACGCAACATCTTCTACGTTTAATAGAATAGTACGGTACTTGATTGCTGTGAGGTTGGTGAGAACGATTATTTTATTTGCCGTCCGTTCCGCCCCGATTGCAGCACGCGCGCTCTACGAGTCGATAATACAAAAACAAAACTCGGCTCTGAACATAAACAAACTCACGGAACGCAAATTGCCCGAGGAACGCGGGAAAAAATGGCCTTTCGTGCATACACGCGGATAAAGCAAAAGGGGAGTGCTGATAAACCGACGGGGATGAACATTGGTTTCCTGAACCGAAGATGCTTCGCGCCAAACTATAAATTCACAACTTTCCCTGATTGACATGTTTTATGATAACAATCGAAATCAAGAGCAACGAAGCACGCCCAAGTTGCGTGATAATCAACTGTGCAAATTCTGAAAAATCAGAAATATGACATTATAACAGAAAATTGATTATCCATAAAGATTTATTAAGTTCATAACACATGCCACACATTGTAGCAATTGTGCAAAATAGCAAATGCAAAAGCCGTGATAAGAAAGTACAGCGAACGCACATTTCGTCGGCATTCACGGCCATGGCATTCCACAATGAAATGCGCGGCGCGGCAGTGTGGCTCAACGGGCTAAGCGTTAGGAATACGCTCGCAACCGCACCTCTAATTACTCTGCGTGGGTTCGCAGGTTCGAATCCCATGCAGGGATGGTTATGTGCGAGAGGATTGCTGGACTCCTCGCCGTCGTTGGGTGGTTCACGTAACCGCTGGTCGGTTACGGCTTCCTCCACCACCAAGTCCATGCTTCCGAAAACAAACAATACAGTAAAACTAATCCCACACCCGACTTGGAATGGTAACCGGACGAGAGGCCGTGGTTCGCCATATGGATAAGCCGTCTTATCGGCTTTCCTCTCCCCCGGGATAAATATGTAAATCCTATCCTAAGTAAAATCCCGAATGTGCAATAAGTTTGCATCCCATGCGGGGATAGTTATATGCAGGAGGATTGCTGAACTCCTCCCCGCTGTAGGGTGGTTCAGGTAACCGCTGCTCGGTTACGGCTTCCTCCACCATTAAAGTCCATGCTTCCGAAAACAAATAACTAACTAATCCCATACCCGACTTGGAATGGTAACCGGACATGAGGCCGTGGTTCACCATACTGATAAGCCGTCTTATCGGCTTTACTCTCCCCCGGGATAAATATGTAAATCCAATCCTATCCTAATTGTCGGTCACTATACGAGGCTCGGCGGTGTGGAGCACCGTGCTAAGCGTTAGGAATACGCTCACGAACTCGATCTGTTGTAAAACATTTAGGAAATCAATTTGACTTATGGTAGCTCTGTCATCATTGGTCATGTGGCAACCATGATCCATACTTGGTCCGAGTGTTCGCAATCTTGGTAAACGCATCGAATTGATTTGTGCATTCCATTACATTGCGAATTTAATTGTGTGAGAATGTCAAAGTTCAAAAATATACAAAAAATGTGTTCACTTAAAAGAAGAGATCAATTTTCAGCATATAATAAACAAAGAAAGACGCCAAGGCAGTTTGCACACAATGGTAAACTGATCCGAAAATACAAGTTTTCCAATTGTACACGAGTGAAGCAATGAGATACCAATTTTTTTGTGAGGGGCGTTAAAGTCGCCCAGGACAATCGGATAAAAGAGTTTTCAATACTTCTCTGTAATTTGCTCATGGCAGTGGAATGAATTGGCATTAGGTATGCAAAGCCTTTTTACGATTGCAAACATTTTTCCCCTTTTGGCACTGCTCTTTTCATAGGTATTAGATTTTTCTCAATATATGAAATGAAGGTATTTGATGGCAAGTAAAATTAGAGTTTGAATATAAGTGATTTCATTTCCAATATTCAATCTTGGTGTGCCAATCTCTGTAACAATTTCGTTCACTGTGCAAACACAAGTGAACATCACATTCACGACACCACACGTCGCTTCGATTTACCTTAGCTACTTGCCTATTGCCAGCAGCCATCTGATTCTTTTTGGAACACACTTGACATGTCATCCTTTGTCCTTTGCATATCGGAAGATGACGTCCAGCATCATCGAGTCTGGCTATATATTTGGAACCTGTTTTTGGGACGTGCGCAGGGACTTTACAGTTCCCAATCAGAGCAGTCACAAGATTTTCCCTGAATTTTAAACCATCAGAGCTCCCTCCTGTCACATTTGCATGGACTACTTGAGCATTTATAACAGCCACTTCCAATAAATATGGAAAAACTTTTTTGTACCAGGACTTGCTTTATTTCACTATGTTGCCATATTTTTGTACTTGATCTGATAGGTTCACACGCCTAGTTTTCACATTGTATTCTCTCGCGGGGTAAGATGGTGCTTCAACAAAACTGGATATTGCGCAACCATTTCTCCTTTTTACAGTTCTATTAACACTGTCGTTTTCATTCTTAGGTCTGTGAATGGTTGACAAAAAATAGACAGGCTTATTAAACATCCAGGATTTAATGAATAAATTTCCTGCTGCTCGCCAGTCACTTTTACCCCTTTGGCAAGCCTGTTTCATTACAAGATCTTTTGGGAATCCGACACAGGCAGTTTTAATTGTGCCGCAGGCATATATTCCTTTTGACAGCAGATATTCGAATACCTGCGGACTTGTATGAAATTTGTCTACATACAGATGGTGATTCAGTCCTTCATATGGACACATCAAATACTTAACAATACTCAAAGATAACCCACTGTTCGGGTTCACAGCTGGATCCTTTCCTGTGTAAAATAATAGTCTAGATATGTAACCCGTTGATGATTCTGTTACAGCCCAGAGCTTTAATCCATTACGCGCTCCATTATCGTCCATGTATTTTCGAAACCCAATTTTCCCTTTGATTGGGATTAAGGTTTCACTGATGCGGAGGTCTCTTCCAGGAGTGTAGCATCTTTGAAAACGAGGCAATAGAAGAGTTAGAAGTTCACGAATCTTAAACAACTTGTCTTTGTGGGGATCGTCCTCTGCTGGTGCTAACGATTCATCACAAAAATACAGATGCTCCTGGATTTTTAGGAATCTATCTCTTGTCATAATTTTATTAAAACTTGGTATATCAAAAAGGCAGTTCTTTTTTTGCCAGTACATGCCTGTATCTGGGAGACGAATAATTCCCATAAGTATATTAAGTCCCAAAAAAGCATTCATTTCTTCAACATCAACAAACTTCCAACTTTTTTCACTTGGTTCATTCGAAGAAACAGCTTCAACTTTGATAGAAAAATTGGGATCGGTTGATAACTGGGCTTTTAAAAAAGTCGCCGTTCCTTCACCTTGTACTTTTCTCACGGCATTAAGATTTGTCATATCAATAATGAATCGAATTACTTCAGGATCAAAAAATTGTGAAAAACAGTCTAGAGCAGTTGATCTTTGACCCAATTCTTCGCTATGAACCATTTGCTGACTCTGAAACGGCTGGATGTCTGTATCAGTAAAAGATTTTGTCCAATTGTATTCTTTCTCTTCTTGAGGATTAGGTCGTACTTTCTTGGGACTGTAAAAAGGTACCACAACTTGCAGCCCAGAACGACGCTTCCGGCCTGCAATAGATGTCGAGCTAGTTGTCTCTTCTTTCTTCGACGAATCTATGGAAACAGAAATGAAGTTCAGAAAAAAATTAATTCATCCAGATTATAATAAAATAGGTACTCCCGAAGTATGTGAACCGAGATGGCGAACACCGGAACGTAGTATGTGTACCAGGTTAGGCCATAATTTCAGGTACAAATACGTCAGGAGTCACTTGGCTAGTCCTCGAACTCATAATAGAACTAAAATAGGAAAAATTGGAATAAAATTATGGCCTAACCCTAACCTGGTACCACCGAGGTGTATAAACCTGAGAGCGCATTTGCGGCGCTAGACGTTTGCGATTTTGTGCCGAATTGAAAGGAGCGGCGGCCGTCGGCCATCTTGGAAAGCGCGGTTTTCCGGTTTGCATGCAGTGAGTGCATGGGATTTGCCATGTCGGAGGTGCATTATGTAAGATAATTGCTGGAAATTCTTCATTCTGCGCGTTGTAGTGGATTTATACAGTATTGATGGTGGTCATCAATCAACTTGGAAACGGATAACACGAACCAAGTAGGGCATAAAGAGAATAAAGTTGTGAAAGTCAGGTGGGTAACGTACCCTACTTCAGTCGGCTACTTGGTCTAGCTTGAGAAATTCGAGTAGAATTTATGAATGTAATTCGGTACAGATACTGATGATAATACCATCCACCTAATATATGGAACCATGTTTTGTGCCAAAATTGGTCCTTATCGTAGCCATAATACCTTACCATAGATCCCCATACTTTGTGATGTTCACTAACTAGGTTTTCTGGTTTTGCTCCATGCTTGTAGCTTATATAGTCATTTTTGTTCGTTGATTCAGATCTTGACTGGCAATGAAATGCCAGTCAAGATCTGAACCAATGAGCAATTTCTAATGGGAAACCCTGGAATAGCCTTTAATAGTTGACCAAATAATCCTATTCTATTAACGAATATGCCATTTTACACCCAACTTTTTTTTTCTAATTACTAGGTGAAGGTGAGGTGTGAAGTAAATCAAGTCATTAATTTGGTTGCAACCAATTTGTGAGGTATTTACAGTTCCTTCGTTTTGAATCAACCAGCTCTTCAAACACAAAGCAGAAGGCACTTTCATTCATTCATTTTGTTTATTTTATTGTTAAATTTGTGATGCAATAAAAATTGGTAAAAAGTATGCTAGCTTATTTATAGGTTCCTGTTACAAAGGGAAATATGCAAAAACTGCATATCAAAAATAAGCGAAATTGAAATTTATAGGCGCGTGTCACAACAGAAATCTGAAAAAATAGCATATTAAAAATATCTGAAATTGAAATTTATAAGCATGCCACAAAGAAAAATATGCAAAAATGGCATAATATAAATATATGAAATCAGAATTTATAGGTTCATGTCTCAAAGAGTAATATGCCAAATAGGCACATTAAAAATCTGCGAAATTGATAGGCGTGTGACACAAACATGCAAAAATGGCATTAAAGATATACGAAATTAGAATTAATAGATAGGCTCAAGTCTCCAAGATAAATATTCCACATAAAAAATCTGCGAAATTGAAATTTGTAGGAGTGTGTCACAAACAGAAATATGCAAATGGCATATTAAAAAGATGCAAAATTAATATTTGAATGTGCGCGTACAGAATGAAATGGGCATGACCAAGGTTGTATATGAAGTTAATTCCCGAATTGTTGATTACTGATTTTTCAGTAGTACCAATTTGGTCATGCACCTTCTAATTCTTGACTGATGGATTTTAGCAGTCTTCTCCTTGGCCATATGCCGGTGCCTTAGGTCACAATATTTTTTGATGATTTTTTTTTATGAGGACGTAAAAGTGATTATCAATTGCACATTCAGTCATGTGTTTACCAAGACTTGTGAATAATCTTCTTGTATCAATAGACTCCAACACAGCGCATGAAATTGCAGTTGTCAATCCTTTTTGTTTTGGAATTTCACCATTTGTTGTCTGGATGCGACGCTCTGTTTCTGGGAAAGGATTGGTCAAATCCCATTTGACTGTAGTAAAAGTTCTTCACAGCTTGCGGTTATTAAATTTTCCCTTTTCAAAGATTTAATTACAGTTCTCATGTTTCTCACTACTATTTTCATTCGCTTCGACTTTTGGTTAGAGACTTTCAGTTTTTTCCTGACAATTTTCAATTGTTCTGTTTTTATTTCTATTTTTTTGACAAGCTTGTGAGGACTCATACTGCTGCTGTAGGAATGATCGTGGATTACGGGAGAAATAGAATTTTTTTGACAAGTCTCAACTTCATTTGGCATAACAACTTCATCGTTAGCTGAAGTGCGGCAAGCTTGGAGCTTGCGTGAAGTGGTGTCCTAAAATGTAAAATGATACAGCTACTTAGTAGATTTACAAACATAGAGCAAAAGCTGTTAAAAGGTGATAAAAAATAAGACACTGATATATAATAATATTATGAGCTACGGGTGAGACACCTGGGTGCAAAACAGCAAACTTTTAGGCCAGTTAGGATATGTGTTTGAGAAAAAGCAAGCCACCACATTAGCTTATGATACTGATTTTCTCAAGATTTATATTCAGTTAAGCAATATTGTCAAAATAAAGAATGGCAAATTCCACTGAATCAATTTTTAGGAATGCAATGACATAAAAGACACAAAGTCTCATGATTACACTAACCTCATGAAAATACTTCGGAAATTTTTTAAATCTGGAAGGAACTGCATCTTCCCGGACGCGTACTGTCTGCCCAGTCCTATCTAAATCTCTCTCTTTGAAATGATCAGAGCATAACAGGGAATACTGTGTGGGCAGCCAATTTTTTCTGCGGCATTTTGCTATCCATAAAGACCGGTGAGATATATCTTTTGGAAACCTAAATAAAATACACTTTGGTGTCTTAATGGAAGCAGAATGATATTTCTTGATTATTTGATTGTATATGTTTAGCGAACATTTCGGTGCTCCCAAAGTATTCGTATCAGGGCATTCAACGCTTTTGTCAAACCAGAAAACAAACATGCAAAACATTTTATTTTCAGCATATGGCAGTATGGCGGCTACGACTCTCACTACATTAAAAACTTATTTACATTATATACATACACCGAAGCATAATAAATTGGATATTTTTACCATGAATGAAAACAAAGATGGCCAAGAAGAAAAACTAAATTTGTACTGTGTATACAATATTCACTGTCAAATTTCTTACATATGAAAAGTTCTGGGAAATTTTCTTTTGGCTAGGCTTTCCTCATCATCACTTCCCTCACTGTCACTTCTGGGTCTCTTTATGGCTTTTCTTTTATTGCACCCGAAAGCTACGCAATAACTTCCCCTGCTCCTTTGTAATTTTTGCTACAAAATAATGACATGAAATATATTGTAAATATAAATTGTAAATGTGAAAACTTTAGTATTAAAGCCAAAGCATATTACAGCATTACGCTGTATGTTACCATACCTTGCTGACGGTGCTGTTGCTCCCTGAAGTATCAATTTCTGTATTTACGACTGTACCTGCAACAGGATTCATGATAGTAGAATACTGGTACCGGTAGTTATACGCTATTTGAATAGGAATTTTAAAAAATTGTGAAATTATACAAAAAGTGTAGAGGTATAAAATACGGTACAGTACCGCAACCGCTCACATAACTGATTTTTCTCCTTTAAAACGAAAATAAACCATACTTACAGTCAGATTTAAAACAGTGCGGAAGTGGACAATTCGAACCTGACAAGATGGCAGCTGTCGTCTTCAAATCGGCACAATTTTTTTGCTTCTATGCGCTCTCTAGTTAATACACCTCAATGTCTGGTACACATACTACATTTTGGTGTCCGCCATCTTGGTTCACATACTTTGGGAGTAACATAGAATGAATACTAACTAACCTTCATATTCTTCGTCAGATACTGGCTCTGTTTTGATCCTGACTTTTTTTGAAGATGAGGCAGATTTCTCTTCATCATCACAGTCGCTATGAAGAAAATAGCCATCGTCATCAATTTGCCATAAAACATCCTCTTTCAGAATCTTTTCAACTATAGGATTCTCCATTTGAATAAATCAATGGCATTACAATCCTCAAAAATCAATATTATCTCTTCTCTACTTTAATACCATGTGATGAAATAACTTGAATAGAAAAAAATAATAAAACATAATGTAAGACAATGTTTTCTCAAAGCATGCTTTAATACTAACTGGTATCTGGTAGGTAATAACAACAGTTTAAATGTGGTAATGAGACAATACATACGAATGAAATAACAAATAGAGGAACAGATACATATAAAAAATAATGAGAATATGTACAGTAGTAGTTCATCAATTTGTATTGTGAAATCAGTTGCATTAACATTTAGACTTCACAAAAGGAAGAATCCAAATTGTTGAGTTAATAGTTGCATAATTTGACAAAAATAGGTTCCAAAATCACTCAGTTTGGCAAGAGCATTCTGTATTGATCATCACTTCTCATGATTAATGTGGCATTCAATCTGATAAGTGTGAAAAATAGCTTTTGTCACTTACATTTTTGGGGTTTCAATATTTACCTGTAATTTGGCAGTGAAGGAAATTATAATTATATTTGGCAAGCAAGCATTTTATTGGGCTTATTTTTAGTCAATAAAACATTTTATCATGTTTGGCACAGTCCGGGTGTAGTGACGAACGATGGGGCCGAAGTCACCCAATTATCAAAAATAACTTAAACTCTGAGATTGTATGATAATTTTGATTAAATAAAATGGATGCAGAGGGGGCTTCACCCCCTAAAACTGATCGTGTAATTTATTGATCGAAATGAATTAACAGTAATCAAATCAAACAAAGAATCGGATATTTTGTAGGCTTTGTATGTGTGCACAAACCACGGTATATTGATAATTACTACAAGATGAACAGTTTACATCTTGCAATAAAAATGTGATATTGAAATGACATTAGCATACAGAGGATTAAAAACATTAATTGATGGAAGTAACGTATGAGTAAATTTGGATAAAATTGTAATTTGTGAATACGAATCTCACTTTCCTTTCCAATATTCAACCTTAGTATGCCAATCCCGGTAACAATTTCTAGTGGGGCGCACACACAGATGAACATCACATTCGCTACATCGCACATAACTTCGTGGCACATAGGATAGCTTGTATTTCTGCACATGGGATAGTTTGCCTTTCCGCCCATAGGATGTTTTGTCTCTCTGACTTTTCCTTAAACACACTGGACAGGCCAATTGTCGATCTGCGATTACCGGAAGATGGCTACCAGTATCTTCAAGCCTGAGAAGGTATTCCGCATCTGAGCTTTGAGGGGCTCTGTGATTCCCAATCAGAGAAGTCAAAAGTTTTTTCTTGAAGTCTAAATCATCCACTTTCTTTCCTGTAACATTTGCTACCTTAGCATTATTAATGGCCACCTCAAGCAAATAAGAGAACATTTTTTTATACCAGATCTTTGATCGTAAAGTTATATTGCCATGTTTCTGCACTTCATCTGGTAGATAAGCACTCATAATATGCATATGGTAATCTTTCACCACAGGGGGACATGGCCTTTCCATAGACCCATATATTTTATGACCCCTTCTCCTTTTTAAAGTTGTTCTTTAAACATTGTCCTTCTCATAATCCGGTTTGTGAATGGTTGATAAAAAATAAAAAGCCTCATTGTCCATCCAGGAATGAGCCAATAAATTCCCTGCTGCTAGCCAATCACTTTCACCCATTTTACAAGTCTGTTCCATAATAAGATCCTTCGGAAATCCCACACAGTCACTGTTAAATGTGCCACAAGCATATATTCCTTTCGACAAAAGATATTCAAACACCTCTGGACTTGTAAAAAAATTGTCCAAATATAGATTGTGGTTAAGCCCTTCGAACGGACGCATCAAATATTCAACAACACGCAAGGATAAACCGCTTTCTAGATTGACAGTTGGATCTTTCCCTGTATAGAACTGTATCCTAGATATGTAACCTGTCGAGGAATCTGCTACAACCCAGAGCTTGATACCTTTAGGTGCTTTCTCACTATTGTTGCATCTTCGAAAACCAATTTTCCCCTTGAAAGGGATGAAGGTTCCATCTATATGAATGTTTTTTCCTGGGGTGTAGCAGGTTTGAAAGCGAGATAGAAGAAGTGTTAGAAGGCCTCTAATCTTAAACAACTTGTCCTCTTGAGGATCATCTACTGTGAGTGCCAATGATTCGTCACAAAAATGAAGATGCTCAAAAATTTTTAGGAACCTGCTTCTTGGCATTATTTTATTAAAACAGGGTACATCAAATATCCAATTTTTTTTCTGGCCAGTACATCTCTGCATTTGGAAGACGAATAATTCCCATGAGAATGGTAAGTCCCAAAAAAGCTCGCATTTCATTAACATCAATAAACTTCCATGATTTTCGTCCACATTAGTAGCAACAAATTCTTGTTTGATAGAAACAAATGGATTTTTCAATGATTGTGGGGTTATAAGAGACGCAGTTTTTTCACCCTGTAGTTTTCTTACAGCGTTGAGGTTAGTCATATCGATAATGAATCGAATAACCTCAGAATCAAAAAATTGTATAAAACAGTCTAGAGGACTAAGAGGAGTCAATATTTTAGTTTTCGCTTTTCGGTTAGGAATCTTTTCTGTTCAACAAACGGCTGGATATTTCTTCCAGAAAAAGATTTTTTCCACTTGTATTTTGTCTGTGATTTATGACTATGTCGTGCTTTCTTGGGGCTGTGGAATGGTACAACTGCCAACCCATTCTGATGTGGACGCTTTCGTGTAGTATGCCGCAAAGTTCTCGTTGATTTGTTGGTAGTCTCTTCTTCATTAGATGACTCTTTAAAAACAAAGTTTAGGATAGTTATCTTTACTCTTGCTGCAGCATCCTTGCATTATATGCATACGAGTCCACCAGCGCAAAATTAGCTACTCTTGCAGACGCTATATCATTACTGCAGTACTGCATTAGCGAAAGTTTAGAAAAATTACATCCAGACTGTAACAAAAGTAATATTGACTAACCTCCATATTCTTCCTCTTCAGATTCTGTCTCTGATTCTTCTGCCGATGAGAAGGTTTCATCTTCAGCTTCACAGTCACTGTCAGGAAGATATTCATTGTCTCCAACTTGCCATAAAAGGTTCTCCTTTTCAAAAATCTCCCCAACATTCATCATATACAGATATACGAGTTTCCTTGACTTAACTTAAATTATTAAGTTTGCTATAATACTTCAAGTGCAATGGTAAATGATTTATTTAGCTCTCAGGTGGGAGTAAGCATGTTAAATGTACTAACACTCGCATACTCCTGTACTCGATTCTGCGATTGGAGTTCGAACACCTGACTGCCTGAGGTGTGGACGTAGACCCAATGCCCCATGCATAAATATGTCAAGTTCACAGAAATGTAGATTTCAATTTGATCATGCAGGACATTCCTATAGTGGTGGTAGTAAAAGTCATATTGGGGATGGCAAAATAGCAAGCCTGCACGTGCAGAACTAGACTACTATAACCTGAAAACTCTACCACCTTGCTGCCTTGATACCGTACCGGTACCGGTACGGTACCGTATTGGTACCGGTACAGTAACTTACTGCTAAATCCCGTAACTGGTTGCGGGGCCCTCGCCTACACCGCCATTAAAATATCTAGATGTCAACGGATGAATAAAAAACATTTTTTTTAATCAAAAGCAAACAACCTAAGCATTCCGAGCTGACCGACAAACGACAGGTTCACAAACCTTGCAGCCATAAAAGCGGCAATGCTACCAAACCAAGACAGCGTGCACCACACGAAACAGATCAAAACAAACTAAAAAGGCGCCAAACAAACAGAGCGAAACGGAGAAAACAGCGCGAAACAGAGCTAAGCGGAGGAAAAGACCTTCCACGACTTTCTCTTATCGAAACGACATTTTACAAAGTCCAGACAATATTATTTTACTGAACTGGTAAAACTGAATTGTAAACAAATTACCCGAAACGGCAAGGACACCACATCGCTGACAGAGCTAAAAATGGGAACTAAAGATGGTTATCAAACAGCGACAACCCAGTTTATATTATCTAATTAGGTTTTTTAAAAACGAGGGTTTTAATTTCGTATTACAGTAGCCTACTATCATTTACTGCGTTTACGTGTACGCGATAATCGTTTTATCAAAAAACTTTCCTATACTTTCAACAATAGCAGGTACATATTATAAACTCATAGCTCCTTCATCCCGAATGCAACATACAAGTTCTTTGTAGCAAATAATGCAAAATACAATCGACTTTTAAGACAAGTAAACAAAAGATTGACACTACGACTACAATGCGCCCGAAGAAAGATTACATATATGAGCGATGTAATTAAAACGCTAACAAGTCGTAACCAACGACCAGTACAAATAAACTAGAGTAAGTCCATGCTTCCGAAAACAAACAATACAGTAAAACTAATCCCATCCCCGACTTGGAATGGTAACCGGACGAGAGGCCGTGGTTCCCCATATGGATAAGCCGTCTTATCGGCTTTCCTCTCCCCCGGGATAAATATGTAAATCCTATCCTTCCGAAAACTGTCTAACTAATCCCATACCCGACATGAAATGGTAACCGGACAAGAGGCCGTGGTTCGCCATATGATTAGGTCGCCTTTCCTCTTCCTCGGTATAAATATGTAAATCCTATCCCAAGGTCCTTTGTCGTGGGTTTTAAACAATTTCTTAACGATGTCGGATAGATTGAAAATACTGGTTCGTAGGCAGTTCACTCGCTTATTTCCCCAGTAATAGAATAATGTTCTAGACCAGGGGTTCTCAAACTTTTGGTGTTGCGGAGCCCTTGAAAAGGTTGGCTATTATTCACGGAGCCCCAAAAGAAATGTTAAAATTGTTACTTTCCGATTAATCTTCCTGAGTAAGTTAAAAGCACTTTACATAATTTAAATGGTTAATACAAGTAATAAATAAATCTAAGTTTCAATGTTAAATTATATATATTAAAGCTGTAAATTTGACACTTGACAAATATATTAATAAATTAGGGGTCGAATCTTTTCTTTTTTGACACTTTCGGAAGACTTAAAAAGCCGCTAATAACGTGCGCGATTGCATTTTGTTACAATTGTCAATTGCTTTCGTCAGCATGGCGTGTTCTTTTACATCTTTACGCCGGTGTTTATTCTTCCTAAAACAAAAATTTCCTTGGGCATATACATGTATTGTTCCACACTGACGACGATAATTGCTTTTTTGTTCTCGTGGAGAATTATGAGTTCAATGTGAAAAACATGTTACCATATTATGATCATCGACGACGAGATGCTAAAAATAATAATTAATAAAAAGGTAATTCCGCAGCTCAAATTTCCTGATTGAAAAACGACATTCTAAAATATTAAAACCTAAAATTGAATATCACACTATAATTTTGGTTTCAGCAGACTCACGTCAGATTAAAAACGCTTTTATAGGCATTGTAAATCGCAAAATTTGGTGTTATGTTAGGTTTTCTTTGGTTATTCATCGTAGTACCTGTAACTGCGAAATCGAAACACAGTCAATTGTGCGTGCGCTGTGCCTTTCTTCACTCTGAAACTACTGGTGGAGCCGCATGCAATAAAATAAATTTTAATCAATCGTATTTTGCCCAGACCCTATGATTTTTTTAAACGGCGATATCTTGCTTAAAAATAATCTCGAGTGCAAAAGAACAAATCAAGTTTGATAAATCCCAAGATCGCAAAAATACGACCTTATTTATAGCTGGCATTTTATCACGGATTTTGTGTTATTTCAGAATAGTATTCTTTCATTTTAGTAATCGGTAACTTCCGATTATACCCCCCCCCCCCCTCCTCCTCTTAAAAATCCTGGCTGCGTTGCAGCTTATAAATAATGTCATTTTTTAATTCCTCCTCTTTGCCATATTTCGAGGCTATTTTGTTGACAAATCCTATCAAAGCTGTTGTTGCTTCTTTTTAGAGCAGTTACAAAATTAGCCAAATCAGTATTTTGAAAAGTAATAGAATAGCTCGCGGAGCCCCTGGGTTTCTCTCGCGGAGCCCTGGGGCTCCGTACGGAGCACTTTGAGAACCTATGTTCTAATCTAGACCGCTAGAATTTCGGCGACCGTTCAGCACTTCTCGCTACCTGATACTGCTTTATTGCCTTGAAGTTTTCCTTTATACAGAATATAACTCAGCAGTTGATAGATATATTTCGTCGGAGTATAAAGTCAAAAAGGTATTTCAATAATCAATTTTATTTTGGCTGCTCTGGCATGCAACAAACGGACAAACAAAATGTAGAGAAACGCGAGCATAACTCGCGATAAAGTTAAAAATGAACTCAAATTGCACGCGACCAACCCCAAAAACATGTCAAAATAAACACACAAGATGTAAAATAACTTTTAAATCGATTTAAGATACGAATACACTAAATAAAATAAGGAAAGTGAATCATATTTTACAAATTTAACAGCCAGCCACAGAAGCACGCATCTGTAGACCACACTCTCTCCGGTCTACAGGTCTGTCGAGTCTAAACTTTAAACATCGATGCACAACATCGTTTGAGCTCCCCAGGTTTTCGACCAGAAACCGTCAATTATGCGGATGATGTTGGATTGCAAGAGATAGAAAGGTCGCTTCAAGTGCGAGCATTTGAGAAGGCTGGCGTGGATTGCATTCTTCACGCAACTACCCTCGGTTGTACTATCTTTCTTTTACATTCACTTCATACAGACGCTTATACACGGATCTTGGTCAATCCTTGACGATAATTCACGAAAACTCAGTCCGGTTTTGCAGCAAATTTCATCTGTACTGAATTCCCCAGTGCAGTAACGATGGAACTCCTGAAACAAAGATATTGGATATATTTAAATAATCTTGCACCATATACCAGTTTCCCACCATGCAGTTCACTCACAGTTTAGAAACCAGTTGGAATGCGGGAGTGTCCGATAAGATTGTGGCTATCCGGTCAAATTAGTTATTTTATTTTCCTGATGGATCAAATTTACGCAATTGAGAGAGAGATCGATATATTAAAGAGAAACTAACATTGAATCGTTCTCTGCTCATCGCTGTATAAGCGGGGCAGAATATGACGAGTGTCTCTACGAAACTGTATACATGTCTTTTCGTGATCAACTTTTATCGCGCGATAGCTCATTTATGATCACTCGTATTATTTTGTTGAGTAATTTCTCCAAACTGTCAGTTCAGTGTTTCAATATTACAAGTTTCGATTTCGTGCAATTGTAAAGTGTCATAACAGAAGACGGGAGTAAATTAGACGCAAGCGTGAAATGCGAATCTCTACTTCACTTTCGCTCAAAGACTATGTTTAATCGAAGGATGTCACAGAGTTGACAACTAATCATCTTACTAAAATGATATTTTCAGGTTTATGTTGTGACCACAGTATTTCTGCAATGAAATCGTTTTTAAACACCCATACATGTTCCATGCTTATCCGAGTGTTAGCAATCGCGGCGAACTCATGGTGTTGCTTTAATATATTTTCTATTTTACTACATAGTAAATTTTAGTTGTGTTAAGTATGTCCAAATATATACACAGGTAACACATAATAAACGTAACGGCACATAACAAACTTAGAAATATGCCCAGACATCTTGCACGTAATAGCAACCTGATGCGAAAAGACAAGCGCATATATTCTCTTCAATATCTCGCGTTTAGTTTCATTTCGGAAGACCAGTCTGGACTTGTCTGAAAGATGATGTAACGTGCTTTTCAGCAAACAATATATTTTTTGCGACTACAGCGCTCATAGTTACAAAATTTATTTGGAAACGCACATTCCAAATTTTCAAGATTAAAATTTGGTTTTCAGGAGCTGGAGTACCAACTAATCTTTTCAAATTGGAGTCAGCCGCCAGGATTTAAGGCAGGGGTTCCCAACCGCTACACTCATCCGGCCCGCAACATCCCTCTGATTCTAATTTTGGCCCGTGGCCAATAAAGTCTGGGAACCACTGGTTTAAGGTCTAAAGCTGAAATGGTAAGTTTACAAACAGGATAATCAACCTACCTCTTCAATACACTCGGATTTGCTGGTTTTCACAGGATAAACGTGGATTCTTCGAATTAATTTGTTAATGAGTCCAAACTGAATTAATTTTCTGAAAATTGTGATGTTTGACTTATTAGAAACTGCTAGATAATATATCCAAAAATCAAGGATGTTGAGTTGAGGTTTATTGTTTATTTGTGGAGATCAAATGGGCACAGAAACTGTGTGCTTGAGCTATGCAAATATAAAGTATATAAAATTTTCAGACGCTAACAATTTTAATTGTGATTATTACAATTTATTCAGAATAAAGGGGGATGATAAATCATCAAGTCGAAAAAAATACAAAAAGAAATTTGTTCAGATTGCGATTAAATTTAGTTTTAGCATGAAGACTATTGTTTATTTGTAACACTGTAATTATTGTTTAAAAATAAAACTTTCTATGTCACACCTACATGGCCCGCCAGTCTATTTGAGCAAAATTTTTGGAGTCAGAGTCCTAATTTCTCACAACCTGGAGTGAGAGTTTTGCCAGGCCCAACAGCTTTAGTTAACCACAATAGCTCATTATTCATCTTCCCGTAAATCAGTGGTTCTCATACTTTTTTTCTCTCAGGGCCCTCTTTCGTTGTACAAAAATATTATGTGGCCCATTAAGTGCCCTTGAATTAACATATTCAAGCGAAAAACTACAAGAAAAACAAGAAATTCATTTCGCAAGAATAAGTACGTCTATTTTAATAGGAATGAAAATTACCATTTAGTAGCAAAAAAGAACATTATCATTCATTTCTAATACAACAAATTCAACTAATTTATCAACAAGTCAAACAATTTTTAATAGATTTGTGACCTGAAAATGTTTATGTGGCTTAGCAGTGATAAATAAATAATGAAAATATAAAGAATTTGGTTCCATTACATTTGGACCCACATACATTTGAACCCATGACAATTGCACCTGCATACTATTGCACCTATGGGATTTTTGTTTTTGTTTTACGGATATTTGAACTCATACTAACCCTAACCCTGGGTTTTAGCACCCACATACAGATTGAACTCGCAGATATACACATGGGTTCAAATGTACGGTCACCAAAGAATTTACTTCATATTGAACTTACTGTTCATTAACTTTATTCAATTCCTTCTGATGTCGACTACATAAGTTATCAACAGTTACACCGGGAGTTAAACCACAAGAAATCGCAAGAATATCATTCAGTGTTGGTTTTGGATGTCCAGGTCTAGATACATATTGAATACATTCAGTCTGAAGAGCTTTATCAGACATCAACCTGAAAATTTTTGGTGAAATGTTTATTTGTGAATAAAAGTACATTCCAAAGTTGACATGGGAAAACTGTGGCCAACGGGCCAAATCCGGCCCGCTGAGTAATTCAATCTGGCCCGCCTGATGCTGCCACAACCGAAGTAAAGCCATATTTTGTAGTTTAAGCTAAAAAATATCTCAAGGAATTCGTTGAGATTGCGACTACATTTAGTTTTGGCACGAGGCTTATTGTTTTCACCTTTGCTTTGTAACACTGCAAATATTGTTCATGAAATGTAACATTTTACGTCACGCATACATGGCACCCCAGTCTAGGTCGTGAAATTTTTTTCGTCCGTAATCTAAAAACCTTGCCCACCCCTGCTCTGAGTTGTTCGTTTCGCACAAGCTAGCTGTTAGGGCAATGTAACGAATTGGCATTGCTTGTACGTACCAGATTAAACAAAATTAAAAACTCATTCCGCAGGTCGGACACTATTCAAAATTGACACTTCTCCACGAGCTAAACAATTTTTCCTCATGGCTCGCAGGTTTCACACCCCTGGATTAGGTAACCACATACCCAACTTGGAACCGAATCCGACAAGTGGTTTATCAAATGATTGAAAGGTATTTTTATCACCTTATCACTGACCTGGAATAAAAATGACAAAACTGCCAATAATTGGCTCCAAAATTATGTGTACCAATATAATACCAATTTTGTTCACCCACTTTATATCAAGTTGTGTAAAGGGACGAGAGGCTATGGGTAGGGGGTATATTCACTTGGCTAACACAGACAGTCCCCGAACGCTTAATAGAACTAAAATAGGGAAAATCGGAAAAAAATTATGGCCTAACCCTAACCTGGTACATACACTACAGGAGTACCCAATAATTAGTAATTTTTAATAAAAAAACATAAAAAAAAAAATTTCCTCATCAAACCTCGACAAATTTGATGTTGTCACATAAGTATTGGAATATTGAAATATAGAAATCAATTCGACAATTCTGTAAAATGCAAGATCCCTGATGCAAGTTCTTGTCAACCTTGGATCAACATCAGCTAAATATGCGATCTTCTGAACATGACGAAATCCATCAATGAATGGAAGAATCTGAAAAAAAGGAAAGCGATGATGGTACGTCCTCGTGCAATCAGTATCAGAAAAAAAAAAGAATATGGGTTGGTGATTTAATTTAATTATGAATGCAAATGTTCAAACAGTTTGGCAATCTAATTTTCAGCCCTGAAAATACAGATATATTCTTCATTTCTGATAAATGTCCCAATTTTATAGTAAATTCATAGAATGTGCTAAATTTATTGTCAAATGATTATTCTATCAAGAACTCATTGAAAATATGGGAAAATGGGAACTAAAATAAGGAAAATCGGTAAAAAATTATGGCCTAACCTGGCAAACACACTATAGGAGTACCCAATTTTCAACCATGAAATATTCAAAGCTCACATCCATGAGCATTTCTTACCTTCCTTGTAAGCCAAATTACAAAACCATGTTTAATTATTAACTCCCGAGTGGAGATTGGAAACCTTATAAAATATAAAAAAATACGGTACTCCTGAAGTATGCGCACAAAAATGTCGCATAACCTGAACCCTAACAGATTGTGCGCCATCTTCGTGCGCATACTTCAGGAGGTCCCACTAACTATGGAATATTCAAAATTCACATTAACTACAATCTTACCCTTTCTGTGGTCAAATCCCAACCTCCTGGCATGAATTCATCTATCGATACCATCAGTATCGGCACATCATGATCTTTTACTACGGGAGGAAGGGTTGTGGGGGGAAATACTTTTAAAAATAAAGTTGTGTTATCATTAACCCTGGTGCAGCAACTTCCTTTTGTATTTAGTTCTTCAAGCATATCGCGCAGAATATCTAGAAAAATGTAGGAATGTAATCCGTAATGGTAATAAACCTCAAAGATGATTGTTTTACAATCAAACCAATAGAGTACAGCAGTGAGGAAACCTTTTGTCACTCGCGGGCCAAAATTAAGGTTGCAAGTCATTGACGGGTCGCACATATTTTTAGAAAGTTGAAAATTTCGAACGGATGGTACTTTTTATAATAAAAATCAAGCCCTGATACATCTCTCAAAAAGAATATAGATTTATTTCCTCATTGCATCTCATAAAATCCCATTTGAATATTTTCAGCGCCATTGAACCCTTTGCACTTAGAATCAACTTTTCCGCGTTTTGTTGCCATTTGCTTAATTATAATTAAATTATATGCTCATTAAACGAGTAATTGTGAATTATATAATTGTTGGGTTATAATATAATTAAGTCTGAAGAATATATTCGTCAAAGCGGATGTTTTGTTACTGTGTTGGGGTTTGGCGATAATTTTATTCCTATTTTCCTTATTTTAATTCTATTACAAGTCAGGGATTGTCTGTGTTAGCCAAGTGAATATACCCCCTGCCCACAAGTTTCAGTCACTTTATATAACTTGATGTAAAATAGGCAAACAAAATTAGTCACCTCCATATTGGTACACATACTTCTGGAGCGCCCATTTTTCAGTTTATTTATAAAAAAGACTTTAAATGCGATGGTTTTTATATATTATTGGCAGTTAAATTGAGCAGAAGTCCTAAATTTCTTTCAAACCAGATTTACAGTAAAGTGTTGTTTCTTACTTGGAATCATTTCTCTAGTCTCTTCATTAGAAACGAAGCCATTCTCCTTCTCAAGTTCTGACATATATTTTGAGAGTTGTTTGATCATTGGAATACAAGGAGAACTCTTATGATTACTATCGAGCACCAGACCAAAGTTAAAGATGAAATTATTTCTTGGATAATGAGATCCCTCGATACATACTGGACATCCAATCACTTTCTTTTTCCCTACATTCCTAAATACAGTATAAATTATAGACAAATGATATTTACTGGGTGTTATAGTCACATTTTTAATGCTGCATGATAGCTAAAGAGAAGCAAACACAGTTACCTTCATTTCAGAATAGCCTTATGAAAATACATAGTTAGGACGTTTTTTGTCTGAAAAAAGTTTCTTCTCACTCCAGAGATTCAAAATGCAGGTCTAAGTCAAGGGTCTGAATTGACAAAATCTTAACTCACCACAGCTTACAAATGTGAGAAACTATTTTAACTACTATTTTAACCAATAAAAATTTGGACTCCCAACTCTCTCAAAGTCCCAAATACTGAATCCAGATTCCAAATAGTACACCCTTTCAAATCAGACTCTGATTGAATACCACCAATTATAGTAAACCACAATTCTCTACGATAGTCAGAATCTAGGAATAGCTTGGTCATAGTGTATTGCAGAAAATTTGATTAAAAAAAAATATTTTAATCCCATTTACAGCTCAGAACAAGCTGAAGCAGGGTTGTGCAACCTGTGGCCTGCAAGCCAAATGAGGCCCACCGGGAAAAATTGTGCGGCCTGCGGAGACATGCCAATTTTGGATTGTGTGCGGCCCGGGAAACGCAGTTTTAATTTAGTTTTATTTGGTACGAGCGAGTAACCCCAATACCTTAGAGTTGCAAAGCCTATACCCGAGACCAATTTTTACGACGTTACAATGCCCTAACAGCTAGCTAGCTTTTTGTGCATGCAACTACATTAAAGCCTATGTTAAATAAAGGTGCGGGCCACGTTTTCTTCCAGTTATTTGAATGTGGTCTTTATGTAATAAAGATTGCAAACCCCTGGGCTTGAGATATTATTCCCTGTTATTGGACCAAATTTTGTGTGTATTTCATTCATTTCAAGGAAAATAAATTACAAAATATACCAACACAGTTGTCAATTTCTCTTGTAATTCTGGTTTAGGAATGATATAATTCGTAACTTCTTCAAATAATCCTTCTTGTTGGTTAAAATATCCATCAGGATACTGAAATTAAAATATCATATCAAATGATTTATTGCAAAGAAGGAAATCAAGTCATAACAATAGGAAGGACAACATCACTGATCAAAAAACTCTGTTCCAAAGCTAATGATAGTTTGACCTATATTAAATGTAGTAGAAATTCATTTTACAATCATGAAAATTTGTTCAAGTTATCAAATTTTTGAAAAACAAAAGAGACGAAACCTGAATTTATACAACAATTTTTACTTCTACATTCAATATTCCCTTTTTTTATATTATTGTACAGAACACATTAAAAATACTGAGACATATTTCAACCTTTTAATATTCAGTCATGGACAATGTTCAAGAAACAACAAAACAATGCTTGAATATGAAAAACACAATCTCTAACCACTGAAAATTCCAAAGCAATTGGTCCAGGAGTTGAAGAAAAAAACGATTTTTCCATAACCATAAGAAGAAAAATACCAAGAAGAACAATAACAACATAATATTTACAAAACAATTTATAGGTCCACTCCGTTGTTAAATACCTGATAAGTTATCTTGGGTCCTTGCAAATGATGGAACTCACTGAAGAACATACATTCAATAGGATGTTGAGCAATGTAAGACTGCAATGAATCGTTCATATTGCTGCATTCAGTGACCTTTATGGGTCAGCGCATACAGTTAATTAAACTATCAATTAATCTACTTTGAAAGGATTCAATTAATAATAGTTTAACATATAACAGATTATCACAAAAATAATTTTTGATGAAGATTTCGATTCCCATGGTAACGAATCCCCCAAAAAACTGTTTTGATGAGTTGAGTGATTCAACAATATGTAAAAATAAACGAAAATGAGAAATGAATGATGATAATTTTAATAATGCTTGAATAGATCAAAAACGTTTTTGAAGCAATGGCCTATGTTTACAAGGAGGCCTGGATTATTGGAAAACAAAACTCAAAATTTTTCAACAAAAAACTTTGATATTTGGCCCATACACGTCAAAACCAAATCAATGTTAAAAGAAAACACTCGTTCATATTACAAGTACCGTAATCGTTGTTTAATAATAACCTAATCAAATTTTCATTACTACTGCTTATAAGAATATAATCAGCATGTATAGCATATTTGCTAATGACAATCAAGATAGGTTTTTTATATTTATCCTGAGCAAGGCTGATGAAATGGCTTAATCCTATGGTAGACTGTTTCTTGTCCGATTGTATGTCCAGGACAAGTATGGGTATAGATAACTTTGTAATTGTCTCAGGTCTATGCAATTAATTTGAGAATGAAAAGCATCTACTGGATGATAATTTGAATATCCTACTATTTTTACCTGCACCAAGAATGTGAGGAATAAATTACTTTGGAGATAAAAAAAAAAGGTAGAAATGATTGTACAATATTTGAAGATCCATTTTGCAATACTTGGTTTACCAAGCTGATAAAATTTCTATATAAACCCTGAGATTGAAAATAAGATGAATCATTCCCATAGCAAACCACAGTCCAGTATTAACTAGAAACCAAGTCAGGCGCATTTAATCAGGTAAATGCTGCCTTGTTACTGGAGTATTCGGACGGGACTAGAGCCATGGATTTTTGTTGTAAATGGAGCTGCTAAAAAGTTTTGAAACTCCAGTTCATAACCATCCCTTTTTTTCAATTTATAATTTTCTAATAATTCATTAAAATAATGAAAATTCTCTATCCCATCCCTTAGGTCAAGTGCTAAAATGTAGTTACAGTAATGTTTAGATAGAATTCCTACAAACTACACAAACGCATTTAATAATGCTTTTATTAGAAGGTATTCCATGAATGAACATAATTATGGAAGCCTCAAAATACAATAATAACACTACAAAAGTATTTTCTTAAGAGACGAAACAATTGTTTGGTATGATATATATTTTATAACTTTAATAACTAATCAATCTTCTGAATAAACATTATTCAATATTCCTCCATTCATGAAAACTTGGGATCTGGAGTAAACTGAATAATTGCTGAAGAAAAACAGTTTAAAAATCAAAATTGGACTACATCAAAACAATTTACCAAGTAGTTTGAAAATAGACCACATTATATCACGATTTCAAAGCAAAACCAGAAAAATACATTGGACTATACGTAAACTGACATCTAATTTAACCATTTCGTAGTGATTTCCCTGATTATATGATATAAGTCAGCTTAACATTTGTTGGAAATCAGTAAACAAAATAATTCATGTACTGGTATGCCATAATTCCCACAAGCGCTAAAATCAAAAACACACTTTTTATTAAAATTCTGGAATAATTTATCGTCTATATGTAACTGCGAAAAGTTGACCTCACAAATATATTCCATGCATAAAAAACATTTGGCTATCACAATCTATATACAAGCAGTTTAGTTAACAAAAGAAAACACGATTTATATACCAGTTCATGCAGTTTATGTATCATGATTTTGTCACAAAACACAATATTATTGGCACCCAGAATTTAATATTATTTTCAACTAATGCTTGAAACAGCCTTTCGGCTTGATTTTAGTCTGGCAGGAACAGCATACATTGGACTAAGTAAACTTAAAAACATATCTGAAAAACAAACGCTCAGATACGGAAAGGTTGTCAAATACCATAAATTAGATTGGAGCTTCTGTGGGCTCTATAAGAATTTCATTTACACCTACATGATCTGGCTGAGTAAGGGCATATAAGACAGCCCTTCCAATGTCTTCAGGGTCAAGGATTTTACTTGCTGAACCCATTGTATTGTATTGCACTTGGGCATCCAGATCTCTCGTATAATTCCCAATTTCAGTCGCAACGTCACCGGGTTGAATACAAGTTACTCTGACCCCCTTGTCTTTTACTTCTTGCCTTAAAGATTGAGAGAGTCCTTCTACAAAAAATTTTGTTGCGGAGTATACCGCTAAACCAGGAAACCCTCTCCTGCCTGCATCTGATGATGTGTTAACAATATGACCTTTCCCCCTTTCTACCATTCCAGGTAGAACACACCCAATACCGTTAGTTACGCCACGACAATTAATATTAATCATTTTATCCCAATCATCCATCATTGCATTGTGCATGTGCGTGTAAAACATGCATCCAGCATTGTTTATTAAAATATCAATCGGGCCCATAAGTTCCTCAATAGTTTTCACAACTTGAGAAAATTGAGCCCGATCCGTTACGTCCAATTCATATTGGTGTACAATACCACCTTCAGAGTCAATTTTTTCACAGACTTCAGCTAGTTTATCTTGTCTTCGTGCGCCAACACATACGTGTGCACCAGCTCTTGCAACAGCTTCCGCAATAGCCTTCCCGATTCCACTTGATGCACCAGCGACTAAGATTACTTTGCCTTGCAAACTTCCTTCGAATGCGCTTAATTCACTCATGTTCGAATCGTTCTCTGAATATGGTTCTGGTACTTGTATTTCAACTTGCAAATTTGGTAAGTTCGATATTGATTCGCTGTTTAAATTGTCAGATTTAATCAAAGATTCACTTGAGGAATTTTTATATTTTGAACCAAGATTTTGCATAAATCCACTTCTCACAAAGGATGGGGAATTACTGATACCCTCCCAATCATAGACAAGAGTGGCGTCTTTTTTACTTTTGCTTGATTTTTTTTTTGTGTTGTTTGATTCCTCACTGTTTTCCAGTGATAACCTCTGTAAAACAAAACATTTCATTGTTTAAACTTTATACCATTGACATTTTATGAATTTCAATCAAACATAATTGATTCAGAGATATTCAATACCGGTACTGTATTGAACATATGTTTTGATAATTAATTTTAATTGTCTTTTATTCCAAACAAAACTCTGTGTGAGAAACCACTACTATGCGAAGAACTACTATATTTGAAAAGCCGTAACTCCAGTTTGGCATTATCCATCCAAATTCATTACTAATTTTTTTTGAAGCGGTGAGCATGAGATTTGAACACGAGATTTTCAATCTACGATGCCAACACAATTAATTCCAACTCTTTGACCACTAGCCCAGCATATCCACTCAATCTAATTAAAAGGAAACAATAGTGAAACGCATCAATCTAGGGCATATGCAATAATTGGATAATAGAAGCAAAATCTGACCCCAAAAACATGTTTAATAAATTCCGCATCATTGCAAATTACGTTTAAAGATTCAAACATCTGGGTAAATATATATTGAATAGGCTACAAACTTATTGTAACTGAAACTGTTTTTGCAATATCCATTATCAAGATATCTTTATTCTTACTAAAGTAAGACCTTTTAGAATCTCAATTCCTAAGTTATTTTGACTTTAAGCTTCACAAAAGACTTTCAAATTCAATTTTCTGCAAATGAAAACTTCTGCCTTGCTACAGTGCAGGCAACAAACAGACTGAATCAAAAGGAAACTCAAAAAGAAGATTTTATGATCAATTCTTAATCAATGACTGGGGAGTGTCAACATGTCACCTCATGCATTTCCTGATGCAAGTCACTTGTGAAATATGAAAACATTTACTTGAACATCATATCGTTATAATGAATTGTTGCCATCTTTGAGGGGAACACACAATAAATAATAAGATATAAGTCGAAATGTGAATGTATTGTATGGACATTTCAGAGAACATGATTTACCAAAACGCAATGATATCTATTAGAAATTAATCAAGCCAACTGATTCAATAAACAATTTTTGCCGTATATTTTTTAATGGTAATGATTCTAACGGTATGAAACTTTTTGTTAGATTTGGCCTTGTGAAAGCCACTATCAAAAGAGTAGAGAGCAATAAATTGTGGACAATATTCAACCAGATAACTGGCATATGGCCAATAAAGATATTCTATGAGTGACTGCTTCTCCAGACCATTTAAAAAATTCACATCTAGATTTTTCATTCAAGCAAGAGAATTAGGACCAATGTGGACTTTACTCAAAAAAAAGAATTAAAATGTTTTGCGATGATGATACAGCAATGGTACAAAGCATTGAATAACATTTTTTCGTTTGAATACTTTATCAACAAAACTTCTTAATTCTTCGAGAATTTGAAAATAAATAGTGGAAAGAGAAACAAACCTGTGATTGTCTAACTCTTCTTCTCACTTTTCTCATAGCAGATCGTACTTTCTCTTCTCCTTTCTCAGCAATAATTGGTTCTTCGATCACAAATTTTCTCATTGCTTTCGCCACAGGTTCCCCAGATTCTAAAACTTTCATTTTCAATCTAAAATGAATTGATGAGCAACCAATTAGACATTAAGCTATTTCAGAAATACAAAGATGTTTTTTTTAAAGTATATCTCAGATCTCTATCCCATAATCCCAACATAATTAGGAAAATGTACAGCGAATACAAAGCCAATGCAAAATTCCTCCACAAGATTGACAAAACTTTGTTCTGGAGCGGAATTCCCAACGGTTGGGAAACGGTTTAAATCAGTGGTTCTCAACCTTTTTCAGTTCGCGGACCGGTAAAATTTCAAAAAAAATTTCGCGGACCGGCGGACCTTCAAAATTAACCAAAAATGTCATGAACACAAAAAATAATCAAAAGAATGCGATTACGACAAAAGTAGGCAGTGCAAAAGAAGACAATTCAATGAGAAATTTGCTGCTGTCTTTTTGATATTATGCGTGTCGAACGTAGTTCTGATGAAGTTTGTGCAAGGCAAAGTAGAGCGTTGACTTCCACGCGATTTCATTAGCTTTGTAGGTTTCATTGCGTCGTTTGAAAGAATTGTGGCGCAGACTAGGCACATAGGAAATGGTACTTTTTCGCTGCTGGGAGCAATAGTGAAACCTAGCTCCAAATACTTAATATAGTGCTCAATAAAATATCCCTCTCGTTTTTTGCTTGTTTCCGCATGATCCATATCAATTTTGCTGCAACGTGAAAGGTCGTTTCGGGGTATGTTGTGAAGTTGAAGTAGCAGTCTCTTCCTGTAAACACCACTAAATTGGTTTTCACCGCTGGGTTTCCTTTGAAACGTGAAACATGTTTCCCCGAAATTGAGACATACCATGAAAAAAGACCTAGCCTGAATTTAAAGCAATATATTAATAAACCCCCCCCCCCCCCCCCCCCCCCCCCTTATTAAAATAGGATCTAGTCAATAATGTAAACTTTTTTTTGACCTAGTCGATATCAAGAAATCTCTCCTACACGTCGCAGTTGTTTTGAATGAAAACGTGATATTTATAAGTAAATGGATATCCGTTTTCATACTTTATATATATACACAAAATTATCGTAATTCTTTACTTTTGAATTTTGTTTTTATTAAATAAAAATATAAGACATCCCCCGAAAACAAGCCCTAGTGTTATTTTTCAGAAAAATATTGAAATATAACCCAGTCTTATTTTCGGGCAAACACGGAATGTGCTATCAAACTCCTCCGTTATTACGCTAGTCGCCGTTATGAGGTCATAGACTTAACGAACATCAAGTAGTTCAGGGCTTGAAATTGGCAAAGAACATCTCACCAATTTTGGTTGTTAGAGTCTAACACAGACACGGGCAAACTACGGCCCGCGGGCCGAATCGGCCTGTTGGGTAATTCAATCTGGCCCGCCTGTTGGTGTTACAACCAAACTAAATCCACATTTTGCTGTTTCAGAAAAAAATAGCTCAAGGAATTTGTTGGGATTGCAATGAAATTTAGTTTTGGCATGGGGCTTATCGTTTTCCACTTTTGCTTTTGTAGCACTGCAAATATTGTCCATAAATGTAACTTTCACATTTTACTTCATACTTCCATGGTCCGCCAGTCTAGATGGGCAAAATTGTTGGCCCCCGGTCTGAAAACCTGGCCCACCCCTGGTCCAACAGTTAGACTGCGGTACTACGAATCAATAATTAGAAGAAAAAAAAAACGAACATGTCGTCAACACTCTGTATTTTGCAATTTGCTTATAATATATTACTATTGGAAAATATTTGGCGGACTGGCAGCAAGGTTGCCGCGGACCGGCACCAGTCCGCGGACCAGCGGTTAAGAACCACTGGTTTAAATAAAGAGAAAACTTATATATTTTCTTATATAATTAGGAACATAAAATATTAACCTGCTGACGGCTAGTCTCTCTTCTATCTTATGTAAAAGTTGATCATGGCAGTGATTTTCAAGTGCTCGTGTTATGGTTGGTGTAGCAGCTCCATCCTCGCTGACATGAATTTTTGCCTTGCATTTATATTTTGCTTCAGAAACACAATTCCAATAAGATTTATGTTTTATAACTTTTTGTTTTCGGTACAGATATCCATTCAAAACTATTTGTCGTTTTCCCCATGCCGACATTACATAAACGCCATCTTGAGACAAAGAATCCTCTGGTTTGTCCTGCTCCGTCACCGACATAGCTATACTGATTGATATAACTTAACCTGATATGTATATTGGAACAGATTTAAAGGTTGATAAAATTGTTTCTCAATCAAGAAATATTTGTGAATATTTTGGCAATTGGCATTATAGAAATCTTCTTTCTAATTACCATAAGTATAATAATTTTTTAACTCCCTCAGTAGTATGGATAATACACAGGACAAAATTTCAAAAAGGTTACCAAAACTTCAAACAGTCAAATAAGGTTTAACATTTCAAATAGGAGTCACATCTACATAACACAGTAATTAGAATAGGATTTACATATTTATCCCAGGGGAGAGGAAAACCGATAAGATTACTATTTAGTTATTTGTTTAGTACCAGCGGTTACGTGAACCACCCTACGGCACAAGGAGTTCAGCAATCCTCTCGCACAGAACTATCTCCGCATCCGCATGGAATTCGAACCTAAATCACACAAGTGTGAAATATACAGATATAAGTTACATTTTGAATCTATTTTGTGCAAAAAAAACATGATTCATACCATCTAAGAAACTAAAGCGATGACTCGGTACCGGTACTGTTCTGCTATTTGCATTACATAGATCAGTCACTCAGTGGTTCCCAAGTTTTTGTCGTTACAATATCTATGCCATACGGTAGGTCTGTAGGTATATTTTATATTATTTCTTTTGCAGAAAGCCACAGCCACATTTCAAGTAGGCCTATCTACGGTACTGCAGATTGCGCTCGACGCGTTATAATTAATTGTGCGGCTTTCCCTTCAACCGGTACCGTTATGCATAGAAAGTACCGTATGGTACCGGTACCGGTACAGGTTTTTACTTTTTTTGATGGAGGATCCTTATTTGGTGACATGTTCAGCTGACTTATACCGTGTGATTGAGCGTATAAATATGTATTTATACCAAAACACTGAATATCTAAACAATATTGGTACAACTTCATCACTGAATATCGGCACATACCAGTACCAGTACAGTAGTAAAAATTCTGTATTTCATCCCCCAGGCCTATATCAAACAATTTGTATTTCTCAAAAATTCGATAATTGAACTATACCGCTCCAAATGGCCATGTAGATTATTGCATGTGCCTTGTCCATTCGGCATTCCAGCAAAGATGAATTTCTGATGTGAATCATTTGTACGAACCACTGTAATTTAATAGGAAGATATCCTATGAAAAAAAAAAAATTTCATATGAATAATTGAATTAGAAAAAATATCTATTTTATTGAAGACATCTGTGATTCTAAACAGAAAAAAGGAATGTTTCCAATTATTTTTCATCATTATTGCTTTTCTGAGATTTTTATATTGACATGCAATCGTATATAAAAATTTTATTATGTATACCCCGAGCATGGAATGAAAATTTATTTTAAAAAACCCCAGGCCAATCCACATCTTAGTCAAATCGAGAATATTAAAAGCATCGATAAAACTTCCCTACTCGGCGGCGTGGCGCATCGTGCGTGGGTTCGCAGGTTCGAATCGAAGGGTTATGTGCGAGAGGTTTGCCGTGGTTCACTACATGATTAAGCCGTATTATAGTTGGTGGGTATTTGTCTGTTTGTTTGTTTTCTGCGCCTTTATCGCGCTTGAGGACGATTGGATATGCATTGACGGCCTCAAAATTATTCGACGTCTCTATTGATGAGGGGTTGGAAACACTCGCAAATGCGCAAGCTATTTTAGACAATTTGCTCGATCAACCTAGGTTATCATTCTACAACACTGACCTTATTGCTAGCCAGTATTACGAAATATCTGAACGAAAAAGTAAATGCTCTGGGAAACACATATTGAAATAAATAATCCTTCCGCATATATTTAACCTCTGCGTTCAAGACCGAGCTAAAGAGCAACATATTTATCCCATAATGGTTGAGGATGAATGGATTTCACTATCAAGCATTACAGCCCTTACCATACTGTGTATAAATTGAAGTGGCAAGATTCGTATAAGAAAGAAGCGAACAAAAATTGCATCACATTATATTTTAGGTTTATGGAGCCTACTATTATTATAAATATAGTGCTGCTTTGTAAAATGATCAATGGCGGTGAGGTATTGGATATCCATGAAATGCCTGAATGATATTTAAAACAATTACAATCCTCAGAAATCATGGAGATCCTAAAATAAAGAAAGTGGCAACTATGTTTTTTAAATTTTTTATTGATGAGCGCCATATCTGCAATGGACAACGTTTTTCTGGATCCAACAAAAACCTGAAGTTCAGCGCGAATTTCGACAAGTTATGATAGGAATGATATCGAACTTTAGGTGTGTGTGTGTACCAAGATGACGCACAGCCTGAACCCTAACCTGGTACACATACTATGTTCAGGTTGTGCGCCATCTTGGTTCACATACTACGGGAGCTCCTGATATTGAACGTAAGGTTTGTGTAAATGATGATGAATGAATGACCACCATAGCTAACCAATCGAGGCCAAAAAATGAATGGAGTCGACTTCGATATATGTAGGTCAGGGTAAATCGGACACCCGGGGTATGATGGTCAGTCGGAATGAAGTCCTCCTAATAAAGACACCTCGCGCTTTTTTGTCGCTCAAAACGCATCGCGTGGAGGGGACCATCATGCGAACAACGACAGAACCAAGATTTTACATTTCAGGGTCGACAACTTACAAGGCGGTGCTTTTTGGGGAAGGAGTGTTTCTGATGGGACAGAAAAACGTCACATTATAGAGTCCCATGGTGGCGAAGATTAATTTTAGCCGAAAAAGTCTGCGAACTCGGTTCTATTTTGTTTATTCGTTGAAAGTAGTTACATTAGATCGAATAAATTCTTTAGCAGACTTCCAGTACTCATTTTTGGGTTGGTAGGGTCACTTAACAGGTAGGGTGAATTTTGGATGGGGAAGGTGGAAGGATTTTTTTCAATATAGTCTGTTGGGAATGTCAATGGGCCGTCGCCATCGAAACTTGTAAATAATTATTTTTTGGTACTGAGTACCCTTTTACACCAAAGATCAAAAGCACACTCATCGCCCTAAATATACTGGGTCTCCTAGAAGTTAGATCAGGCGTAAAATTTCATCTTACCCCGTCCAATTTTTTTTTTCAAGGTTATGCCAAGAAATTACAAATAAATACTTCTAGAGGTAGTCCGTGTAAAGAAGATATAAAAATTGCAGTTGAAAAAGTGCAAACTAAATTTTAAATTTCTGGTTTTCTAAAACTGTTCAAACTCCTTTGAAAATTGCCCTGTTATTTCCCTTATGGGGTAAGACGGACATACTTTTTAATATGCAAGAAAAGTGATATGTATGAAAAAAATTGAAGAGACATAATCCTGGGGCATCTGGGCGTTGACCGAAGTCTTATGCCCGAAATCTTAGACACCATCAAGTTTATTTTGGTGTGTGTCCGTCTTGCCCACAAAGTGTCTAACTTACCCCGATATTTTTTTAACTGAAAATCGGGCGTAAATTTCGATTCGTTGCTATGGCAACAATGTGCAAATGTGGCAAGATAGCTGGAGGGTGGATGCATAAATCAAACGTAGAACGAATGCAGCTGCGAATGCTGCTTAAAGAGTTATTCAAAATAACTTATTAGTGGGTCCGACTTCCTCCGACCCCGCGGGACTTCGACCCTGGGCCAATTTATTTTTTTTTTTCTCAAAAGTTTTATATATATGGATATTTAGTGTAAATTGTGCACGAACGATAATGATAAAATGAATTATTATCTTGATTTATATCTTGACTATTTTACAGAATGCTTTGCAAAATTCAATCAAATATTATTGCTAAATATATATAATTAAACTGCTGCGCATGGTTTCCTCTGGAATATGGTTTCATTGGGGTTCAGTTCCATCGAAAAAAAAAATTTAATACCACTGGTCAAATGCAACCATCATATAGCTCATGGTTCCATTACATTTGAACCCATGACAATTGCACCTGTATGCTATTGCATCTATGGATTTTTTTTTGTTTCACGGATAGTTAAACCTATACTAACCCTAACCCATGGGTTTTAGCACCCGCATATAGATTGAACCCGTGGATATACGCATGGGTTCAAATGTACGGTCACCATAGCTCATATACCATTGAAAAAGTTCTTCTATAATTGACCATAAGGCCAGTTTTTTATATGTGTTTATTTTGAGAGTACGGGTGCCAATGTATGGGTTCAAATGTGTTGTCACCGTTCCATTCTATTGCTTGCTACTTCATATTACTAACAAATGTGTGACTATCACATTTTCCATACATGATTTAAACGCTTCGTTATTCTCAATCTTTATTTTAATCATTACACGATAGATAACACTATTTTAACACAAAACACGTTCCAGAAGAAATCCAGCAGATGCTAATCTAGCTATCAAATAGGAGCTCCCGAAGGAAGTGTACCAAGATGGCGCGCAACCTGAACATAGTATGTTTACCAGGTCATGGTTCAGGTTGTGCGCCATCTTTGTACACATACTTCGGGAGCGCCGTCAAATAAACGTGATCTTTATTAACCTGAATTAATAGGCGTTTACTCGTTTGCCACTGCTCGACGTAGAACTACGTCGGCGACCCTTGAAGAGTCGAATGAGAGATATTCAGCCTTTAAGTTTCCATCATCTAAAATTGCGGAATGCAACATAATAGGCGCGGCTCATCGTTAGGAATACGCTCGACGTCGCACCTCTAATTACTCTGTGTGGGTTCGCAGGTTCGAATCTCATGCGGGATGGTTATGTGCGAGAGGATTGCTGGACTCCTCGCCGCCGTAGGGTGGTTCACGTAACCGCTGGTCGGTTACGGCTCCCTCCACCACCAAGTCCATGCTTCCGAAAACAAATAACTAATCCCATACCATTAACCAAACCATGGCCTCTCGTCCGTTTACCATTCCACGTCGGGTATGGAATCGGTTAGCAAGTTATTTGTTTACGGAAGCATATACTTGAACAGCGTGTAAAAAGTGCTGGGGGATTTCGCATATATATTTCATTCATCTTTCAAATCCTTCTGTGAATTAATTCATAATGCAATTTTATCATGATGAATACAATGGGCATTCAAAATATGGGCTTGGGACGATGACTTGTCTTATCCACGCAATGAGAGACCCAGGAAATACCACGATGTAATGGGTAATGAGTAATAATGAATGTTCCCAAACCCTCAGCCCCAGGAAAATCACCCTTCCCGACTACGCATGACCGCACTTTGATTTCAAAACGGACGGAATCAAGATCGATCCTTCTTTTCAATTTCTAAGATCAAAGGCCTCCAACCAATACAAGAGAAACACAGGACACTTCATATCATATATATCTTACTACAGGCAGCTACAGAACAAGTCATAATAAATGATTACCTAATTGTGCACAATACGAAATTGAAAATAAATTATAGTGGAAATTATTGCGCTTCATGATTACATTATAATATGTTGTTGGAATTTTATGAAGGTTCTGTCGATCAAGTCGTTGCAAGCAGGGTGCAGAGTCGGCAGTTCGCCATTGGATTCGGAGCCAGAGTCGTATTTTGAAACAGCCGGGAGTCAAAAGTCATATTTCCCTCAAAGTCGGGAGTTGAAATGGGAGTTGGACGTGTTGCCACCGGGCAAACACGTTGATGAAAGCAAAAGTACTTTTATTGAAAAGAGCCAGGTGCGACGAAAAGGAGAGTCTTTGGAAGTGGGCCATGTATCAGGAAAGTTTCCAGCTCTTGCAGTAAATATAAGTTGAAAATTGCTAAGTGAAGTACTATGGCACAAATAATTAAATAGTAATAAACATATACGCAACATAGAGTATAAAAGGAATAATGTTTCTATGAAAACAATATCTATCACACATCGAAAAATAATATGGATATTTGTTTTACTTGTTACTAGTGGTCATCAACCCCATCATATCTGGGAATAGTCAACTCATCAAATAAATTGACCCCTAAATTTTATATATGTATGGTCACATGCCAGTTTCAGTATGTTGGTGTACACTTGTAAAATTTCTCACAACTTTGAATGTTTTAAAATTGATTAATTTTGTCGCACTCCAAGTGTGAGAGTTACCTCCAAGAGTACATTGCCAATAATTTTACCATTCATATGTAATATTTTTAATTCATTACACTTCATCATTTGATGGGTAGGATAAATGACAGATAATAATTTTCAAAAAATCATTCTTTCTGTATTATTGCAAATAATAAAAACCATTCAATGCAACAAAAAAGAATGCTTTAATTATACAGTACTCAAAACTGATTAAAATTGTAATCCTTGACTAGCACATCCGCAAATAATATTGAAAAACAGTAATGAAGTTGAAAAATAAGAAAACATAGCACCAGTAACCCAAACAAGGTCATAATGCAACACTCAGAAAACCTTGGTTTCAAAGTTAAATCTGGAATTGGGATTGAAAGCATGACCACAATGATATGCAATCATACATAAAAGTAACAATATAAAAACATGATAGCATCAATCGCTCATTAAATATAGAGATAATCATGGCAACAGGAAAATAAACATTGGTCCAGAATTGTGTAGCTTATTGTTGATATAATCTAATAAGTTAATGTTGTATCAAAATACAGTGGACTTGGAACTTCTTAAAAACTTGGCAACATTAACATTTGTGTATTAGAATGAACATAACAGCACTTGACAGATGTTGATGTGGACATTATTTTGCAACGTACATATCTGTAAACAAATAACGACTTAACTTATCTTAACTAATCGATTTGTTACTTTAATTTTTGTGAGGAAATTAAATTTTGTTGGCTATTTTAATGATAGGAATATTGTTGTGTGAGTAGTATTTGGTCTACATGCTTGTTCCAGTGACAATGTTAGCGCCAATCATCACCAAACTGAAGGGTTGCAGGAAATTCGATTCGATTTGACTTCAAGTTTGTTTAATATATTGACCAATGGGAACATATTATGATTTGAACATTTATGTTAGTCATGATACAGGGTTCTGTTCATCACAATGGCATGTGGATTACATACTGCAACCAGCACTCAAAGATTTAGCGGATAAAATCCTACTGCAAAGATCAGAAATAACTGTGGTGACTGAACATGGACTGTCGGTCAGCCGTGGTCCGTATATAAGTTTCTAACCACTTTCCAAGCATTAAGCATAGCAAGAGGAAATAAAGTAAGCATACATATGAAATTAATAATACAAATCCCATAATCTTGATAAAGGGTAAAAAAACAACACAGCAATAAATTCATTTTACACGAATTAAGTTGGAATAACATTTAGAAACACATATTTAATTGAACAATATTATTATGAAGAAACACATTTAAAATTATATTATTAGAAATTAAATTCGATTTACACAACTCCTTCAGAACTATGGCGTATAAAATAAACAAGTAAAAAACAAATTTTACAAAACAAAACTAACATACATTATGATATTGTGATATAGGAGAATATTTCATTCAAAAATGCATTACTAGTGTAAATTATATGCCATCATATTGATTAGGGTTAGCAAATAGATCTAAATTTAAAGCACATATAATTTAATATACCATAATATATGCATAATGCGGCCACCCATGCCCAGCAGTAAAAAGTATGCATATTTGTATAAAAGAATAAATGTTGAGCATTCCACCAGTGCAGGGGTAGGCAAGGACCAGGGGCCAAAAATTTTGCCCACCTAGAATGGTGGGCCATGTAAGTGTGATGTAAAAAGTTATATTTTATGAACAAAATTTAGAGTGTTTTAAAAGCAAAAGTGGAAAACAATACGCCTTGTGTTAAACCTAAATTTAACCGCAATCTCAACAAAATCAAATCAATAAGCCTGGTGTGTTGTGTCAAAACTAAATTTAACCGCAATCTCAACAAATTCCTTGAGCTATTTTTTAGCTAAAACATCAAAATTTGGTTCCAGTTTTGTTGTGGCAGCATCAGGCAGGCCAGATTGAATTATCCAGGCCGTAGTTTGCACATGTCGCCACTAGTGGCATGGACAGAAGTGTTGAGTGGAGGTCCATCAAACCAGAGTCGAGTAGAATCAATCACTGAGTCTCAGGGGTGGCCAGTTGAGTTCTAGTCCAAGTCATTTCATGAATAGTGATTCAGAAACTCATCCAACTTGGGTCAAGTAAATGACTAGAGCACCAGTTCTCAACCAGTGGGTCATGCATGGCCCACTGCTGGGGCACAGACACATTTTCAGGTGAGTCATAAACACATTGAAAATTGCAGGAGTTATTGATAAATAGGTATAATTTGATTGATGTATCAATGAATGATGATGCTGTTTTTGGAAACTGGGTCGTCTTTTTTATTTTGAGAAAAGAATTGAAGTGTCTATTTTTGCGAAAAGAATTTCTGTTTCTTCTTCGGGTTTCCCTTGCATGAGAAAGTTGATGGGCCACTGAATTTTAAACAGTGGTAATAAACATCTGCCCTATATAATAAATACTAGTAACAGGATATAACAGGATACGGTAGATAAATACCAATCACTACATAATTGAAGAATACGGCATTGTACATAATACAGCAGCAAATAACTAGAATTCATTATGGCAGGACTCTTGACGTAGGCGATAATATATTGTTTCCATTGCTTTGTACCATGAAGGCGCTTCCTTTTGAAACAGTCTTTCCAATCGCCTCCACCTAAAAAGTAAACAGCAATATTTTATGAATGAAAATTCTTTTGGTATTGTGAAGGTTGTGAGAAACCTTTAGCATTTAAATGTCAAGTTATACATAAATATAGGGAAAAAAAGTTAACGCCCAGGTATGTATTTACAAAGGGTTTGGAAGCTGTCACCCATGACTTATTATTTTTCCCTCTGACAAATTTTATTTCATAGAGAGGCCATTATGATAGGAAATGGGAAACAGTTTTATGTTTTAGAATTACTGTATTTATTTTTATTCTTCTAATGATTTTTACTTGAGTTTAACAAATTTCAATATGAATAATGTCAAATGTCGCTCCTGAAAAATAAAGCATTAAGAAGTAAATAAGGCATATTTTGATGTATCAAAATTAATTTTATTTAGTAGAATTGGCAAGAAATTTCCTCATCACTGTTCCTTACACAATAAATTTATTTTACTGAATACAAATTACACTGTGGGGACTGTTAGTCTGAACAGGTATTAACTGCTTCCCCTAAAAACAATAACAGACACTGGAATCTAAACATTGGCAAAGATAATTGACAGAATAAGGGCCTTGCAATTTTGATTTCAAAATATTGAGTCTGGAAATGACCAATTTCTAGGAAGCTCTCCTTCTATTTTAGTTTACAATATTGCATTCCATGGGTATTATCGGGTGGCCACACCTTAATGGTTTTTATAAACATAACTCATTTAATGATATATTATGATCACAATCTTAGGCATGACGAGGGCAATGTGGAATAAATCACAATTTTAATTAATAAAATATTAAAACAAAGGATTAAATTTACTAAAGTAGATCGGTGGTCAATTTCTAATAAGGATTATTTAAATTCACAGAAGTGCAATTTATTAAGCCAAGATAAAAGAAAAATTCAATAAGCCTTCGAAAATAACCTTCGTGATTTGAATAATAGCTGTATATATATAATCGTGAATGCTTGATAAGTTAATCGAGAAAACATGGCTTTTTGCAACATAACAGATATTTTTTCTAGAAAATAATATCGTTGAATATGTATCGCTCAAGGCAGGGCCAATAATACGACGCATGACGCATTTCATTCGAATCGCTGCAGCAGGATGACCAAAGACAAACAATCATTCCCAAATAATATTATTGTTCATATTCCAAATGGATAGGGATGGGCAATGTAGAATAATTTACTATTCTGGAATATTCTAGAATAGTTAAATTGAATCCAGAATACCGAATTCTATTCTATTTTCATACTTATTTAAATATTGGGAATTTCACATTTTGCTGGAATTAAATGTTAAAAAAGTTGTAAATGTATTATTTATTTGGAAATATCCTGGACATTGGATTTTATTTGATACTGAACAGGCAGACCACTGTGTTAGTTTGTTAGACAAGGCATAATGATATACCAAGACAATTATTCAATCTGATAGTTACTCAAATTTACACAGATCTAAGCGATAAGTACACTTACATGAAATCCTATGCTATTCAATTCTTCATGAGGCAGAATTCCACGACCATCAAAAATGAATGCCGGTTTCAACATGCAATCGAATATTCTTTTATAATCAAGGTCTTTGAACATGTCCCATTCAGTACAGACTGCAATTGCATGGGAATCCTTGCATGCTTCGTACGGGTCTGTTACTGAAGTAACAAGCTCAGCTACCTTTTCTGGAGTTGAAATCGTTGGGTGGCTCAAATCACTTATAATTTGTCTTTTCGACACTTTTGGATCGTATATTGCTAACTTTGCACCTTCGTCAAGAAGGTATTTTGAAATGTAGATTGCAGATGACTCTCTGGTGTCTCCAGTGTCCTTTTTGAAAGCGAAACCGAACAGTGTTATTTTCTTTCCCGATACAGTGTTGAAAAGACAATTTATGATCCCACTAGCAAAACGTTTGCGTTGATAATTATTGATTTCAATAACTTGTTGCCAATATTGTGCTACTTTCGGTAAATTCAAACTTTCACACAAATATACTAAATTTAACACGTCCTTCTGAAAACAGCTTCCTCCAAAACCGACCGAAGCTTTCAAAAACTTATTGCCGATTCTTGTGTCCATTCCTATGGCATTCGCAACTTCTTCCACGTCAGCCCCTGTGGCTTCACAAACTGCACTCATGGCATTGATACTGCTGATTCTTTGAGCTAAAAAAGCATTTGCAGCTAATTTCGATAATTCCGAAGACCATGTATTTGTTGTTATAATCTTTTCTTTAGGCACCCAATTGCTATATACCTCAGATAAGGTTTCAATTGCCTTTTTCCCAGCTTTAGATTCTTCTCCACCTATTAGAACCCTATCTGGATGAAGCAAGTTTTGAATTGCAGTCCCTTCTGCAAGAAATTCAGGATTTGAAAGAACTTGAAATTTAATATCTAAATTCATATTGGCACCGAGAATCCTTTGGATGCTTGCTGCTGCTTTGACTGGTACTGTGCTTTTTTCCACGACAATTTTATCGCTTTTTGAAACTGCAGCAATTGTCCTTGCACACGCTTCTACATATTTCAGATCTGCTGCTCTTCCTTTTCCTACACCGTACGTTTTTGTCGGCGTATTCACAGAAATAAAAATTAAATCTGCTTCAATAATTTCCTTTTCTACTTCTGTTGAAAAAAACAAATTTTTTCCTCGGCATGACATCACAATGTCTTCCAGTTCCGGTTCATAAATCGGCAATTCATTTGAATTCCAGGCAGCAATACGATCTGCATTTATATCCACGATTGTCACACAAATATGGGGACATTCTTTAGCAATCACAGAGCATGTTGGTCCACCTACATAACCAGCCCCAATGCAGCAAATTTTTTTTACAGACATTCTAATAACTATCTTTCAATGACTATTAATAAACTGAAAATACAATGAAGAATTTAACACTTTGAATAGAAAGACCATCATGATATTTTTTGAAAAATCCTAATTTTAAATTCCAAATCCAATTGTACAGAATATTATTATTATGACAGAAATAGTCAAGCTTCACTGCATCTCGAAAGATCAAATTAAAAAATTCAGCAATACGCTGAAGCTGTATTCTAAGAAATATAAATTAACGCTGAATCAGATTTCTAGAATTTAAAAATATGTGATATGGAGGACATTTTTCTTATTAAAAAATTCTTAGTATTTGTTAGAAATGACAGAAACCTAACAAATGCACTTGGGCACCAAATAACAGTTTGCACATAACATAGAAGTAACAAAGGGAGATATTAATTATTAAGAAGGTAACGATATTCACATTAAACACATGATTTTATGTAAATAAATTTAAGCCAATAGATGTCCACAAAAATTTGGGAGCTCCAGAAGTATGCGTACCAAGATGTCACACAACCTGAATCCCAACTGGTACACACATACTAATTTCAGGTTGTGCGCCATCTTGGTGCGCATACTTATGGAGGTCCCAAATTTGTTGAATTCAATATCCCATAGTGTTATATTGAATGAATTTAACAATAGTGATGAACAAAATGAATCGAATATATTTAAAACTGGTTGTTTCTCATAATTCCTGATTCAAATAATAATCATGAATAATTATTAATTACTAACATTTTTATTCCAAAATTGTCACTCCAGCAAATTGAACAAAATAAAGATTTATTATATTCCTAGAATTAAATCTGAAAGAATCTAGAAAGCAATTCATTCAAATATTTTTGTTAAACACTCAAATTTTCAAATTTAAAAATACTTTTCATAAAGTATTTGGTATAGTATACAGTACTGTATACTATTCTCTATTCAGAACTTTGAATACCATAAACCTGGAATATTTTAGAATTTTCAAATTATCACACAATATGGAAAAAGATTTCTACAATTTATAGATTGAAATTATGAAAAGATACATTCTAAATTAAAAAGCATTTGAGAGCACATTGGTGCAAAATGATAATTAGGCCTAACAGTTGGCTAAATATTTAAAACATCTCAACAGTGCACATTGCATGAGAGAACGATTGCGCAGCAACCGATTATAATAGCAATAAGAAGAGTGATAAATACCCATGGAAATATAATTTGTAATATTTAGATCGGACTAGGAAAGCTAGTTTTGAAAATACTACAGAGATGCCTAAACGAAAGAAGGGTGATGAGTATCGTAGATTTCAACTTGTGCTGCATCAGAGCAAGCGTTCAAGGCCATCAGCGGCAACATGCAGCATCAGAAGCCACATTAAATGTATATTGACTGTAAGTGTTGACTTTTGAGTAAAAATTTAACGCCTGATTGAGTGAAGAAATGTTATTTGGTTTACACGAAAATGCAATTGGAAATATGTACTTTTCATGGCTCTCTTGATCAAAAAGGTCCCCGACCCCTGTATTATGATATAAAAATTGATTGAGGCTTCTTGGGAACTAAATCAATAAAGGTAGTAAAATCAAATATACCACTCCACCCAGGGTTAACAAATTAGGTAGGCAATGCTGGAGCGAAAATATTTTTTTTCTCAAAAAAACAGGAGCACCTTACATGTCATCAGATATCAGTTGGTATTGTTTAGAGTGGCGGACACAAATTCGTGTCGTAAATAGAATTTACTAAAAATATTGAAGAAATTGTTAAAACAGATTTAAGTAACATCAAGAAAATATCAGAAACAAACAAATAAAAGCTCTACTATTGGATTAATACTGCAAAATAATATTTATATTATTATCATATTCAAGAAATAAAACAATTAATAATGAATACGCATATAAAAAACTTTACCCTTTAGTTATGTTTGAAAAAGAAATCAGAACTTTGTTAAGTAGACGTCTTATAGTAGAACTCTGTATAAAAATTTACCCTGGAGAATATTGGAAAACATAAATGGAAACTGTGTATCAATCAAATATAATGCTCAAATATATGGACACTAAGACGAAGGTAAGTGAAAGCAACAGCCTTCTAGCGTAGAATACTAGGTAACTAGTAGACATTTTGCAGTGAACTGTCAATTATGACGCAATAATATGCCTGAACACTTCTTCTAAGTGGTTGGCAGAGATGCTCGACTCCGCTGCCATCAAGCATAGACCAAAATGAAATGGAGTTTCATAATTATACAGAAGAGAAAAAATGATAATAAAACAGGTTAATTCCAGCCACTGGTTTCTTAATTGGCTACCAGTTGAGACCGGATATGGTAATGACTGAAAAGCGAAAAGATGTCTCAAATATACAGTGAATCAAGGCCTTTTGGATATGGAATTTGTTGACCAATTATTTCAATCAGTTGCATGGACTTGATGGGGGAGGAAGCAGTAACTGACCAGCGATTACAGGAATTATCCCATGACAAAGAGTCTACCTATCACTATGGTGAAGATTCTAGCAATCTTCTCGAAAATAATTGTTTTCCATGGAGTTCAAACATGTGAACCCATTCAAAGATGCGGTGACAAATGGTTTCTGCCAAGCCTGATATATGGTCATTGATGAAGGAGTAATCCATAACTGAAAAATCGTCTCAATGGTGTGCACATCATGCTAAGCGATAGGAATACACTCGCCATCATACGTCTTGATTAGCTTGCATTGATTCGCAGGCTCGTATCCTGTGGAGGATAATTATATGCGAGAGGATTGCTGGACTCCTCGCAGCAGTAGGGCGGTTCACCTAACCACTGGCCGGTTACGCTTCTTCCACAATCAGGTCCATGCATCTGAAAGACGAATTACAGGAAAGCTATTCCCATACCCCACATGGACTGGAAACAGGGTGAATCTGGCACATAATCATCACCCACATCTATCAGCAGAGTAATCAGTAATGCAATGGCGATAGTGTTACTTTTACTCAGAGGCGTGAATAAACAAAGAACAAACTACAAACCAAGAAATCTAATGACCTAACCTGGACAAAATATCTATTCAAGTTTATTCATTATTATGGCTTCTTTTCTTCACAATTAAATGAATTCCAGTTCTACTCCTATAAATCAATTCCAGTGATTCTGTGATCAACTTCGTTTCATCCAAAGCAAGATGGAAGTTCCTGAGCACATGCACCACGCATATTTTGATTTCATTCATCGCAAAATTTTGGCCAATGCAGTTACGGATTCCAGCTGAAAACGGAATGTAAGAAAATGGGTCACGCTTCAATGAGTTTTCGGGTGTAAATCGACTCGGATCATAAAGTTCTGGATTTGGCCAAAGTCTTGAGTTGTGGTGAACACCTAACATTGATAAAATAACATCTGTTCCCTTTTTTATAATTTTACCATCAACATTAAGATCTGATGTTGGAGACCGGGTGATAGAAGGCACGGGTGGATACAGACGTAAGGCTTCTTTTATACACATGGTAAGATATGGCAAATTCGTTAGATCATTTAATTCCAAGTCTTCCTTGTCGCCTAAAATTTCTGAGATTTCATCGTAACAAAGATCTTGGTGTTTTGGATTCGTAGCCAAGCAATAGCAAGTCCATGATATTGCACTTGTGGTAGTATCGTGACCCTCAAACATAAAAGTATTGACTTCATCTGAAATCTCTTTTTCCGTTAAATGATTTCCATCGGAATCTTTTGCTTGTAGAAGTATATCAAGAAAATCATGATGGCGATTATTTTTCCTATTCAATCCTAATTTTGACCCAATTGTTGCCCCGTCCGCATATTCCTTTCTTCTCAAATTGATAACTTTTTCGGCATAATCTCGAGCATCCTTACTTGATTTTAAATATTCCTTCCCGTCATGAGTTTTATAATATATCCAATCAAACCTCAGTAAAATAGACCCTCGAAATCGCTGTGCTGCACATCGTGTGACTTTGTAAATACTGTTCACATAAGCTTGATGCTCACTGTCTTCTTTATGACATTCAGAATCAAAACCCATTAAACACTTTAAGATAACGTCAATCGTCATTAAGCTGAATTCACAAAATATCTCAACACTCATTTCATCATGACTTTTCAATCTTTCCGACCATTTATCAACTAAAACTTGCGAACATTCATTCATTTTAATTGCATATGATTTCAGAATGTCAAAATGGAATGAGTTCGATAGTAGTCGTCTGCGTCGTTGCCATTCTTTTCCATCAAGCACTAACAAACCTTTTCCGAGCCAGGGACCAAAAGCGTGATATTGAGTCGGAGTCTTGGGAAAATTTTTCTCTGATCCACCAAGAATTGTTTTGAGTATATTCTCATGGTACACACGCACGTACGTTATAAGTGGACCAACATACAGAGCAGTACCATGACTAAATTTATCAGTGGCAGATTTGATAAATTCAATCATTTTTTCGGGTGACTTCTGAATAACTGCAGCAAGTTGATAATGACCCCAAAACCAATGATAAGGCAATGAAGGCCAGTATGCGTAAGTACATTTCCTGATTTCATATTGCCCCCAGAACCATGATGATAACTTCACCAGCAAATGCATGGTGATTCCTACAAATGCTGTCCACAGGGCCATCCGAAAAAGAGAAATTGTGTCACCCATGCCTGTTTTTTAATGACATCCACCCCTCTGATTATTCCATTTTAAAGAGCACTAACATAAATAGAGCAACACCTACTCTTTTTAACATAGAAGTCACAACATCTGTAAAAATACGTGAAACATGATCATTTCATCTGTATCAGCAGATTGAGAAATACTATCAATACAAACATAATTAATATTTTGTGGGACCATACAATGCCTCATAATTCATGTTCCAAATAAATAACGAACGATTTGATAGTATAAATTAGATTACACCATGCTTATATTTCTTTTTATGTGTGACATATTTTGAAGTGAAATAATGATAATATAAAAATAAATCATAATCCCACTTCAAAAATATCTCTACAGAAAAAAGAATTACTGAATTATGGCAATCAGAATAGCGAATCCTAATAAAAGCACTTCACAGAATGCTGCTTTAAAATTTCGCTTCAACAATTACTTAGAAATCCCTTGTCACAGGATTATTAATTTCATTTTCTCGTGTACATTGACGTTTTGGTCCTACTTTCAAAATGTTTAAATAATCAGATTCCATTTTATCCCATGAATATTTTGAATAATCAATGTTTAACTTTTTATGCAACTCTGAGGCAAGCCAGGGTTTCAAACAAAATTCTCTCAATTTTTTATACAATTGCCTTGGTGTGTTGTAAAGGCATTCAGAAGGATATATTTCTGGGTAAGATAGTTTATTTGGACATAATGGATAACAACCACTATAGCAACATTCCATCATAGATACTCCAAAGAATTCATGGATTGCTGTTGATATAGCGACATCACACGATTGTAAAATGGATAAATATTTGTTCCTGTCCTCAACATACCCCCAGTTTTGAATTGTACCCTCTTTCAACTTCTCCTTGCCCTCTGTGAAAACCTTCGGAACATCGGTGAACCCCTGTCCCAGAATTGAGACGCAAAATTTGAAATCATTCTCTTGCAACTCAAACAAAGTCTTAAAAAATGTCAATGGATCTTTATCATACTCCCATCTATGGGCCCAAACAATGTGAAGTATTTTTTCATTTGAATCTTCTTTTACTTTTAAAGTTGAAATTTCTTTATTAAATGTCAGAGGAAAATGTAAAACTTTACTTTTTGATTCTATTTTTTCTTTGATATCTTTGGGTTTATATTCGGGTATTCTCCGTAGAAATTCATTTATATTCATAACAAACGATTGAAAGTTGTATAAAGAATTAAAATATATTTCATTTGCGGCAAGAGCTGTCAAAATTTGGTTATATCCAAACTGAAAATCGAGAGTTTCAGATTTCTGCACTGGATATACAAGTTGGTTTTCATGAAAATACACCACCTTGTGGCAGTGATAAAAATCCGGTCTTATTCCGACAAATTCTGAGAGACTCAAATCCGAACTACAGAATAATGTTCTGTATGAGACATCTCTTGGAATGGCCTCCGACAGCATAATAGCCCCACATCTTGCTTTCCAAGGCCATTTCTTGGCTCGTAGTGTGAATAAATCATATTTTACATTGTGGTTATCCAACGAATTTGTTATCGTTTTTATCAGTTGTTTGTGTGATCCACCATAAAACGGTTCAAGGATTAACAAATCTTTTGTTTCCATTTTTCTGTCTGTCACCTATTCATCACCGTACCTACAAATAATTATACCCAATAACACTGACACATTAGAAATATTAAATATTTGATAAGGATTTCAACTTATTCTAGGCTACTTTAATATAATTTCTGCATAATTAGTAAAAATTAAACATTAATTGAATAAAGATCTGAAATATACCGTACGATATCCTACTTGTATGACTGTACGGTACACTACTGCACTACGGTACTTTTTCACAACTCCTGCATTTATAAGGTACTTGAAGTTGTTTTATTTTAATTATACTCGTGTTTAGATAGAATGTGCAAATATAATTGTCAAACATCAAACCGGTAACTACACTTTCATCAGTTTATTCAATGAATTTATACTTCCTGAGTACCGTTACACAAGTTGCACAAAAACTGTACTCCTAGAGCTCGACCGATATCACTTTTTGGCACCGATACCGATAAATCGGCCAACTAGTGACCGATAACCGATATCGACATACCGATATCTACAACCTGAACCCGCAGTAAATACAACTAGTAAGGAAAATTCAGTTTCAGTCAATCAAAAGTTTATGTTGAAAAATAAAGCAGTCCTACACAGTGCTTGCATCATTGATAAAAGTTTCACAGCAAACAATAAGAACACACACAGAAGGCAATGTTTGAAAAAACCAAGCACAAAAGAAAAAAGGCAGTCAGTAAAAAGGTTCTGAAAGTCCATTTTAATCCATACAGTAGTAGGTGGGGAGTAGGCTTGCACGTAATTTACGGAATTACGTAATTATTTCGAGTTACAAATTACGTTACAAATTACGTAAATTCGTAATTATTGGTCGAGCGCTTTCGCGTTTGAAACGTACTCCTTCAAAGCAGTCAATTCCGTCGATTGTAAAAATGAATGTTTAACAAGTAGAAGAAGTTACAGTTACGGTATTCGCTCCGTTTTTCTCTCTCTTGTTACGCAGGTGGGGGAAGGCATGACGCGTTGCCACCCCGTTTGAGCGTTCGGTTTCACGGTCAAAACGATATTATTATGAGCGTTATCACCGTAACGCAATTAACACCGACAGGCTTTTTTGTCTTCACGATTTGGTATATTTTTTATTCGGCGCTGATAATGATAAATAAGAATGTGTGATAGTTGATTGTAATTCCGGAAGGCGTATTTTTCTTTCTCTCCGTGAAACAGACATGAAACGAATTTTACCACCGCTATGGGCCCTCAAAAGGAGAGAAGGCTACTTTCTTTTCCCGACTCAATCACTTTTATTAATACAAATCACGGCGCATTAAAAAACAAAATAGAATTTATTAGCATTAATTTACAACGAGTTACGGGTAAGAATTTATCGCCGGCTAAATAATTAATATTTGATCTAAATTTATCGCAAATAATGTTATAACATTTAGGCCGCGAAATAATTTGATATAAAATGAAGCTTGGTAATCGGAATATCGTCAATAATTCAGCATCAATAATTATTATAAAATGCTAACTAGGTAGCAAAGTCGGAAACGTAGCAATAACAAGTCTTCGTCGCGAGGCAAGCGCAGGTATAATCAAACGAGAGAATGCGCTTGTCGTTGATTAATAACCTAGAAACCCGAAATTTTTATTCAATACGAAAGTCGATTTTAAAAAAGCCAACTATCGTTTCATAAATATTCGTATACCAGTCTCGGTAATGATAAAATTGATCGCATAAAATTGGGACGGTTAATTTGCGAATATGATAAAGGAAAATCACAGCCAACACAAAAGATAAAAATCAGAATAAATTTAATTTGAATTCACTCCTTGGTGTTTGTCTTTAACATCTGTCGCCGGCGTGTAGTACTGTCGGTAATATGAAAACCAATTTCGATGCCCCGTTCGGAAAAGAAGTGGATTCAAATGGTTGTTATGATAGGTTTAAATGTGTGAAAAAATATCGCAATTACGGGGTCATTACGTAATCAATTTTGCCGTAATTACAGAATTGATTTTTGTCGATTACGTGCAAGCCTAGTTGGGACGCAAGATAATCGAAGGCGAGGATTTTGCGCCGCACGACGAGATAAAAGAGAGAGAGAGAAATATAGAAGAGAACTCTGTTCACTGAAAGGCAAAATGAGAGAAGCGAAAAAAAGAAAACGCTCGGCCGCAGATATTTCCCGGGCAAAAATACTCATTTTTTAGAACGTGGAAAAGCGACTAACACTAATATATATCGGCCAGATATATCGGCCGGTTGGGCCGATATTTTGCAGAATCAAAACGTACAGCCAGTCATGACACTGACTAAAATCCGTGTTCCCATGGATAAAAAATAATACAGCAAAATTTTAGACGAAATATCAAATTTCATAGAATTCACGCAAAATTTTGAAATAAATAAAAGTAATAGCCTTCTAGCGAAAAAATTAATCTTTAACCACTGAAAAGCGAAGGCACGAATAAAATAAAAAAATGCTAACATATCAGTGATAAAAATTGATAAAACCGGCCTAAAATTAATCTAACAATAACTAAACTATTATAATGTACCGTCAGTTGGACAGTCAGGAAGGGCTGCGATCGCTCATGTTCAAAATGTTGATTTCGGGCCGGTATGGTAATTTTCAAAACCCCTAATCTTGTACGCAAGTATGCACCGCTGTGTACCGTTATTCAGCTATTGGGCCTGACATCGTTTATGGCATAACAATGCAATTGATCTGTTCATTTCTCGCAACGCCTGTCTTATTTGGAAGTGCATCTGCAGACTGTTTTAGGGGTTATACGAGAACTATATGCTACTTTGCATTTTATTAGTTTCTAGTCTACAATGCCGTCGTGGAAACAAAAACTTTCAGACTTGAAATAAAAATCTAGAAATCTGATACAACAATGGGGAAGTGTAAAAGTGGTTGGAAGCTGATCGAAAATTATATCACTATCAAAGCGGAATTACTTCCAAACACTAGAACCGTAAAATAATTTAACGCATCATCCTAAACATTTTTGGGAATTCATGTGCGTGTTTTCGTACTCTAATATCATAAACCCAAGTGCCATTAAAAGTCCCTGATAGAAGTGCTGCATAAGTAAAGCCCAAAACTACACCAACACCAGCTTATAAGATTTGTTTCAGAAGTTTTTTATAGATACGAACGTGAATTAAATATCTGTGACCCACTCTCTTCTGTTCCGCGATAAAATTATAATTTTTGACCCATTCATTGAAAAAGGTTCGCCATCCCTGTACTAAAACATGTTCAACTGGCAAGAGCAAACAATACAATTCAGTCAATGTCTTGGATGTCAATGCCAGTGGTTTTCAAAACTTTCGGTGAAACGGAACGCCAATGAAACATCCTGGAGGCTCGAAGAACCCGTCGTGAAATAGTTTCATTGTCTGAATTTTATATGCTATAAAATATATATATAAAGGGTAATACTGGCGAAACAAAATGACCTTCAATGTGTGGCAGGTTTAAGAATAGCGCAAACCTAATAGGTTTGGTAATTATATTAAATCATATATGTAACTAATACCGTTAACATTTTCAGCCCATACAACGGCTAACATACCGGCCCATACGGAGCTCAAAATTCAATCTGCGTGCATTGTCAATTTTAGGATATTGAAAAAAAGTTTCAAACAATCAAAAAATCATATACAGTATATAGAAGATAAAGATATTGCATGGAATCAGTTTTATTCATTTTTCGTGTGCTTATTCAGGGGCGGTTTAAGCCCCTTTGGTGCCCTAAGTACTGAAGACTTTGGTGCCCCCTCATGTGTAATTTAATTATAAAAACAATAAACCACATAAGTTTATTATCCATTAAAAATAATCACAACCAACAGTAAATAAAACAACTTTACGAACATTTTTAGGTTTTTTAACTGTTAGGCTATATATAGCTGATATATATATCGGCCACAACACGCAATATCGCGCCGATATATCGGTTGATCTCTAATCCTGAGGGAGGCATGAATAAAGATTCATGCCTCCAGTCTCAACGTGAATCGAAATACCAAAGGATAGAAGTCACAACTGTAGTTTGAAATTTTACCGGTACCTATAGTAGTCTACCTCAGGGTGGTTCAAGGTTGCTAGGTTGAAAGACATAAAAAACTGAAACTCTGCATAAACTTTTGAGGAGGTCTCGCGGGCCGCAAGTCGGGTAAAACCCAAAGGTGACCGAAATATCGCGTGTTCACTTACTTTCAATTAAACAAACTACGAGAGTTTACCGTTCTAATTAGACTATTATTATGTTGCATGGGTGGCGTTCTTTTAAAGAAGATATAAATAGAGCCTCCAGTTATTTTAAAGTTAATTCCCGAGAATTACCGTTGTAGTTTACGCATCTCGCGTTTAATGTCGCTCCAAATTATATTCTTTTTCGTGACATATATTACTTGAAATCAAACCAGACACTGTGTGATAGGCAAGGAAATACGTTTCCGTCGTGTTTTCCTTATGTCACCTTTCTTGTGCTGCTCATTTTTTTACAAATTGTTATATTGAGTAATTTAAAAACTTGCAGCGTGAGCAAGCTTAGTGCCATCGTCAAATACCAACCATGTCCGTCTAAGTTGGTATTTCGGAACCTAGCTAAAAAAAACTGGATTGCGCGACGTTAAGTAGGCTTTGCGTTTCGTCACTACTGTCACAGGGCCGACGCCTGAAAACAGAGGAGTGTTTTTACTAAAATAAAGGCACAAAGCGTTGGAAAAATGGTTTGAATCTCGGGATCCCAACCCCAATTGGAATAGCTAAACAAAACTCAAAAACGTTCCTTCATTAGATATAAATATACGCTAAAATTGTTCTGTGAGCCGCACGGAATGTATCAGCATGACAGGGTTTGGACCACTCTGGTCTACCTTATCAAAAAACTCCCGACTTCGCTGACCACTAGATCGTTGAAATGCGATCGTGGAACCGCCACAGAAGTTGTTGTTGAAGAAAAAAGAAATTTTTTCAAAGCAAAATTCAGCAACAAGGAGAATACTAGAGAGAAGAAACAACAACAATTTAAGAAAACGACTCATAGGCCTATTTCGTGTCCAGTAAATATGTTCCAGTGTTTATTTTTAATAAAGAAGGTTAATATGATACTTGAAGACAAAAAATAAGGAACATTTCGAAGTTTAGGTCGTTTTTTAGGTCAGTCCCCGAACTCGTAATATGACTAAAATATAAAAAATCAGAATAAAATTATGGCCTAACCCTAACCTGGTACGCATACTAAGGGAGTACCAAAAAAACTTGAAATCGCTAATTAGTCATTTAAAAATATACATCGTCTGCTGGCCACTCGAAAATACGTAAAAAAATCTAAATATTTTTTATTGATATGATTTTATTTTCAAGCTGATTAAAGCAATCCTTTTTATAAGCGTTTAGTAATATTTGGCGATATATATTATATTGAAGCACAATACATTGCGTGTGGGCTATATGTATACCGTGTTTCCCCGAACGTAAGAGAGGGTCTCATTTCAATTTTCTTCCGAATAACAACACTAGGGCTTATTTTTTCTGGAAGAGGGTATTTTATATTCATTTATCAAAAATAAAATGCAAAGTAAAGAATTACGAGATTTTCGAATATACAAGATATGAAAACCGATATTCATTTACTCATAAATATAACGTTTTTATTTGAAAAGCGGACTATTCAAAAATAAACATACCAACATCCTCTGGAAGGTCTTGCAATTCACTAGATTGAACTGAATTTTCTGGCAAATTTTTCACCTATGCGCTATCGACCAGCTCATTTTAAGGGGAGGGTTTATATTAAAATCATTTTTAATTTCAGGCTAGGTCTTATTTTCGGAGAAACACGGTATATGTTTTCCTAAACACCCAAATCATTGCAACTATTTGGCAGGAGTTTTACTCTCTCCCAGCCATCACCGATTCGGACAAGCATGTTATGTGCTTTCAAAATTATTTCGGCACTGGGGACGGGTGTCGAAGACTCCAAAATCACTCTCTTATTGCCGTTGAGACTACACTGGAGAAGGATGAAATAATCCTGGTCATCGTCAGTTATATATACGTTTGGCATATTTTTAAAATCATCTTCCTCGACTATAACACTTGCTTCTGCATGGACGATATCCAGTTGCTTCTGTATCTCCAGCTCCAATCCACTCGAAGTTGTCACCTGAAATGTTGATGGCGCGACTCTCGAGAATACTGCTGTCAAGTTGTTTGGTACTCTTTGATCATCGGTATGAAAGATACGCAAATCGGCTTCGAATCCGTCTAGAGTTTTGTGCTTACTGATTACAATGCACTTCCAAGAGTTGTACTCAGCCTGGCCAGAATGCGCTACAGCATACCATTTTTGCGGAATTGTATCAAAATTAATCTCGACGTCAGTAGATGGAAGTTTGCAGGCTTTTGAGAAAATTGCCAACATGAGTACTAAGAATGAGTCTAAAATGATACGCTGCATCTTGTCGAGTATAACTGCAAATTATGAATGCGACTGACATAGATCTGAGTCGTGCTTTTGTTACAGCGATGTACTTGATCTAAAAACATAAGCTGGCAAGATCTTTGGATCAATACACACATAAACAATGAATAGACCCCATGCAATGCAATATATTTATCTGCTATATATAGGCTTACCATACGTCCCGTTTTAGGCGGGACAGTCCCGCTTTAGGCGGGACAGTCCCGCTAGACAGTTTTCAGCGTTTTGTCCCGCCGTCCCGATAAGTCAGACAAAAGTCCCGCTTTTCCAGCATAATACAAAAACATGTTCTCGTTACTGTTGTTGCTGCGTAGCGCGGCGCTAGCCTACTTACTGGAGGTGAATGCGTTCGTTCCCCGCTGATTCCTATTGAGGGCAGACGTATCGCATGTAAAACCAATACTAATTAGTCTAAATTCGAATTATTTGTACCGGTATCGTTAACGTCAATTCCTTCCTATTTTTCGAACTGAACCCGATATTTGGACAGAGAATATGCGCATGAAATTTCGATAACAACATGGTCAATAAAGACAGCCAAGACAGCTTTAAATGTAGGAATGTAGGCCTATGTATTAAAATCGGAAAATTTAAAGTTACAAAATCACAGCTAAGGGGTCGTTGTCTTTCGAGGCGTCCCGATTTGAAGTCACAAAAATATGGTAACCCTAGCTTTATATATCGCGATTTTTTGAATGTTTGATACTTGAATTTTACTCAATATCATCAAGTGACATAAGATTGACCATACACACAGATTAAGTTGCGTCATGTTTGTAGTTTTGATAAGATAGCAAAGAGAAAACCTACATTAATTTAAGACATATCTGGTTCAACGATGGTGCTTGGTTTGAACATCGGATGTGTCGCAACAAAATCAATTCAATCTTCTATGATATTCTATGCGGTGTCCTGTGTGTATACACAAATTTTGACCTTGTTTTTGCTCTGAAGCTAACGCAATGGCCAACATGCGAATGGTTAGTGAGGTTTGACCAAAATGGAGAGTTTTTGTATGATCTGTGAACAATTCCCCCGTGTCCCAACCTCAACTTCCTCTCCTCTTATGCAACTTATGTAACTACCAACCGTTTTTGGACACGTCAGTGTACATACCGATCGTTTCAATATTATGTTGTTGTTCTTGTTAGTATTCTTCTCTTTCGTCATGATGAAATCGCTTTTCTCTTCAAATACTGAACCAATTGCTTTGAATCTTTCAGTGGTTGGAGATTTTTTTTTGCCAGAAGACTATTACTTTTACTTATTTCAAGTTTCTGTGGACTTCAAGAGATTCGTTTTTTATGTGTCAGAATAAAAAATAGCGACACCTTGTAACGTATACATATATCTGAGCACAGCTCTCTTATTCGTAAAGGAATCCTTGCTTTGCTAAGATTTGAGGAATGGTAAATGGCGAATAGTGCCGTACTTGGTGGTATATTACAGTAGTGACTCGGATCATTGGTGTTACTACAGTTGTGAGTTGGACCATCTTGCAATTTCAATTCACACTGTCACAAGATAGGAACTTCTAAAGATAGGGCGGTTCCGCTACCACCGTAACACAGCGCGGTGGCACTGAACTAACTCGTAGCTGTCTGGTAAAAGCGGGGCTTGTTTTTTAAATTCTGTTCCAATAATGCAATGAAACGGATTACTTAGTATTTCAATTCATGTTGCAATTGAATGGAGAAGAGTAGATCATTGTCACGGGACATGTGAAATGGGAGGCAGACATGGAAATTATATCATAGTCCAGTCTTTAACTAGTTATTACTGATGTTCACTTCCTAAATAAACCCCTCGCGCTTAAGAAAACAAGCGGCGATGCTAACAACCTCAATCTAGTAACTTTCAAAATATAACCCCATTGTAATCTGATATTTCATCCTAAATTTCGGTGTACAGTGTTATAATTTTATATTTGTGTTTTTAATCCGCCAAGAATGACTGCAATCTTTCATTTTGATTTTGCGAAATCTTGCTACGCTGAATTCGGAAGATTTTCGATACTGGTGACGCAGGACCAGACGTTGGCACAAGACACATGATTCATCATTGTGACACGGACCTACTAACTAAAGCCACGATGGTCCGCATGCAGGTGCTAGTAAGTTACGGCGGTCCACATTTTTAATTTCAATTCGTTTATTACCCCAGACCGTTGCGGTCTATATAAAATAAAATAACACAAAACAAATAAACAAAAGCAAATGTAAAATGCCAAGGCAAGTAAAATGCATGGCCATTGTCGGTATATTTTATATGCGATAGGTAGCTATCAAGATAATTCGTATAGCAATAACATAGATGTGCCCATGGCTATCCTAAATGAAAAATGAGCCGCTATCATTTCAAAGTGCATTTCAAGTTTATTTCTAAATGACAATGTTAAAACAGAGAATGATATCACAGGATAAAGGTCACTCACGAGTACATAAATTTAACACTGAATATTCTTGTACTGCAAACTGTTTATTATATATACTCAAAATTGGGCGCGCCAGAAGTATGTGTACCAATATGGAGGTAACTAATTTTGTTCGCCTACTTTACATAAAGTTGTGTAAAGGGACTGAAACCTATGGGCAGGGGGTGGATTCACTTGATTAACACAGACAGTCCCCGAATTCGTAATAGAACTAAAATAATGAAAATCGGAATAAAATTTTTGCCTAACCCTAACCTGGTACACACACTACGGGAATACCCAAAATTGTACAAATCGTTTACAATCTAGAAACTATTGATATGGAATATGAACGAAAAATGGCCTTTTGGTGTACCATTGTAACTTTCAAACGGTTATGTTGAGAAATAGTAAACGAAGTCATGAGAGGATTCAGTTTATGGGTACTTTTCAGTTTAACCAGCCACTGTAGGTTAGTTATGAAACAATAACAGGCGATAAATTCATCAAGCAAACATATGTATTTCTCTTCATTGCCAATTTCAATTTAACCAAAATCTCATTCTGAATGTGGTAGGCTGGAAAACATGAAATTCAATTAAAAAACTTTTTTTTCCTATGACATACTTTGCCCAGAAATATGTCCCATGCACACGTCGAAATGGAAAAACTTCGCTACACGGGGCAATTTTTGTAGCCGTAATACCGTGTTTCCCCGAAAATAAGACAGATTCTCACTTCAATTTTCTTTCGAAAAGTAACACTAGGGCTTCTATTTTCATGTATCAAGAACGCAATTATAAAGTAGCGAATTACGAGATTTTCAAATATATAAATTATGAATGTGGCGTGATCTTCACGTTGCCTCATGTCATTGAACCTTTTCCTCTCTCACACATTTTAAATGATTGATCTAAGATTTGTTGCTATCGACTAAGGCCAAAAAAAAATTGGGCTATCGACTAGGTCTTATTGTCGAGAAAACACGGTACGTGAACTGCAAGGCCGTTATTACACCCTCTGAAACTAAAATTGTAGTCAGAAATTGGCGAAATATGACAATGGTATACTGTATAGTAAAAAATGTCGACATGTTTGGGCATTCAGGGCAAAATTGTCTTATCAGTTCGTTTTATCGATTTGCAAAAATTGTTCATTCAAGAACCGGTAGTGACTTTTAATATTTAGTTCGAGACTTTTCGGGCTTTGAGCATCAATTTTCCTCCGGGTAATAATTGGGTAGTGATGGTTTTTGCGTCAACTTCGTCTGGTAAATGACATCTGAAATAATAATAAAAAATGTAAACGGATGTATTTTTGTGTTACCAGCTCCAAATAATATTCCGAGTAGCATGTATGATATAGCTCAGTATATATATATCGACGGAAGGAGAGTCGATGGGACAGCCTGACCTTATATTAAACCAAGATGCGTACAAGAACGAAGCGTGGATCAAAACACTGACGATAAAGTTCATGCCTCAGCGGTTAATATAGCTTGTTCCGTAGGATGATGAAATGATGCCAAAATGAGGTTTTGAGGAGATGTAATTATTTATAGAAAACGAATTTTGTGAGAACTGCGTACAAGTCGGGTGTCGCTGCTGGATAACCAGCTTTGGTTCCCCGCATTTTTTTTTCGTATTTTCTGTGTGTTTTTTTTTGTTTTACTGGTTGGAAAAAATGAACTTGACTTGAACGAAGCGTGGATTGAAACACTGACGAAGAATCCACGGGTCCATTGGCTAATCAGTTGCATATTCCGTGGGGAGGAGAAATTGTGCTAAGATGAGGTTTTAGGTAGATGTAATTTTGTGAGAACTGGCCTGAAATTCTGTGCCCCTAAACACTGTTTGAAAATCTTGAAGACCAAATTAAGATTATTCTTGAAATATAAATTTGCTTACTGGTGTTTGAAACTTGCTAGTAAATCCGTCCCGTTCGGCGACCATTTCTCCGCAATAATTTCTAGATCATTGTTCACGGCTTTTATGATGACGTCTTCCGGTGCAAATGTTTTTCCAATGGCTACGTTAATGCTCCACATGTCTCTTGGGGTGGATGTGTACCGCGCTATTGACGTTATTGTCGCCATCTTTGTTATGCTCCGTAGCAAATACGTCAATAACTAAAAATACCTGCAATCGGCAAGTAAATACGACAAATTTAAACTTTATTGTTTTTGTTTACTAGACAGTAATATGCGTAAATGGAATGCTTGAAAACAGCTGTGAAAGTTTTGATTGGCCAACAGTTGAACTTGATTTGTCATACCAGGAAAGGAGTCTACTCAGTAAGTTCCCCAGCTTTTCCCTTATAAGTGGGAGGGTGTTTCAAAATCTATGGGGTGGTAAATATTTTGCTTTTAGCGACAAAACTATTTGTAACCTATAACAACGTGTTATGTATTTGACATACGATATTCTACACGGATAAATATGCCATATTCTATATGTTTTAATACAATTATAATTTAGGAATTACAGTGTGATATCACGCTTCAAAATCGGACGTAGAAGATTCCTCAACTGCCTTTGTGGAGCATTGTTTGGAGGATGAGCGTGAAAAAAAATGCCTCGTTAAACAATGTGTCAAATTGGGTTTTGTCGCCATTTTGTTAAAATTATTATCCCCGAGTACACAACCAGTGACAAAATTCCCAGAAAATTTACTTTTGAAATTCAAAATTACTATTAGCCGAAAATAATCTATTTGAAAATTTAAATACATTTTTAGATCATCAATCAGCTTAAAAACAATTTAAGACAAAGAATGATCTTGAAGACGATTGTATTGATTTTATTTCGGTCACTATGCATAAAACAAAACAACAACAAACGGACAAACAAAATGCAGAGGACCTGGAGGACGAGCATAACTTAAAAGGACAAAGTTTTAAAAAAAAACCTACGAGTACGCGCCCGTCCACCAAAAAACATATAAACATACACGCGAGGAATGCTTTATTCAAACTAATCTATCTTTTATCTCCAACTGGTGACATTTAAACACTTTATTACATCTCGGTTATCATAATTTAGCACTCACCACTCGGTCTATATTTTTAAATAATGACAGAAAACAGAGGGCAATGTTTTTTCGTTAAAACTATTCAACAAGGAAGTTATGTACTATTTCTGCCACAGCATGTCAACTACGAAAGAATATTGGGTGTCGAATTATCACTTTTCAACAATAAGGTACACTAACATCATGGTTTAGGCTTCAAGACTACATAATATAATACACATATATATATTTTGAAAAATTTTGATTCAGATATTTATTTCGTCGGTATTCTCAGAGGCTTGTGTAAACGCGAACAACCTAAAAGTGAACCTTATCCAGAAGCATTGGAGACTTTCAATCAATGTCATTACTGCTGAAATATTTTCTTTATCATATTATGTTTATAATAGTGGTGACTTTGTTTTTGTGGCAATAAATCTCTATCTTACTTTCTTTGGGTAGAATAGCTTGAACACAATCATGATTTTATAATCAGTTTATATTTTTTGTTTTTATCAGTCATATCATTATCATTGCCTGTTATGCTGATTATTGAGTCGAAATAATCTTATACTCATACAAAAATCAATCTACCTTTTGTCTAGCTAGATTTCTTCGTTCTATCAACTCCTGCAAGTCTCGCTCCTCTCAAAAGTACACTCTGCACGATCTGGAACCAGTACACAAATGAATATCACTACAAAGAGAGCTTGCCTTTGTCATAGACGTCGTTGACCTATTTATAGTCCGGTTGATAAATGCTTACGTTGATTGCACATGGGATTAAGAAATCATTTACCATAGGCCACGGATAAGGCGAACAATCTATCTATGATGTACACACGATTTCAGAGGCCTGGTGTCCTATTTACGTATAGATAATGACTGCTACCAGAGTTATGTCAAATCAGTGCTCACTTTCAGTTATAAGCTATAATAAAATAACTAGAAGTCTTAACTCTGACTCTTCTATCAAACTTAGTACGTTTAGTTTGTATGATATCACACTATGAAGCATTACTTTCACTAATTTATACTGAGTAATACGTATGAAAAATAACTTTAAACTTCAACAAAACCGACTTCTCCAAGTTTAGATGGGAACACAGCTCTCAAGAGAATCAACTGTTACGTCACAAACCTCTGACAACCGCGAAGGACTAACATAGGTTAGCAGAACTATAATAAACAACTTTCATCAAATATTACTCTCACCCGTCATAATGTGGTGTTTGTAATTACAACTGTTGATGCATCAGAGAGGCAATGACGTAATCAGGACATCGGTTAATATAAATAATACAAAATGACACAATAGTGTGGCCGTTTGGGGTGTGAAGGACAAGACCGTTCGTTACTCATTTGTAATATTACTACACCTTTTTTCTAATTGCCATGTGGAAAAAAATCGAGATAAAAGACAAAAACCCTACAAAATATGTAAATTTTTTACCTTAACCGCAACTATTCCTTTATCCCTAAAATCGAATGGGCTTTAAAATCGTGTGAAGCAGTGAAGCCTCTGGAAAAAAGTGTTTTGACTGAGATATATATATCTGACATACAACAGTTATGGAAAGAGGCCTATGGTTTGTCATACATTGCTCATATAATTAATTGCCTTCCATGTCGTCTTCAGGAGCTACTCTATAAAATCCTGAATGCTAGCATTTTCGTTACATAAACTCAATTTAGCAGGAATTTCAACAACTGTAAATTCATTTTTGTCTACATTTTAATAACAAATCATGCGAAAAAGATGGAACAAGTCTTTCAATTTACCTAGAGCAACAATACAAAATATCATGTTACAGCTGGCCAAAAGTTGAACAAGGAACATTCAAGAAAACACAGTTTGGCCATACCTAATCAGATGACTAAAGTAGAATAATTCAAACAGATGTGAGAAAATTCATGCAACCATCTAACGAGGATTGGGTCCGCAATTCCTCCTAATTGAAATAACAATGAATACACTTCAAAAAAGTTATAATTTAGTGTTTCTGATACGATGCTTGGTTCACTTTCTTGATAACATATTTAATTTCCTGTTAAACTTTGTTTAAATTTCTGATAACCATATAGCACTTCTACCATTGAAGTCCATTTAATAGGAAAGGTGGTACAATTGTGCATTTGATATTTGAGGAAAGAGCAAGACGCATCGATGTGTGGTGAGAAATCTACTGTTGTTCACCAGGTGATCTGACATCATCAATTTTCAGAATCATTCGTACAAGTTGTGTTGCAAGTGAGATTTGTTGTTTCTTTCCTACAAGCGTTTCAATAACATGTTGCTCCTTCATGTCATTTGTGCCTTTGTTTAAACAATCGATTCCAAGATTCGAGTTACTTTCATTCACTTGTTTGGAACGAACATCAGAAAGGGTCTGAATTGGATTCAAACCACTATTTTCTGCTAATGCAAGGGGCACAGACTCAAGTGCTTGTACGTAGGCACGCATAGCGTATTGCTCCAAAGATGGGTTTAATTCAGCTTCTTTAGACACTGCAACTGCGCAGGCGATTTCACAAGCACCTCCTCCGTACACAACACGATTATCACGAACAAGATTTCGAATTACACACAGAGCATCATGAACAGAACGCTTGGCTTCTTGGACAATCATTTTATTTCCACCACGAAGGAAAATGGTTACTGCTTTTGTATTTTTACATTCTTCAATAACCAACATTTTATCTTTCGTAGTTCCAAATGACAACTCTCGAACAAGTCCAGCATGACCTAATTTCTCAGGAGTGAGCTCTGAAAATCGAGGTACGATTCTACCCCCAGTTGCTATGGCAATCAGCTCAATTTCTGGTCCGCCTACCCATCGAACAGCAGGCAATTCATTCTGCAGTAATAAATGATTAGCTTCATCATCAAATCCCCACTGGCAGATTGCTAAATTTGCTCCAGTATCTTTCACCTGCTTTATCATTTCATGGAACTTCTTTTTTTCATATTCTTGCAACTGTTTGTAGTCTTCCACAGAAGTAACATCGAGCTTATGCTTGGTTTTAGGTTTTGGGGGTTCAAATGGACAAGTTAGGATAGCCAGTTTGGCACCTTTGATGACTTTCGGCATCTGTGGGTGACTCATATCCTTGTCAACAAGAACACCTTTGATGAGTTGACTGTCTTCTAATTTTCCTCCTTGTTTCGCTTCTACTTTGATCAATTCAAAATCGACATCTTTACGTTTGAAATCTGCGACAGCCATGACTGCATCGACAGCAATTTTAGCAAATTGGTGATGACACTTGTTAACGATTTTAGACCCCAATGTTGTCATAGCAACTCTGACTAAATTTTCTGAATCGTTTGGATCAACTTTGAAAACGTCAGCGATTTCATCTAATTTTTTAATTGCAACATGCATGGCTGCCTCGTAACCATCAGCAATTCGAATCGGATGAATTCCGCGATCAATCAACTGTTCTGCATGTTCCAATAAAGCCCCAGCCAGAACAACAACCCCTGTTGTCCCATCTCCAATTTCGTCATCCTGAGATTTTGACAGTTCCACCATTAATTTAGCAATTTGGTGGTTAACGTCCATTTTATCTAAAATAGTGGCTCCATCATTTGTCACAGTGACTTCTCCATCTGGAGACACCATCATCTTGTCTAGGCCATTTGGTCCAAGCGATGTACGGACAGTGTAGGCTACAGTTTTAGCTGCTAAAATATGAGATTTAATTGCTTCCAGTCCACTTAACCGAGATTTACTTTCCTGATCTCTGACGATGATGAACGGTCTCCCGTACTCATCGAATGCCATTGCCGCCGCCATTTTCGCTTTTCGTATGCGAATTCTCGAATATAACAGTTAAATGTAAGACCAGAACCAACAAACTTCCAGAACAATCTCCACCAAACAGAAATGCACGCCCGTTTTACAGTTTGAAATCAGTGTGCGGAACGAAATAAATTGACGTCATTGAAACTGGGAACGACCGAGATCCAAATACATTTAAGTTTAGTTATGCACGGAAAACCAGAATAAAGATGACGAAAAATCAAAAACTAGAGGAAAATTGAAATTTTCATTCAAATTTGAATGATGCATACAAAATCGAAACTGTAATCATAAAAGGAGAAACCCGCGTTTGCTTACCGATTTACCTAGTCCTACACCAATAGATACGCCAATACAATATTATTAATATTGCTCATTTGGACATAATGCATTAATAAGAATAAGATATGTTTTTATCTCGAAGGAGAGGAAAGTCTATAATACGACCTAATCATGTGGCGGCCATTTTGTCCTTTTATTAGTTTTAGATGCATCATGCGTACCCTTGGTGGTGAAGGAATTCGTGATATTGAGGTCTCTACGCCGGTATGTAACAAATCTGGATTAAAGAAAAACACTATATGGAAACCATCAGAGTTCAAACCGAAACTTGTTTGAATTTGTTGAATACTTTTATAATTTGATTATTGTTGATAATTCAGTATTGTATACAATGTTCTGTGAAATATGATATACGATGACGTATGTTGGTCTGGGTGGCGAGTTTCATCATGTGACTCCAAATACGAGGTGTGGCTAAAAAGAAACGAGACTGACGTCACAGATTGCGCAACACGATTAACCATTGGTAATCAACACTTTTACAGTGTGGTGTAATATGTGTTCTTTGTTCAACAGCTTTTTTGACACAATATCGCAATTATTTTTGCTCTTTAGGAGTCGTAGGTGAATGTGATTAATTGCTTGTTGAAAAAAAAATTGCCGTGCGAGATCTGATTGAGTTTTTTGGCGATAGGGGGTTCAATTGCAGAATGACGATTGGGCAAAGAGTTAACATTAAATTTTGTGTCAAACTTGGAAAAATGCATGTCAACTGGGCAACATTTAATCGTTGAGCTTTCTGCTCCTCAGTCAACAGCCTTGGCACCATTTTGGCACTCACCTTTCACAAGCCAAAAGTGTCAACCAAACTGGTGCGAACCGTTTTTTTTTGTCTTTTCCAACTTCGCAATGACGCGAATTGTTGAGCGACGGTCGCTGCGAATCAACTGCCTTTCACAACTGAACTCACAACTGATACCTTTTCGATGTTGGTATCAGTTGTGGAAGTGCAAGGCCTTCCTGACTTCGAATCATCCTCCACATCCTCCCTGCATCCCACAAATCGCTTGTGCCATTCAAAAACTCTTGTTCTGGACATGGAAGAATCTCCATAAACATCACACAATTTCTTCAAAGTCGCAGTCGCCGTTTTTCCAAGTTTGACACAAAATTTAATGTTAATTCATTGCTCAATCGTCATTCTGCAATTGAACCCCCTATCGCCAAAAAACTCAATCAGATCTCGCACGGCAATTTTTTTTTCAACAAGCAATTAATCACATTCACCTATGGCTCCTAAAGAGCAAAAATAATTGCGATATTGTGTCAAAAAAGCTGTTGAACAAAGAACACATATTACACCACACTGTAAAAGTGTTGATTACCAATGGTTAATCGTGTTGCGCAATCTGTGACGTCAGTCTCGTTTCTTTTTAGCCACACCTCGTACGTATGGCATGTTTGCGCTGTTTTTTTTTGGTGTCTCACTTATCTTTCTCATTTTGTCCATTTCATAGACAAGCGGGTTTCGTTCGCTTTTAGTTTTTTTTTTGTACATCCAGTTTTTCTGCCATAAAAGGGTATAATAACAGAACTAAAGCTTTATTCAAATCGCAACCAACAGTTTTGGAAATCACTGAGTATGCTGGATAGCTCAATATTGAATTTGGCTACTAATACCACGAAAAAGGATGTTTGTGACAAAAATACAATAAATATAAGTATTATGTATATAAATATGTATACTGCATTGTCGCCAACAAAGGTCCGTACAATATGTCAATGCAATTCGAAATAGGAATGGATATACAATCCCTGCTGTCCGTATTTATCATTTTGGTGCAAATTGCGTCTGCCCCGCACACAATTCTCGTTCCGTTTTATAGTTATCGACGTAAACAAAAGATTTCTTTGAATTTCTTTATTACAACTACGATTAAAACCCAACGGTCAAAGAGAACTGTTTATTTTTATCAACAATGAAATATATACGCAATGATTAAAGCAAAAATATAATAGTATTTGATCTTAATCATTCTTCATGACTTAGGCTACTCATTTTAACATTCATTGTGTAAGAAAATTGTACATTTATGCATAACTATTTATTATACTCTATTAGAGTGTCCCCCCCCCCCCCTCCAATTAATAAACATACTTTTATCACAAAAGCCACGAAATAAATCATTTATACTATTCGCAATAAAATCACATAACAGCACAATAATATATTTTTGAAATAGTGTGACTGAGAATCGTCTATGGATGGCTATACTACATGATTGTTGTTGTTAGGAAAATCAATTTTCCTAGTAACTACTAGACCTAATGACTTCAAGTTTTCAATATTTGAAGATGGAAGAGATCGCTAGTATATATATTTGTTCAGAGTCGGTATTTAATCTGAAAAAAGTTTATTTTTTTATGTTCAAATATATTTATATTTAAATATATTTAACTGACGGTCGATAGCAGGGGTGGGCAAAGAGGCCAAAAATTTCGCCCACCTAGAGTGCAGACCATGTAAGTGTAATGTGAAAAGTCACATTTCATAAACAATATTCACAGTGTTACAAGGTAAAAGTGAAAAACAATAGGCCTCGTGCCATAACTAAACTTAATATCAATCTCAATAAATTTTTCAGCTAAAACATTTTAGTTTGATTGTGGTAGAGTCAGGCGGGCCAGATTGAATTACCCAGCAGGCCGGATATGGCATGTTTATTAGGTATACCTTATCTATAGGCAAGTGTATTTATATTTGCTGGGCCTATTTTTACTGATATTCATTCATTTTTGTGTGTTTCAATACGAACCTCCTCAAAGATCCGCCATAAAATGTGAATTGAATATTACGTCGAAACACAACATGGAAGTATCAAATTGAAGAAATATACTTGCAATTTCTACAATTTAAAAGCAAACCGGTCATATACGCTATCATCATATACGGCTAAACTCATATATATGAGATATACAATTCCAGTCATGAGACAGACAAGGTGACCGTTCAGCCGTTCATCAGACGACATTTCCTCTGGGACCACCTTCGGTATCTATCAGCCCTGAAGACGCTCCAGATAGAGCTGGAGATGATCTTGGAGAAATTGAAATGCTCTGAATATATTCAGCAATAATTCTTCTGTCAATTCTGCTGTTCCTGTACACTTGTTGGGGCCGAAACTTCCAAACGTATAAACTGAATCCCAATACCAATAAGCACACCAATACTGGTATCGCGATTAATACACTATAAGTATGATATCCGCTTTAGACTTTATCGTAGAAGGCATTAACTAAAGAATTTGTTAAATTGAGGGGATCTACATTTAGGGGGCCTATGATTTCAGAATGGCTGGACGGCGTTGTTGCTGACACTCCAATTTTTCCTTTTTCCGAACTTGGAGTGCCATCTACTGTTGTAGAACTAGTTTTGCCATATGTCGTTGTTGGAGGAATGGTTGTGTCTTTACCAATTGGGTTAAGGCACTGTTGATATTCTCTGTATTCCTCTTTATTCTCGGGGATACATTTAAAATTAAACCGTGCCAGCATGCCGTAATATCCATTTGCACGTATGAAGACCTAAAAATACGAATCTGTGTTATGTATGTTTGCATTAATGTTATTTCGGGACAATTATTATATATTTCAATAAGGGGAACAAAAGATCGGGAAATGGGGTGAAATTCAAAAGATACATTTTCTATTTTAAACTCACGTCATTTACGTTTTTATTGGACGATATGTGAAACGTTTTGAAGAATTTATATCTGGCAAGCCTTATAAACTTTTTACAGGTAATTTACCAAGGTTTTTTTCGGGGGTGTTATCCTGTATTTGTATCAGGTGCAATATTCCGGGTTGGGTTGGTTTTGAGTGTTCACGTAACCACTTTAGTTATGGCGTCTTTCTTCGTGATGAATAGAACCCGGTGCTCCAAGAGTACGTGCACCAAGATGTCGCACAACCTGATTCCTAACCGGTACACACATAGCCTATTATGTTCAGGATGTGCACCATCTTTGTGCACATACTTCTGGAGGTCCGAGAAGCCATGGTTTGCCACAAAATTAGTCTTACCAAGAAAGTTCTAACCTGGAATTTAGCAGTTTTACAGTTGCAAATCCACGGATTATTGCTCAAATCCTGCATCGTTCCTTATTATTGACAAAATCCATTCGATATTAGGAGATGTCAATTTATTACCGGATATATTGAGGACTTTAAGGTTTCTAAAATATAAAAATAAAATTAAAGCAACTTCCACTTTCAACATGCTCCGATACTCCGTAGTATGTATACCAGGTTAGGCCATAATTTTATTCCGATTTTTCTTATTGGACACGTAGTGGACATAACGATCGTTTCAATATTATGTTGTTGTTGTTGTTGTTGTTCTTGTTCTTTGACACGTTTTTAAAAAGTCGCTTTTCTCTTCGAATACTGGACCAATTGCTTTGAAATTTTCAGTGGTTAAAGATAAAAATTTTCTCCAGAAGGCTATTACTTTTTTTTCGCTATGACGTCATCAAAATTATGTGACTCTACGTGTCCACATATTTGAGCATAGCTCTCTTGTTTTAGTTCTATTGCGAGTTCGAGGACTGTCTGTGTTAGACGATAGATTTCAGACCCTTTACACAACTTGATGTAACGTGAGCAAACAAAATTAATTACCTCCCTATTGGTACACACACTTCTGGAGAGCCCACGCTGAAAGCACTTTTCTAAGTTACTAAGCTTATAGTGGTGTATACTGATGTCGAACGTTGCTATTTTGAAATGAAAAGTTCAGATTTTAAACACTCCGCAGTCTGCACATAAAGTTAACCGCTATGGGGTTAGTGAACCAAGGTAAAAGTTTAATGGTATGATAAACTTTTGAGATTTTAGTATTTTGTACTATTGTTAGAGCAAATGGATATCTTGCCTTAGTTTTGAGATTGCGTTTCCTCCAATGTAGGTCAACGAATTGTCAGAAACATCAAGAACTTCAATGAGTGGCATCGCTTGAAAAAATTTGTCAGACAGAACCGTCATATCGTTGTTTGCCATGATGAGAATCCTGTACAAATAAATTGTATAGTTCTGATAACTTTTGGGTACTCACGTAGTATGTGTACCAGGTTGGGGTTAGGCAATAATTTTATTCCGATATCCCTTATTTTAGTTGTATTACGAGACTAGGACTTTCAGTGTTAACCAAGTGAATGGACCTTTCCCCGACCTTTGACCCCCGAAAAATTCTTCCTATAGTTTACCATTGCAAAAATTTTCGGGGCTATTTTAAGAGTGCTTTTGCGAGTTGGCGCCTGTGAAATGGGGTATGTGTTTCAAACCATCATTATGATTCATCGCATACAACAACCTGTTTTTTAAAAGTACCGTTAAAGAATTTTAGCCTAATCTATCACAGCTATTTCTACACTAATTTTTATTACTGCAATTAAATTAAAACTCCTAGGAATACAGGGTGATCATTGAATTATCTGATTTACATTTAAGTTTCCAAAACATAACTGAAAACTAACGAATAGAGTTCAAAAGTGCGAAAACGAGGTAATGTTTACGACCACGCTTGAAAATCTGTCTGAGTGAGAAAAGTGTCTGAGCGGATGCGAAAAGGGAGCATTGTTACGTCACTTTCTGCATTTTGCTGATTGGCCAATGTCACGAAGTAAACAAGGAAGTCGATGCTTGGGGAAAGGTCCATAGACCCCCTGCCCATAGGTTTCAGTCCTTTCACATAACTTGATGTAAAGTAGGCGAACAAAATTAGTTACCTCCATATTGGTACACATACTTATGGAGCGTCCAATTTTGTACTGTGACTGCAAATAGCGACATCTAAAGGACAAGAGAACATAGCACAAATCGTGGCGCCTATACGGCACCACCGCAGCGCAAAAATATTTGGAATGCGAGAGAGCAATTCCGATATGTTTTGTTATTACACAATGACTAGGAAATTGAAACATAATTGTGTAACCATCTGGTATAAACCAGTAGAGACTGAATAGAGAATATATATATCAAATTTCCCATCCATTAGTGCAAACGGTTGCGGAATTTTTCTCTTTTATCGTTCTGTATTGTTTAAGTATCATTATGGGGCAGATCAGGTTACAATGTTACGTTAAAAGAAAAAAGTTGCGCCATAAAAATTCCAATTTTTATCCCCGGTAAACTTCTTCAAAAAAGTTTCGAGGTGCAGACGAACCTAAAATAGAAGTCATGCCATCGGAGAAATATTGGAACTCGTTTATTCAACAAGATTATGCAATTCATATTACGGGTCTCTGTAGTTCGTACCTAACGTACTTCTAGTGGACGTGGAATAACAATTTTTATACGTGTCAATCCCAACCCCCACCTGAACTGACTAACGTTAGCGATCTCTCTCATATCGGGATCGTTGCGATGAGAAAACGAGATTTCGGGTGATCGTCTGCGCGTCTTGGATGACAGTTCGTATAGTAAATAGTTGAATAACTTAGACTTCACACAGCTCTACAGCAAATATCAGCTTCCTAGCGAGCGTATTTATCTCGCCGGTTTTAGTTCTAGACATACTATGATTACACAAGCATTTACAAAAACAGCAATGTTGGATTGTGGGCGTCATAGAGACCAATTATACGTAGAATTTTCAGTTATTGAACTAGAATTCAATTTACTCAAATCTTGGAGTGTTGCCATTGTCGGAAAATTAATGTAAAATATTTGAAATGTTAATAAAATTGTTATATCTTTGGCTCTTTGATTCTATTAAAACAGGGGTCGAGAACCAAGGTTCCCTCTAAGCTGCGCAACCGCGCAATTGCGCAGTACCACCAGAACATTTGCGCAGTAAAATCTCATTCTCGCGCAGTTTGCAACATTTCGTTTTTACATCGTGGCTCATATTTCATATGTCATTTATATTAACGCTCAACTAGAATGCTTGTTTTATGTTTCAGGCGTACAGTATTCTGGTTAACACTAGTCATTCTGATGTCACACACGTGTCTGTCACGATTACCTTGATTTCTGTATCCAGCCAGCGTGGGTCGGTTTTTAAAATTTTCATCGCACGCTCTGAACTTCGTGTTGTCGACCCGGCAAAATCTTGTTATTGTCCGTAGTGTAATCAAACAGATGAAGATATGCGATGGTTTAGAATTTGAATAGGTATGAAATGTTGCAAAGCTGGTGTCCATTGTTTGATACAAGAAATTTGTTGGTTGCTCGTAGCCGTATGGTTAGGCTAAACTGGAATTTGAAGAAGGGCTGAGTTTAAGCGAGTGCTAGCACTGTCGGCTCTTAAATCTTTAGATTGGTACACACGTGGCCATGAGCTTATACTGAATGATACCCATGCTATATAGCGATGTTATAAGTATGTTTCACCAGAAATTACTAAAAAAAAGTTTTAAGCGTTTTCATATTCAGCATATTAACTAAAACCAATAATATACTAGTTTTCTTTATCTGACGTGTGAGTGAAATGTTTATTCAAGGAAGTAAAGCTAAAAATAAGGAAATTAATTTTAAAGTTGAATGACTAAATGCAACAGTGAAGTGTTCGACACTAATTTGCAATCTTGATACCGGTATGCATAAGCTAAAACAACTGCTAAACTTTGCGAAATTTATTGCTATTCCACGTCAAGGAATGTGATAATCCTTGAAGTTTGTCGGGAAGTGGCACCTGATAGTGATTTGGAAAAGAAAAATCATGATAGGGAATAAGAAGTTGACAATTTAAAACGCCATTTAAATCATAAAAAGCACATTGACGCACTAGATGCATTAACTCAGAAGCGAAACGTGGAAGCAAGAGGAGGTTGTTCGAACTTTTTCACCGCAATACCGACCGCTGAAGAAAGTGAAGTTTTGAAACCCCGTCAAGTGAAATGAAGCCTCACATAGATAGTGTTCCACCACGTGCTAAGCTGTTGTCCCGCAAATTAAGAAATAGTCGATGTCAACATACACTAAATTGCCACTTTCATGGTGAAGCAAAATAGCATAGCATGAAGCATAGACTTCGTCGCCAGGGAGGAAATCATGGAGCATAAGCATAAGACAAGCAAAATTCCATACTCTGATTGTGATGAAAGCAATGATATTTCAACAACAAAAATGTCGAGATTGTACATCAAGTATTGTACTTTGGATGATTGTCGCTTGATTCACCAATAAACACAACAAACATGGACAAAATGTATAAACCTTGGAAAGGCACGAAAACAAAGAGAAGCTATTTTAGTTAAACTTGTGCTTTGTTCGCAATCCGACAATACATAATTACTACTACTACTACATTTCACAAAAGTTGCAAATAATTTAGGATTCTGCTCAGCCTTAAAATAGTCTTGCTCAGTAAAAACAATATTTGCGCAGTGTGAAATTTTCTTAGAGGGAACACTGTCGGGAACCCATGGCTCGCGAGCCATATATGGCCCCAGGGAAATCTAATATTCTAAGGCTAAGATTACTATTGTTACGACATTTCAAACTCTTTTATAGTCAAATTTGTCAATACGTTTGAGAACGCGCGCCCAGCGCATGTTCATGTTATGTAAGGGACCACACAGGCATTGTGACAAAAATAGGTGAATCTGTAAAGTCTATTGTGACATCACAGAGCGATGGAGTTGAGAAAAGCATTTCGTCCGTTTGTACGTGCTGGTTGCAGTATTTGTCATATTTAGATCGTACTAGCAAAGCTAGCTAGTAAAATACTACGGAGATGCCTGAACGAAAGAAGGGTGATGAGTAACGTAGATTTCAACTTGTGCTGCATGTGAGCCTGATTGGGTGAAGAAATGCTATATGGCTCGCTCGGAAATGCAATTGAAAATATGTAGCTTTTTTGGCTCTCTTGACCAAAAAGGTTCCCGACCCCTGTATTAACAGCTTGCATATAAATAAACGGATGCGATTTTTTAAGAACGGAACAATATCAAACACAGTAAAATGCTAAAAAGGACAAAGGACCGAAAAGCTTAATTAAAGGATTGTCCTTTGAAATAAAGGCCGGTTGGCAACCCTAACCCCATATTACTTGACTATTACTCATATTACTTGATACTTACTTGACACTGAGTTTCGCTGGAGTGTAATTTTCGTTTCCAACAACGTTGGTATCATATACGCCGTTCTGTAAATGTGACAAAAATCGTTATTTATTAAATGCTCCAATGTTGAATGTGGACTTTGAATTAGAGCTAAGATCTGAACCCCGACCCGAAATTCGGGTCGGGCCTGAAATGTCAATCATTACGTTCGGTTCGGGCTTTATCGCTGACTTTTTTTTTAAATAAATTTATATGTTTATTAAAAAATATATACGAATAATATAACTATAACTAATAATATATAACTATGTGTGGATACTAAACTAAGGAATAATTGTTATAAAACACATACTGTACTAAACGATTGCAAAGACAATTCAAAGAACTCTTAAATAAAATTTCGGGCTCAGGCTGGGTCAGGTTTAATACCCACGGGATTGGGTCGGGCCAAGCTGAAATTTTTAGGCCCGATCTAACCTCTACTGTGAATACAGCAGTAGTAAAACAGCAACAAAAATATGGCATCAAATGCGTCTGAGGGCACATGAAAGTAACGCCACGTCACGCCAGTAATCAAGGTTCCCAAGTATCTCAAACCACTTTTTGAATTTGTCAACCTTTCAAAGATCTCAAATTATACTTAGAAAACGCGTAGCACGTTTTGGTGCCTTGTGATCACAATATTATAAACAATTGAGAAATTATATGCGGAAAGGCTTTAGCTACTTATTAATAGATCGGAGGGAGACAAAATCAGATACAGTGATCTCATGACTCGAAAAAATGAAGCGAACTTTTCGGAAAATCGAAATCGAAGCTCACATCTCAAATGATGAAGAAGCTTTGACAGAAATAACAGTGATAAGCTAAAGCCATTTAAATCACTGAAAATTTAAAACCTTTTAATACATTACTAACAAAAAAACAACAACACTTCAGCAAACGTTAACTGTGTCTAATTATTTTAGGTACTGTCGAATGTTGTTGTAAAAAGGTTACTGTGATGTCATGGAACAAGTAGGTGAAAAGTATAAATAAACAATTTACACCATATTGACAGGTACCCACCTCTTCACGTGGAACAGTCCATTTTGTTATTTTATTGTTAGATACACTGAGGGTAATCAATTCTGGCAGCCCAACGAAAGGCGTGAGATCCAAATTTCTAACCATGTTGTCGTCCAGAAGTATTTCTCGAAGTGACAACATGTTTTGGAAGGCATCTGGGTCAATGGTTCCAACCCTGTTACCTTAGTAAAACAAAATAAGCGCATTGTTTTTTTACGAGTCACGAGCTGGCTAGTCCCCGAACTCGTGATAGAACTAAAATAAGGAAAATTGGAATAAAATTATGGCCTAACCCTAACATGGTACACATACTACGTTCCGGTGCCCGTCATATTGTTTAAAATGGTTTTAATGTTTATTTTGAATATCTTGGATATATATACCAATTTAATAAAATATAGACTGGAGCAGATTCAATCTCGTTTTCGTGAGATATCGCGTTCATCTTTCAACAGACAAACAAACAGTCATACGGACAGACAAATACCTATCAACATACTTACCGATTAAAATCGATAATTGATAATGTCACTCAAATCGCTAACTCTATAGGCCGATCATTCTCGAGCCTGGGGGACAACATAAGTGAGAAAATTGGGCCCCGTTATCGACTGTTTTCTTGAGTTCAATTGAACTTTAATTTGCCTTAATTTAATCAACAAATTTCATAGGTCTGAAATTCAGACCCCGATTCTAGAAAGTCATAATTCAACTCAGCTCCGAGAAATGTTTAAATGCCAACTTCAACACCACCATATAAGGCCCGGCTACAATTTCTCATCACCGTATTCGATTGACTGTTAGGTTAGCATTAGAATAAATGTTTTTAAATTGTTTACCTCGAAGGGACAGACTTTGCAGTGAAGAGAGTCTCACGAAAATTTCTTTGCCTATGAAATCTATTTTGTTGCCATCTAGATTCAGAGTTTGTAAAGTTCTGATCTCTTTGAACGCTTCTACGGGCAAGTTGTCAATCTTATTCCCAGATAAATCCAGATATCGAAGTTTGGAAATGCCTTCAAAGTTATGTAAAAGTATTTTAGATATTACAGAATATTTGCTAATCTTTCATCTCACATAAAACTTTTGAGTTGGGCGCACATTGGCTTGACTTAGTCATCTATATTCAAAATAATTAAGGTTGGCAATTTTCTTGAACAATTTTTCACTCAATATTTTTTTCAAAAGAAACGACAAGATACAGTAAAACGGTTTACCGATAAAGGCGTTTGGTTCAATTCTCGATATTTTGCTGTTTTTTATAATTAATGTTGTGATGTCGATGTTAAAAATCATCGCTTCGTTTTCCAACTTTTTTATTCCACTTCCTTGAATATCCAGAGTCTTTAGATCGTGGTATGTGGACAGCTCTGTAATAGATACGTACTGATAAATTGTGAAGTTTAATTGTGAAATTCACGTAGCAGCTGGTCGGTTACGGTTTTCTCCACCAGCTCGTCTATGCCTCTGAAAACATATACCCGACTAACTAATTTAGTACCGAACATGAACTGGCGGACGACAGGCCCAGGTAAGTCATATGATTTAGCCGTCTTGTCGGATTTTCCTATTTTTTCTGTAACATTTCTTTGTTGTGTGCAGTTTCTGTACAGGGTGTAGGAAATATAGACTAATTATGTGGCGACTGTCATGATTCCAAAATATTAAATTTTGCGAATATCAAGCAAAAAAAGAAACACGCGAGATGAAATTTGAATCCAGATAAATTTTACCCGGCGCCAAGCAGACCTGGATAATAAATTGTGAATGGAAATAAAATGCACCTTTGCCGATGCTTCCGATATCCCTACAACCATGAAGACGTATAGTCAGAACCAGACCATTTTTCTGCCAATCATTTTGACGCGGAATGGACTGTAGACTGTGGTGAGCTGAACACGAGCAATGGATTCCTTTCTGGATAGTTGAAAGTGGAGTTGGTTGGCATAATCTGGCAACATCATCCTGGATGTGCCTGAAATGGACAAATTACTTTTCAAGTTAATGTATAGTCCAGTTAATATATATACTGTATATGCAAGGCTCGTATAAACGGATAGAAAATTGTTAATTCGTTAAAAAGAATCTGACATTTCGGAATAACTTTTCCGTCAATGAATGATATGTTTGGGTATATTGTGGGCGCTTCCAGCGGTACTCTTATAGTATGCGAACCAAGATAGCGAACACCGGAACGTAATATGTGTACCAGGAATGGTAAGTCCATAATTTTATTCCAGTTTTCCCTCATTTTGGTTATATCACGATTTTGGGGACTAGCCAAGTGACTCCTGTAGTATTTGTACCTGAAATTATGGCCTAACCCCAACCTGGTACAATACTACCTCACGATGTCCGCCATCTTGGTTCGCATACTACAGGAGTACCCATTCAAATGCCATTATGGCGCCATATTTTATAGTCAAAAATGTGAATCTGGACGACAGTGAAAATAATATGTGCAGATTTGTGGCTATTTATGTAATGATGCGGGGTTCAAACGAAGACGTAGAAAGGGGACATCGATATTACTAATAAATTTGTGCTGGAAATCACTATTCTAATTCTACGGACTAAAAACTTTGGATAACGGCCGGATAGTTAAAATTTATAATGACGACATAAAGAAAGAAATATTAAACCTTTATCGAAATGGTATTACTTACCTGGCCTCCGATCCCACAGCTGCCAAGCTGCAAATTGTCAGCACAATGAGTAAATGTAGTTTGTTCATGGTGCCGTTAAATTTACGTATGGTGACAATGTATATATGGCCACAACAGGTTTAACTACGTTTTTAACTGGACATTTGATAGTTTAAGTCAGTTTATTAGTTAGATAATATCACGTGGAAAGACTAATACAAAACAGAGCGACTAAAACATACGCTATATATCCACATTGATATTCATCCTCTGAACTATTTGATGTTTAAATAACTATAACATCGGTTCTCAAACCTTTTAAGTCGCGCCCAACTTTTTTGAATTCTGATTTCCCGCTCCCCACCTCAAATATAACTAGCCAACAATTAGCTACAAATACCAGATAATAGGGCGAGAGTAATATAAATAACAGGTAATAAAATTAACAATGAGCACAACAATTAATCTCTAAACAATAAAGAAATGCGAATATCCAAAATAAGGCGGACAAAATCAAATCTAACTAATATTTATATATTATTTAGCTTCAAATCCCTCAAAAATTGCCTACGCCCCCTTTGTTGGGCGCGCACCACCGTTTGAGAACCACTGGACTATAGTGTCTGTTTTTTTAGCTGACGACGTAACGCCAATCAAACAAATTGCTTTTCATCTAATTATTTGATTTTAAAGATCAACCATACCTAGAACGTTGCGATGTGTACGCTACGCTACCTACACAATTCGACGATCTAGAAGTTTCTTTTTATCTGAGGGGGCTTTGTTCACCCCTTTGTTTAAGATATCTATTGTTTGAGACACGAGTATGTCTATATATGGTCCGTTGGGCATCAACGCACGCCTTACGCTTCCTCATTTTCAAGATGACGTATTTCAACCTCGTTGCAGTCTTCCACGCAATATTATTGGCTCGGAGACAAATTTTATAGAACTCCGGTTACGCCACGCTCGGAGTTTGGCACCGGCTCCAAGTTGGCAAAAAAAAATTGCTTTTTCCATCGGTCGCGGCCGCTAGCCGATAAGACAGGGCGGTTTAACCATATGACGAACCACGGCCTCTCGTATGGTAACCATTCAATGTCGAGTATGGGATCAGCTAGCCAATTATTTGTTTTTGGAAGCATGGACTAGATTTTGGAAGCCGTAAACGACCAGCGGTTACCAACCTACGGCAGCGAGGAGTCCAGCAATCAACATCCCCGCATGGGAATCGAACCTGCAAACCCAAGCAGGGTATTCAGAGATGCTGTGACGAGCAAATTACTGACGCTTAGCAAGATACGCCACACCGCCGAGCCAATATACCAATTAGACGTACAGATTGTTTTGCCAATCTATATCAAATTTCCAACACTTACCATTCTCGATTACTATCAGGTTAAACAATGAAAGTCAGCACAAATTGAAATTTTAATTCGTTCAAATAACTTGCAATACAATACACACCGACATTTAGCTATTATTAAAATTAAAAATGGTGACTACAAAAATAATTATTGATATTAGTGCTATGAATGCGGGGGGCACTTTGCAAAAATAGAAGCAAAAAACACAAGATGATCTGTGGAGAAAAATCAAATGAATAAGTACCGACTGTGCACAATAAAATGACATAAAATTTAAAGTATCTTGCAGATTAAACCAAAGTGGTTCTACACTTAAAAAGAGCGCAGTTACGCGGGAAATACCAGAAAAATGTACGGTAAGACGACGCTGGTTGATTTGATACCTGTTGAATAATGCACAATTTTCTGGGGCTGAAGTCATGAAATAATGAACAGTATTGATAATGAACACAATGTAATCAAGTGCAAAGTGATGTAAATAGGTTCAAACACAATGAAATAGAACCAGAAGCACCAGCAGTAATACTAAGAGATTTCTATAGTCTAATACCAACGTTCACCTAAACTTTAAGCATGCAAATTCCAATGGTTTTTTCAAATTTAAATTAAAGAATTTGAACGTACAACCAGGTATATTGGAAAGAATTTTCTTATTGATTTGAGAAATTGCAAAATTACATACACAGGTACCACTACAGTATTACTTAACCCTAAATATGTTAGTAATTGGTCAATCTGTATAATAACAAAAATCGTTTTAAATGTGCCCAGATGAATTGTCATTTCATTATTGAAACGAATGAAACAATTTTCTATATTCATCAAACTATAAGACCCTATTATAGACATTTCCAAATTTAAAACTTAATTCATCACCAGGTCAACTAGTGGAGACAAAATATTGAAAAATTATTTTGGAGTGGAATAGACAACGATTACCATATCATGGAGTTGTTTCCAACTTTATTTTCAAGAGATCCGAATTTTTTTTTAAAAATCAATTTTGTGAAATCTTGCGCCCAAGGAAATGCTCTAATACTAAACAGCATGTAGTGGCGTGGCTTTAATTAAGCAAAATAGATTGAATTTTTTGTTTGAAACAAAGTGACCCCAGAGGATTTTCAGACTGGGAAACACTGCCAGAGGGAATACACTAAATTCTGTGATGCAAACCACCTGGAATTGATCAATTATTGTGAAAAAATCAATTTTTTATTCGAAATTTGAATAAATCGCCATTGCGAATATGAGGAAGTAATCTACCGGTATTTGAAAATTTTAGATGTGAACTGAAGGCATGTAAAGAATTTATTTTTTGATTTTTAAGAACTAAACTTCATACGCAATGGAAACGATATTTAATACCAATTGAGCAATTTATCAGTGAATTTATTGTTTAAAAATAAAATAGATGACTCTTGATATTATAATTCAAAACTCAACAATTTTAAGTACCATTTAGTTAGTTGTTATAGACTTTAATTAAAAACATAGGATTCCCTTTAATTAAAAAAAAACAAAGAAAAAAACTATGATTTTCAACATGAAAATAAAATGATATGAGATCACCATGAATGATAAAAAAGTTCATCAGATTGCTCTCTAAATAATGATGCCAGATTTTTTGCATTCAAAATCGAAAAATATAGGTATTTACCAATGTTCACATCAATAATGCACAATTTTGGTAAAGAATTTAATTTTTGAAACAATAATAGCTGGTTTGAATGTTTAATAACAAATCTTGTTGCCAGTAAATAAATATTTTATAATAGATATAAATGTAGAATTATAAAAATCTGGCATCACTAAAATGAGTGAAAAAGTCAGATGATCTTTTTTTCAATTAATCATAAAAACATTCAACAGAAAAATATCAAAATAGCACCATGGGGGTAGAACTAAACGAAAATAAAATATCTAAAACAGCGATAAAAACATCTAAAAATTGGTTATTATAATAAGAAGGCGAGAATATATTTCGATGAAAGCTTGGAGAGGAAAATGCACAATTGATGTAGAAGCATTATTTTCATCTTAGAGTTGAATTTTGTGGTGGAAATCGCAACAAGGAATTTAATAAATCATGCTTTTTCGCAGAATCAAAAGTATGGTGCGATATGATATAAGGCAATTGTACATAGTTTGTTTAAATTGGCAAACGAATTTGGAATAAAAAAAAACGGAATACAAATACTAATGGAAAATTATCTTATAAAGCCGTGAATGTAGCTTGATAAACATTTCAGCTGAAAAAAATCATTTCAATTAAATTTGATTCAGAAATTCAGGAGTTAAAATTTTGAGAAAAAAATTAAGAGGTAAGTAATACATATTTCAGGACTCCATAATGTTGAATATTTCGTTAAAATAAACAATAGTATTTCTCAAAAAAATTATGAAAATCGTCACAATTACTAAAAATCAATCTAATACACAAAAATTGTTGTAAAAATATTCATCACATTTACAGAAATGGGTGACAACAGAAAAAAAATAGTTAAAATCAACAAGATTAATTTTTTTATTAAAATGAACAAGAGTGTTTTTTCATCGTAATAAATTTCGATAATGTTCTTCTAACAAGAAAAACAAACAAAAAATTCTATTGAAATTTTAAAAACATTCAACTATGGTGATTGTTTATGTGAGCAGGAAGAAAATCTGTCAGGATTGCCAACTTCATTTTTTCATTTCCACTATCTTTGTTGTTCAGCGATAAAATCGTGGTAATTATTTTTTTTCTAGATTTTTTTCTGCTTCCGCTACCGCCCTGAAATTGAATATTTACGAAAATATTTTATTTAAATTTCCGCAAATGGTGGAAATCATAAAGATTAAACGATATATAGACCAGTTTTTAATAAGTGTAAAACTGGTACACCCGTAGTGTGTGTACCAGGTTAGGTCAGGCCATAATATTATTCCAATTTCCTTGTTTTAGTTCTATTACGAGTTCAGGGACTGTCTGTGTTAGCCAAGTGAATACACCCCCTGTCCATAGGTTCCAGTCCCTTCACACAACTTGATGTAAAATAGGCGAACAAAATTAGTTTCTTCCATATTGGTACATACACTTCTGAAGCGCCTAAAACTTTCCATTAAACAATTTAAGAAAAAAACCTAATAGACAGTGCTTGGGGTTCCTAATTTACCAAACCTATCAATAGATCTCAATGCCTCAAACCTGTGTCAAGTTTGTTTAAAGTGAGTGTGCAAAATATTTTTAGGAAGAAAATTGTGGTTGACTACTCAAGATTAAAGACTTTAATACGAACAAGAAAGCATCAAAGAACTTTCAACTTTAGAAACACAAGAATACTGTAGAGCGATGGTTCCCAAGCGAGGGCCCGTGGCTCACCAAGGGGGCATAAAGCAGCAGGGGCCACCATGCCAGGCGCAAAACTGATTCTACTTTTCTCTTTACAATAAAATTACTTGCTCTTCCTAGATTCATTGCTCGACCAGGTTTTATCACAAGGTGTATTTTCTTGAGCAAGAATTGTTTAAACATAAAGAGATTTGGGATCTACTAATAAAAATAACTCTATAAATAACAATGGAATGATAAACAAGGGGTCATGAATGCTAAAAACCTCCGAAAGGGGGTCACAAGCCATGGGAAGCACTGCTTTAGAGTCTACCCAGGCTGGGCATGGAAGCTGAACCTGCGATGGCAACATTGTTAAATCCAACATGGAACTCTAACTAGCAGATTCTAATTTGAGACAAGCATTTGACTGTCTTTACAGTGAATGGTAAGTTACTAGGATATACTAATAACATATAGAATCAGTGTCTAATTCACCGTGTTATTTTCACCTGTAACAAGATTATTGCACCAACCAGGCTATTTTATTCATATTTTTTACAATGAATAAACCTGTTTATATTTTCTAAGATTTGTAATTCTACACTAACTAATTCTATCATGCATTTTGGCCTTAGTAAAGCAAACATGGCCAACAGTAGGAAAAAGCATGCTATGAATAGAAAATATATTAAACTAAGTGCTAATATAAATTTATGGATAATTAACTAGCAGGGAAAGGGACGTACCCAGAAGGGAGGGGGGGGGTTTGCGGGTAGAGTTAGTGGTCGAGGCCACTAGACTAACCTAAGGGCTATCGAAACAATGAAGAGTTATAATATGGGATTGCGTGTTGTGTTTGAATACAAGGTAGCAAATCCCAGATCTGAAATTCTTAGTGAAAAAAATTGAGGTTTAAATTTTATTAGTCTGGTAGGCCCACTTACATCAATCCAGTTTGCATTAATTCAAGAATTCAAAACAAATATGAACACGCCCATTATTTAGTAATAAAGGATACGACTACTATACCACAGTGCAGAGTGTTAGTACAAGAGACATATACATAGCTTGCTACTATGATAAGACTAATGAAAGTGCATTGAACACTAAACATGCTACATAGAAGTTCAGTTTCTCTTTTCCCCCAATAATATTGATAGCTGAGAAATAAGGTGCCAATAATGCCAGAGGAGGATAGAAAGGATTCATTATGTAAAAGGCATTGATTGAATATTTTGCCTGTTTGGATTCTCCAATTCCCATAGTGAAAAATAGAGTAAACAATTTATAGAATCCTGATTACGATACAAACTATAAACCATTTCTTTGTGAATTGTGTGTTTTACGCATGTACTAAAAAATAAAAGCAAATTCAAAAAATAGTGAATTTTTATTACGCTATGTTTGCAATTGAAGTAATCAGAAAAGTTTGGACTTTTATTTTGATTTTATAATAAATTTATATTAAAGCCAAACTTGGTGCTATAATTTGAATAAGTGGCAATTAATCATCATTAAATTATTACTGATTACAAAAGACAAAAAATTAGTTTGCATAAAAATTCCAGTGCTTATATCAGTGCTTACTTGTTATTGAAATGACAATAAAGATTGTATCAATTGCCGAATTTGTCCATATTGAATCAATAAAAAAGGCCAAAATCGAGAGAAAAAATGCCCAAAACACACAATACCAAAATCTGATTCCCAAATTATTAATTAATTATTAATCAATGGAGTAATAAATTATTTAGTTCGAATTAGAACAAACCCAAAATAATTAATATTTAAAAGAGAAAACTTCTTATGAGAATATATCAATTAATTCAACTGATTTATCACAAAAATTTTATTTTATTCAGCGTGAAGACTCGTTACCAATGATTTGATTTTGAGTGGAGTACTTTCAAGTTTTTGAGTACTTTCAAATTTTTTGAGTACTTTCAAATTTTTTGAGTACTTTCAAGTTTGAGTACTTTCAAGTTTTTGAGTGCCCAAAAGATTAATTAGATCTGGGTATCTCAAGTTAGGCATGAAGCGATTCTCTGAAGCGAGTCTTTGGAAAGGGCGACGGATCAAGAAAGTTTGAAAATCACCAATTTAGAGAACTAAAAAATATATCGCAGGGAATCCAAAATATCAACAATTTGAAATCCAACCACTGGCATTACTGGCACCTTTTCGATTCCCATATTTCACCCATCTTACCCCAATAACTCTTGTACGTTGACTTCCGTGTCTTCTGAACCAGCAGTTTGGCCGGTTATGTCAAGTTCAGCTAGCGTTCTTTCTGCTTCTTCTAAAACACCTGATTCACCCCAAAATTTTAGTTGAAAGTTTGGTTAGTTGTTATTGAGTGAAAAATGAAGCATAGCATGCGCGATTTGTAAAGTTTGGAATTTTAGTTCGCTTGTAGAAGAAATTTGATCATGAATGCAGACTGGTCAGCAGAAATAAGCTTTTTTTATTTTCTCAATAATAAAACCCACTTTGTTCGGATGTTTAGAAAAATTAATTTGTCTGATAATCAAATTTTTTAAATCCTTATCGTAAATGTCAATTAGAAAATATATTGAAGATATAGGCAATTTCTATGTCAACTTATGCTTGTGACGCAGCTTAATCAAAACTCTATTTGTGAAATTGCATTGAGCATGCCACACAAAAATACTGTGGAGTGTGGTGACCAACATACAGATTTAAGTTTAATTTCCATTCAAGTATGTCGATGAAAGCTAAATGCTCTAATTAATGTGTTCAAAAAATCACCAATTTTCATTTAATTTAATTGGAATTGAGTTGTAATTCAGAAAAATGCGAGAGAATTATCATGGCTACTAAGCACAGGCAACCAATCAAAGTTTTGCATGATTAAGCTATGAATGAAATATATTATGATGAAACAATCATTGTGGAAGACAATTGGACGATAAAACACAAACACAATGGAACGAATTTATCAATGTGTGATACATTTCTAAGCGAGTTTCATGAAACATAGAGAAAGTACATTATAGAGTATTGGAAATCGATTTTTAACCAATGTTTTGGCTCTTTTACTCATGTTAATCTTCTCTAGAAAGACTAAAATCTCCAAAAATTTCTTAGTTATCTAGGGCCAACACCATGCAGCACCATTCATTTCAAGGAAAAGCGTTAAGTAGATTAATTAGCTAATAATTAGCTAAAGTCACACCGTTTCTGGAAAACCAATACTAGAAAACTATTTTCAAAATAAAAATTCCACTCTTACAAATTCTGAAACTGTCTGGTTTTCTTGACAATTTCTTGCAAAATAATTTCAAAATCAACATGCCACAGCAGAGTGCTGTTTTTGTGACAAAAGCTTTTTTGCAAGAAAAACTTGATAAGTTACATGCTTTGATAGCAATCTGTTATTGAAAAATCAAACACTAAGAAAAATATCACCCACAATAGGCTGAGTTTAATTTTCAAACCAGATAAAACCGGTTTCAACTGGATTTGGAATTTAATTTTTAAACCAGATAAAACCGGTTTCAACCGGATTTGGAATTTAATTTTCAAACCAGATAAAACCGGTTTCAACCAGATTTGAAATTTGATTTCGAACAAGATAAAACCGGTTTCAACCGGATTTGGAATTTAATTTTCAAACCAGATAAAACCGGTTTCAACCAGATTTGAAATTTGATTTCGAACAAGATAAAACCGGTTTCAACCGGATTTGAAATTTCAAAGCAGCTAAAACCGGTTTTAAGTGGATTCGGACTTTAATTTCAAACCAGATAAAAACGGTTTTAATCGGATTTAAAATTTAATTTTCAAACCAGATAATACCTGTTTCAACTGAATTTGAAATTTGATTTTCAAACCAAATAAAACCAGTTTCAACCAGATTTTTATTAAACGAAAAAAGCAGATTACTCACTCTCATGTTTGGCAACATGATCTGTATCATCTCCTTCGTCTTCTTCACTTTCATCACATAACAACGGTTGCTTAGGTGATGATGACTTCATAGCAACCACTACAGATCCTTCTCTCTTTGGTTCTTTAGTCGGTGTTTTGTTTTTCTTTTCAGGAGTTTTACTAATGGAGGTTTCCTGGTGATAGAAATTATTAACACTTTGTTAGACTTTTAAACTAGTTTTTGAATGTGGAATTAGAAATGGATTTTAGATTGGTGGTCAAAGGGTCAGAGTTATAAAAACGTGTTTCTCACTGAATTCGTTTAAAGACGGTGTGACAATAAATTTGAATAGAATTTTTTTTACAGAAATTCATTCTTTTTTATTCACCGATAGGTTTGGGTATTCCTGTAACAAGTTAATAACTATTTAAACAACCATTTGATCATTAACGTACCTTGGCCTTCTCAGCATGGTTTTCTGGGCTCTCAACCTGGGCCGTCACAAGCCTCGATGGAGCGATTGGGGCAATTGGAGTTGATGGATCAAGTTGAACGCGACAATATGATTCAACAGAGTTGCATTTTGAAAGAGTAAATCTTTCGTACTCGGATGACGAGAGGAGATAAAAACCTGAGAATAAATAATGAGTACAATTTATCTAAGATGTTGGATTTAAGTTAGATTAAAATTATAAGTTATTTAGGTATACTGGAAAAGGGAAGCTGATAAAACGGTTTAACAGTATGGCGGAGCATGGCCTCTTACTCGGTAGTCAAACCCAAGTTAGAATATAGTAATAGCCAACTAGTTAATTGTTGCAGATGCATGGACTTTGCTGTGGAAAAAGCAGTATTAGCCAAACGATATGTGAACTACCCTGCGACTACGAGTCCAGAACTAAACATGATCATCAAGAAATTCAAACCGAAATAGGGAAATATGTGACGATAAGCTTGTCATAGTTGAAGTCGTATTGAAAAACTATCAATACTCTAAAAAAAAGTAAAAATTCTACAGAAATTAAAAAAAAATTAAAATAATCCATAGTATGCACCAAAAAATAAATTATCAAAACTATTGTAAATATTAAAAAAATTGTTTGAAGCCAAAATCAAAGCTAAATATTTATCCAACCTAAACGCGAAGATGATTATAAATTTTCCATAATTCACAGCCTATATGACGGTGAAAATATAGCTAAATAAAAGCAAAAATTTAAAATGAATCGACAACAAAATGCCTTACCTTGGCCACTAGATGTCAGTATAGCTGAACTTATACCGTGTGGATCATCAGCACCAATGCATGAATAATGGACTTGAGGTCGGAATGACGGTACAGCACTCATTACTAGGATTTCACCTGAAACAAGAGAGCAATCATCACATATGTGAACTTGGAGGTCTCGGATCGATACCAGTACAGTCTAAGATCATGGAGTTTGTTGCAAATATCTGTGGACAAGTGTTGTAATAATTTGTCTCAAATAAAGTATGGACAAGAAGATCACGCAACGATATCCAGAATACAGTACCCATCTTGTTAAAAAGATTGGCAATAAAGACAGAAGTAGTCAATCGGAACTGAATGAAAAATATGTCCCCTCAAAAAATAAAACAGCAACATTTTTCGTGGAGTAGGACTCAGAGCCGAAATAAAAGTATAGCTTTCTAATGACTTCTTACGTCTATTAGTACTGAAAGTGTGAAATTGATTGGCGTATTAGTTGTGAATTAACAACATTAATAACAGTAACAACAATAACAAGGTCCATTTTGGCAAATATGACCTCCTGGTGAACAATCATTTTATAGCATTTATTACTGATCATGTTCCACTAGCACTTGCCGCTCTTTTCCTACACTTGCTCAATACTCTCTTGTAGGTCTCCATGTCCAATAAAAACCATGACACCTTTACACTTTATCATAAAAAAGATGATATATTTCAAATTATGAAAGGAACAGTGCTCTTTATTATGCAAAAGTAAATGGTTCTGTTAAAATTATTCATCATAAATGAAATAAAACGTAAGCAAATACACTAAAAGCTGACCTTGATTAGTAAGGCATACAAGAGCATATTCATGGTAATCAGGATTTGAGTCGGAATCGAATCGTGCATGAGTGACTTTCCGTACTAAAGATCCATCGACAGCAGTCAACTTTAATTTTTTCCGTGCAGATATTTTTGGTAATGTGAAAACTTTAAACTGTTCTTCAGAACTGAAAATTAAAAATATTTGTCAATTACATTTGAGCGGATGAATTATGATAGAAAAAATACAAAAAAAATATATGAAATATACAATAGGAAGAATCAGTCAATGGTGTCACAAAGGCTATAAAATATCATTTTTTCGCATATTTTAAAAATTTTCATTCAACTTTAAGTTCAGGACAAATGTTCTGCAGTAAGTACATATTCTTTTCTTTCAGCTTTTATTTAATTGTCTATTCCATGTACAAAATTTTCAAGTAATAAGCAATCATATTTGAATCCAGTCAGGGGACTGATGAAACTCCTGCTTGCCAAGCAAACCACATTCATCATTTGAGTTATTGAACTTTATAGAAAATAGATCATATCTGATTTAACTATAGATGGACTATATGGGCTAAATCCAGCCCATTGGGTAATTTAATCTGGCCTGCCTGATGCCACCAGCCCACCACAACCAAACTAAAACCAAATTTTGATAAATTTATAAAAGAAAATATAAAAAATAGCTCAAGGAATTTGTTGAGATTGCGATGAAATTTAGTTACGGCAGGAGACTTATTGTTTTCACTTTTGCTCTTGTAACACTTCATATTCCTAAAATGTGACTTTTTTACGTCACACTTACATGGCCCGCCAGACTAGGTGAGCAAATATTTTCGCTCCTGATCCGAAAACCTTTCCCGCCCATGCTATAGACTGTATTACTGGGCCACCCTCTCCTCTAACTTGACAATAGAATCAAATCCTAAAATTTCTTTAAAACAAACATAGCTTAGCAAAGTCAAACCTTATAACAAGGAAATGATGAGCTGCGGCACCTTGCGCTGTACCATTGGATGCTTTACCGTGTGACATCAGATGAACTGGTGATCCGTGAGAATCAACAACTGTTACGTCAATTACCGGTGCTCGATGCATCAGTTGAATTTCTTTACCTGGAAATATATTGGATATATAGAAATTATGTGTTCTAAAATATAATGATCAGATGAGAATTGGAATGAAAGCGTTTGAAACCAAAAGGGTTATTCAACATGATCAATCATTCCTTCATATTATTGAAAAAAGGCTGAATATATTAATATAAATCAAAAGTTACATATCAAAGTTTTCAATACAAAACTGATTATCACATTTACACCAGATACTTCCAATTCAATACAGAAAGTATGACATCCAACAAAAAAAGCAAGTATGAGCAAGATTCTGACTCTTACAAATCAAAAAGTTGTACTCCAGAAGTGTGTTTACCAATATGGAGTTAACTTATTTTGTTCGCAGGGGGTATATTCACTTGGCTGACACAGACAGTCCCCGAACTCGTAACAGAACTAAAGTATGGAAAATCGGAATAAAATTATTGGCTAATCCTAACCTGGTACACATACTATGGGAATACCAAAAAGGTATAATCATTTCAGATTATTTTCCTACTGTGCAGTAAAAATCAGAAGCATACAATAAGAATAAGCTGTTCTTTATGGAAAAAAAAAGTTTTTCATTGTTCAAAGTACTTGGTTATTTAAAGCATGCCCTAAGCATGACACCTTCTATTCAATACCGAACAGTCAACTTACCTAACAGAGAAGTTACTTCTAGCTCTTGTCTTTTACTGTAATCAGGAATATCAAGTCCGTAAACATAAACAGATCCGGTGTTTGTTCCTGCCCAGAATGTCGGAGACAAACTGACGGCTGAGAATGTGAAATAACAAAATGTATGTATTTTGTAGGAAGGTAATAAAAACTGAAATCTCAAAATGCTTTAATTTGGAAATTCATTTAAACAAAAAATTTTGTCTTATAAGCACAGGGTCTGGGAGGAAGCCACATAAAAAAATACAGATTTTCCAAGTAATAAACATTGAATTTAGCTAAGGGTAGATAATTCATATAGCAATGAGATATTGGGTAGAATATTGGCTTCAATCTAAACAACTTACTATCTCTTATATAAGTGGAAGCAAAATAAATGCATCGAATCATTCCTGTCATTCCTTCATCAGACGACCTTGCTTCGACCTTGCGTTGTCCTGCAGGTGACCAAGTACCACTAGGTGTCTCTTCTTCATCAACAAGAGCGGCATTAGCTTCTTGAAGTTTCTATAATGTCAGAATGTTGAATGAAAAACTTTGTGATTCAATTTAGCATACATAAGACAACTAGCATTTAATATTAAAGATGCAGATTCACATCCGATATTGCATATAAAACTAAGTCAGCAATCTCAATTTCTACTCGAGAGGAATTTTGGTGTTATCTGGGAGAAAATATTTCTATATATATTCAATTTAGTTTTGCTACATTTTTTTTAGCTTTTAGTATTATTGTAAAACATATTTATGGACATATTAACAATTTGAATTTTTTTTTACTTTTGACATATCACCCCTTCTATAGTTTCGTCTTCTGCCTGATGCCCTTCGTTTGGAGCCACCTCGGCCTTTAAAACTACCACGTAATCGTCGTATTGATTGTCTGAGAGACATTTTGAATGATTTAGCTCGTGAGAAATGTCCTTCCATTGCAGAATTATCGCCAGTTTCAAGCGTACATCGACTGAGAACACATTTGTTCTAAAAAAAAGAAAAAATTATTATAATAACTGGAATAAGTAAATACTAGATAGATAATGGCAAAGATGGCTTAATAAAGAGCTGATAATAGGAAAGTTTTCATACAACTTCGTTATAAAAAAAATGGAAGGAAATAGCATGAGAATAACTGGAATACCTGAAAATCTAGGAATTTAAAAGGCCCTTTCCCTAGCTTTTTTGCATAGATAACTTTTTTTTTACGACATCACAATAACGTCATAGAGCTTGCCAAATACTCATTAAATCATCCGAAATGGCATCTGCCGACGATGAAGAACTTACTAACGTCAGCGATCTCTCTCATATTGGGATCGTCGCGATGAGAAAACGAGAAAAGTAGTCGTTCGATTTCGCGTGTGCGGGTGCGTCTTGGATGACATTTCGTATAGTTTCAATATTGTTGACTTGTGCAACGCTGAGCGGCCGCGCATTGGTATGCGCGTGCACGAGAGCATGTAACCCGCATGTCGAGCGGATTGGTCGCACCTATATGGAATGGACCCATAGGTGAGTATATAACGTAATGAAATAGTGATTAGATGATGATAATACCCATGAAATATAAGTTGAAAGGTTGTGTATAATATATTATTCATTCATATGAGTTTCCCATACTATATTCCATTATGGAAAATAAAAAAAAATCTGATTGTTTTCATATTAAGCCACAAACACCTTTACGTCGCTGTTTATTCCCGCTAATCGTGTGCCATGTAGTCACGGCGACCGTTTCAAAAGCCTTATCACAGAAAATTCAGAATTTGCAACCCTTTCTTTTAAGAATCCTTGTTGCAACCTTGGGAATGACGGTAACATTTTTTATTGTTTCTATTTTATTAAAGATTAGTTTTAATTTTCTACTGTTTGGAAGCTTAACAATGTAAGCATCTCATCTTGTATATTCATCCGAATGAATAAAATTATACTAACTTGTTGATAATCGAACAAAACATATCCATGACTTGTACCGAATCCAACCAATCCCCATTGTGCCTGGACATTTATTGCTGTAATACTGGCAGGTGGTTTGGCTTGAACAACATTGTTAACCTGGTAACCTGAAAATAAGATACGATTCGATAATATTTTTCTTATTTTAGTTCTATTACGAGTTCGGGGACTAGCCAAGTGACTTCTGTAGTATTTGTACCTAAAATTATGGCCTATCCTGGTACACATACTAGGTTCCGGTGTCCGCCATCTTGGTACACATACTACAGGAGTACCGAATTATCTTAACAGTTTGACAAAACAAACAAATCTTACCAGGATCCATAGATAGATGAATATCCTTTGGGGTCAATTTTTCGTGACCTTTCCATGTGAACCCTGACCTTTCGTTTAAAATGTCGACTTCTTTCGTGACAAGTGCTGATTCTATTGCATCGTCTGACAGTACGAACACAAAAACCTGAAAAAATAATTGGATAATTAATAATATTAATCAGAATTAATAACTCATATCATAATCAAAAGAGTCGATATGAAAAAATCAAGCAAAAACACTGTGGAAAAAACAGTAACTTTCTTTATTATTCTATAATCATTTATCATGTCTTCCCCCCAAACAAGGCCATGTAAGTTTCCACTGATTTATAAGGCAATACCCAGGTTGGATCCACTAAGATGAGAATCTATCTGAAACATCAATCATAGTCTGCTTTGTAATAGAAACAACCAACCTGTCCAGCTGTTCCGCCGGCTACAATTGTACCAGTTTGTCCACACATTGCCAATTTTCGGATTCCAAGTTTTGGATCGTCAGAATATGGATCAAATTCTCCAACCTGTGAAGTTAAATAGTCAATATTAATGATCATGAAATATGAAATTCGCTTTACCTTTGTTGATATTTCATAAAAAAAAACGATAAAAGGAAGGTCACAATCACTCACAAAAAATAACTTTGAAAAAGACTGATGTAACTATAAGCTGGTTTAAACCCCTGACTCCTAGACAAGGCTCTTCAAACTGGAGGTACCGATGGTGAGTCGTGTGAGGGCTCAATCGGGGCCGCGATACCCATTATTCTCAGAGCTAGCCAGATTTTCTCTTCTTTCCTTTGGTGACTGTACATTTGAACCCATGGGTTAGGGTTATTATGGGTTTAAACATCCGTAGAACAAAAAAAATTTCCATGAATGCAATAGTATGCAGGTGCAATCGTCGTGGGTTCAGATGTACGTGGTTCAAATGTACACAGGTTCAAATGTAATGGAACCCTTTCTTTTGCCTTGACTCATGCGTGTGAAAAATCATGTCGACGCTATCTTATTTCAAGGCAAAATATCGATCAAATTTGAGAGATCAGCACTGAGATCCACCATTACCGAAATAGAACCAAAATATTTTGTGGGAGAATATGTCATCATATCATTCTCATTAAAAGTACCAGAGAGAAATTCACCAAGAAATTTGGGTGTGCCAAATGGATTGTAATGGAAAAGTTCGAAGAAACTGTCATAGAATTTACATGTTGATATACTATTATCATGGGCACGTGTGTGAATATAAGGTTACACATTGTATGGAAACCTAGGTTGAGGCGAAGTGTACTTATGGATGACTTCACAAAACTGTTGTCATTAGGCCAAAAGTTGTTTCACTGAGCCAATTACTTTCAATTTTTCGTCAAGATGGAACTCGTTACCTTTACTATTGTTATACTCTCAATTTGAATTGTTAATATAACCCCGAATTTTGAATATTTTAAAATAGCTGGCTGGACACCTGCGATTCAACAAACAAAATCTTACTTTTCTGAACGGAGGATATTCATCTTCAAATGCATCGTGATCAATGTTGTCACCGTCAGTCACAAACAAATATGCAGTGAATAGTTTCATTATTGGTGTCATCGATACTGATGTCGCGTCCCAGAACTAGAAATTGATGGAAAAACAAAATTAGCATCCAAACAATCTGCTTCTTAAATGAAAATAAGAACATTTATGTAAGAAAATCTTAAAAAGTATACTATTACGATATTAGAGTAGAAAAAGTAAGTTACATGTTTCAAGATGACTCTGTCACAGAAAAGTCCAAAATGAATTCAAAAATGGTCATATTTGATTTAGTGAAATCTTAAAAATTTCGTTATAGTCATTTATATTTGATGCTCAGGGAATAAATTAGATTCTGCTTCTGACTGTGTATAAAGTATAATCTAACTTTTGCTTTATCAATATTTTCTGCTAACATGACCCAATTTATTATATATCACAGGTATTCCAAATTCATCAATATCATTTTAATATAAATTTGTAATAGTTAATCATACAATTTCGATCATCCACACCCTGCTCTAATACAGCTGTTCTTAACCGGGGACCACAGTGCAGTTGGAGAGTAGTCACAATGTTAGGCGGGAAACTGATTTTATATTTCACTTTACAAGAAAACTCCCCTTCTGCTTAGTTTCATTGCTTGATAAGGTTATTTCATAGGATGTTTTCACTTTGTTGAGCATGAATTATTTGAACATAATGGGGTTTAGAATCTACCACCAATCAAAATACCACTATAAATACCACTGAAATGATGAAAAGAGGGCCATGAATGTTAATAAAAGTCTCTGGAAATGGGCCGCAAGCCATAAAAGGAACCACTGCTCTAATAGTTGAAGTCGCAAAAGCCAGTGAGATTTGTGTCAGAAAATTTCTGCAATGTTGAATTGGACTAACATGTTTCTATGAGCAAATTGTTTTTCACGATAAAAATTCAACTTACTTTAATTGTACCATCTTCGTGTCCAGTCAATATAATATCTCGATCAGCGAAATCTGTTACTTTTGTTTCCAGATTAAATCCACCGTCTACTGGCCAATACTGAAAATGATGAAAGGATTATGAGACACTGGGTGGAGCAATCAATCGTTTTGCAAATTTTTTGTTGGAGCCGTTGTTTCCGCAAGTAATGGACCAACTTTACAGTACTTGAAAATGTAAGTCGCTAAAAGGCTATCAGTTTTCTTTTTCGAATTTCCTCAGAGTATACCGAATTTCAAATTCATCATTTTTCAATGCAATGTGTACTTGTAATGGTACTCCCATGGTATGTGTACCAGGTTCAGGTTAGGCCATAATTCCATTCAGATTTTCCTTATTTTAGTTCTATCATGAGTTCGGTGACTGTCTGTGTTAGCCAAGTGAATATACCTCCTGTCCATAGGTTTCAGTCCCTTTACACAACTTGATGTAAAATAGGCAAACAAAATTAGCGCCCTTTTAATTGCATTCAGACTAAATTATTCTCTTTCATTCTGCATAAAATATCACAGTAACCCACATACCGAATCCAGAGCGACATGTTGTTTCTTTTTATTCTTTCCATCAACAGCGTTTGCACGTTTTGCTGCTCCTTCAATCTTTTTCCAAGTTTGACTTGACATTCCTATAATGGTCAAAACATGTAGCCAAATTCAAATTTGAAAAATTCTAAAACAATATCCAAATAATAATGAAAAAATGGGGGAATAATTTTCATAAACATTTTGTGGCTACTGTAGCACACTGGAGTCGAAAATCATAATAAAAGGATCTTTTCACAAGCTTGAATTCATAAAAAAAATATGTTAGTCACAAGTAGTTAAAGGTTGGGGTAAAAACAGTTTTGGCATTGCTGGCTGAAGATCTCAATTTCGACCCATGTACCCTCTTTACCGAAGACGTAAAAATTTAGGAAAGCATTGCCGATCCAAGAAGATTCAAGCCCCTGGCTCTTTACATATGTAGTGATTTTAATCTAGGACTTCACTCGTAATTAATAAGGTGCAAAAATGCTCGAAAAAAACTTCCAAGCAAACTCACCTGAGATATGAGTTGAACAAGTAATAGCCGAAGAATGTAATGAGGCAAGGTATGGTGGAGCCATAGTTGGCCATCCCTCTTTCGTCAGGTCAATTGCAATCAATTCTTCTTCAGCAAGAATGATCAGATATTCAGGGTTTTCGTCCTCTGAAAATAAAGATGAAATTGTACAAAGATGAACATGAGTTGCAGACTAAGATTAAGATTAATCAGGTATTCACAAAGAGACTTTATAACATGCAAAATTATATATATTCAATAAAATGATGCTTAATTATAGAAATAATGGTTAAGTAATGTTTTAATCATTAATACTTGAAGATTAACTGGAGGATTCAAAATTAGATACGTTCATTCAATAAAATGATGCTTGATTTTAGGAATAATGTAGAATAAATCATAATTGTTGAAATATCAACGCAAATTGCACACTGATACCATAATTCGTGAAGGCGCAAAGAATTTTTAAATAGTCTCGTGTATTTTTGATTGAAAATCGGACAAAAAATAGGCTCATTAATGATAAAAAATAAATTACACAAGAAATACATGAAAGTGATGCTCAAATATATGGACAAAAAGGCCAAAACGAAGTAGTACGGGTATGCAATCAGTCACAGTAGACTACCGGTACTGCAGTATTTATGACTTCGCATGACCATCAGATAGCAACTAACACATCAGAGCCTGGATTCACCACAAGGTTCGCAATTCTCAATTTCGATGACGTCATCGCACACAAAAATGAATCCCATAGAGCCCACAGAAATTTTCAACAGCGAGATGAAGAAAAATGGGAATAACAACATAATAACAAAACGATCCTCATGTACACTTTTGTGTCCAAGGAAAATACTGATTGTGCAACTATACTGGCAAACTAACCTTCTCTTGAAGAATTTTCACATACAAGAAAAAAGTCGATGATGCGTGAGGTGATGTCAAAGGTCACATGATCTCTTCCGCAAATGACGCTAACACAATGCCGATCTCCGTAATTAGCGCGAGGCATCCCACCACTGAATACTACAAATGGTTGCCTGAAAAATATAATCAGGGATGAAAATAAGTGTAAATAAAAAATGATAGGAATGACTTTATCCAAATTGCTTAGTAATTGAGATTTCTGCAAAATAATAAATTTTCTCTTTTATAAATAAAAATATAAAAATCTGAGCTAATAATTCCTATTCCGGAACCATTTAAAAATAGGAAATATAACTGAAGCTAAATTCTATAATTAACAAATGACATTTCACAAGATGGCATACATGGAAGCTACCAATGTCAACAGTAGCTGATATGAAGGTTTTATATGATTGGGCAGTTGCTAGGAAGTGACCACAAACAGGAAACAAAATATTTATTATCAACATAAAAGTTTAGTAATGCGTTGGTGAACATACTCAGATTCAATACTGAACAGTAGACTAGGTTTGATGTAAACAAACAAAATATTCAATTTGAAAATTATAGTTAGTGTTATAGTCAAAAATAACTAGCTAACGATAAGCTAGAAATAACAGATAATGCAGCGAAAATATGTTTTATTTAAAAAACTCGATGAAAATACGTGGATGAGACGTAAATAAAGAAATGAATAAAAAGTTTTGAAATGTAAATATCCAAAATATGGCGGGGAAGATTGAATCTAATCGATATTTCCATTTTCAATTAGTTTCACGCCCCCTCAAAAAATTGTCTAAGGCCCCTCTTGAGGGGCGAGCCCCACCATTTGAAAACCACTGTTTTAAAGTGTAGGTTCCAAATATTGTTATAACGGTAAATAAATAATAATTAAAGAAATTTGAGGACTAATAGAACCAAACCTAAGTTTGTTTGCAATTCCAAAATCACTATAATAATAATTATACTAGTTAATGACCATAGCAAGTTTATTAAAGTTTTAAGTGCCAAATGCTATTTATAAGAGAGCACTTGTGATACACTGATATGAAGACAAGGATCTATTAACCACAGCACAGTGATATTTATGTTAGATATTATACTTGGGTTATTTATTATATGCGCTCAAATACAGCATCATTTGATAAGACATAAATTTTTTTGTACAGAAAATTACCCAGAGCAAGGTACTGCACAACCTGCAGAAAAAAGGACCCAAGTGAGCGAGTTTATTGCAGCGTTGAAATGTAATGAAATCAAAGGGAAACTAGCACTGAGTAGAATGTTTGATGTTTGTTTGAAACATGAATGACTGGCTTCACAACTCAAAAATAAAGGAGACCAATCCCTTAAAAGTGCCATGAGGTACTATATAACATGACTAGGAAAAGAAAATTATATTTTGCTATGGAATTCCGAAATTAAGAAGTATCTTAACCTATATAGGCATATTTTCATTATTACTAGGCAACTCAAAAATTCTCAACAATAAGGAATTGGATAAAAAACTACATTCAGAGCTCAAAGTAAAGGAGTGATTAAGTGACTTTCACATATTTTATTTTAGCGTTTCGATTGATAAAGTCTGACTCACTTATACAGTGTGCCTAGCATAATTACTTATTTGAAGTATTCCAACATCAAAATTAAATGTTGAATTGGTAAAAATACAGAAGTTTATTTTATTATTCTCCGAGTTCAACGAAACCAAGTGCTTATATTATGTAGTCTAACAAACCTAAGCTATGGTAAACCAACACAAGCTACTTAATTAAGCTCTAAATAAAATCACAGCTACTTACGTTTTTGAAGTTTTCCACATTATTTTAGTGATGGCTTTGCATGGAAAGGGACCTGAAATATAAACATTTACTATAATTTTCGATACTCCTGTAGTATATGTACCAGGTTAGGGTCAAGCTATGATTTTATTCTGAATTTCCTTGTTTTAGTTCGATTACGAGTTTGGGAACTGTCTGTGTTAGCCAAGTGAATTTACCCCCTGTCCATAGGTTTCAGTCCCTTTATACAACTTGATGTAAAGTAGGCGAACAAAATTTTCTTACCTCTATATTTATACACACACTTCTGGAACGCCAAATTTGTAGTAGAATGTTCAAATTGGGACTTACCATAAGGAATGTTAGGTGAAGGTACGACATCATTATTATTTATCTGCCATGTTAATAGACTTCCATCATTATGCGCCGTCATAAATTCTCGACCGTTTGAATTCCATGAAACAGCTTCAAGTTGCTGAAAAAACAAGTTGAAGAAGAGAATTATGATAATGAAAATGATAAACCAATATTGTTATTACAAGGATATACAGTATGCTCAAGTGTATCTAACATCTGTGCCACGTGCACTATTCATTTATGAAGCTATCTTTTTATCTGACTCAACGCATACTAGTCTGACAGGGGCTGCTTGTCGACTTTCTCATGTGACCGACTGACTGCATATAGCTTAGCACTGCTGAAGTTGTTTAAATATTCTCCCTAACATTTTAATTTTTGTTTTTTGCGTACCGTAATTAAGACAAAGTTAGGAAGTGGCCAACCATGGGTCATGCAAAATTACAGATTAGATAAATCTCTCTCCCTTGTGTCACAGGCAGGCTGTAGAGATTTAATCAGAGTTTGGAATAGTTTGGTAACTCTCTAATGATAGTGTAGTTAGAGCTGAAATCTTATTAATAACCTCTTCGGAGCTGGAAATTGCAGTCAAAATTGTGAACTCTCCAAAATCAAAATTTCAATATTTGATGGTGATCAAAAACACTCATTTAAAGAAGGCTTGGATGAAGTTTTTGTTATTGAAATTCGATTTTCTTGAAGCTGGAGTCGGAGTTAAAAGAAAGTATAAAAATCGGAAAAAAACCAACCTGATTTCCTAAGAAATATTTTTCTACGTTTTGAGTTTGATCATTCCATAACACGACCAATCCTCTGCTGTATCCTATTAATACCAGGGTAGGATTCTGTGGATGTTCCTCAATTGCTTCAACAGGTCCCAAAGCTTTGCCAGTTTTATAGCTTTCAGGAATACTGTAAGATAAAAGAGTTATTGTTTAACGCTAGTTCATAACAAAATCTTAAATGGCCAAGTGGTGGCCTAATGATGCTGTTAACCCAAAATTTGAAGATCTAATAAAGTGGGTAGAAGAGATCTCAGTCATTTCAATACTCCAGAAGTATGTGAACCAAGATGGCGGACACCGGAATGTAGTATGTGTACCAGGTCTGAGTTGTGCCATAATTTTATTCCAATTTTTCTTATTTTAGTTCTATTACAAGTTTTGGGACTAGCCATGTGACTCCCGTATTTGCACGTGTAACAATGGCCTGACCCTAACCTTGTAAACATACCATATTCCGGTGTCCGCCAATAAATTTTAATAAATGATTCATATTCAAATTACTAACCAGACAAAATTTATTGCTTTATTAGGTAATTTTGTGATAATATTTTGTAACACGTAATTAAAATACAGAAAGCCACAATTTGTCTAGAAAGGAGAAAATGTCACTATTTAACACCTACTGTTATGATTACTCTTCATTTGCCCTTAAGCAGTATTCAACTACCGGCTACATTTAATACTGAATAATGTATTAATAAAGGTTTAATAAATTCTTGTGGCCTAAATATACAACTTGAGTTTATTAAAATCAATTAGAGTTCCCTTGTATATTGTACAGGGTGTTCAACTGTCCATAGTAAAGTCTCTTTACAATTTCAAGTTTGTTATGAAATCAGTTCTTAATGTATATTAACCAGGTTCGTTGTTTTTTAATAAGTAATTGTTTACATTTTTACTTTATTCAAATCATCTGCGAGGGCCGAAATAATATCGATAAATTCCCTTTGCAACTTTAAAAAATTTAAGACTTTATGGAAACCTTATACTATGTTAATAATTTATCCCTGGAATAAAAGCGAGACTTGACTATATTTGGTCTTGTGTGTTTTGATGGGTGTTGTTGAAATGGGATTTGTTGAGTTTAACCAATACATTATTCGTTTATTAGGAATGAGTTGCATATATGAAAAGTAATTGATGGGGTTATTGGGCACTAGGTCGCACCAGTGGTTCATTCTGCAAGCTTGTCATTGTTCTTATTTATGTTGAGATTATTTGTATTGTTGTGTGAAAAATCAGCTAATTAATTTGAAATTTTCAGTTCTTGAAGATGTATAAAGTTGCTAGAATGATATTATTTTTATTCTATTTTTTTCAAATTTTTCTCAAATCAGAAACTTGATATTTCACTCTAAATTTTGCTGGTTTCTTATAATTTGTGCACAATTCCTTTATCACGTAGAATATTGTTGAAATTGCAATGGCTATATTAGTCATTCAATGTTCATAGTGTCTTCAAGTGTCCAAAATTAGGCAGACAACTAAAAAAGTGTGAGTGGAAGCTACTTAATTATTTAGATATATGAGAAATCAAGAAACATTTGACAATTTTGCTTTTTACCGAAGGCATCTAGATACAAACTGCAACTAAAAGTGTTTTTTGAGTTCCAGTCATCAGATTCCATGGAAGCTACCAATGTCACCAGGGAGGTTTCAAGCCAACTAAGATGTAAATGAGCTTTGGACTATCAAGGCTGACTGAGTTTCAAATAAAATATTTATAAATTATAATTAATCAAAGGTTTTATTTAGAGACAAACACACGCTTTTCACAATAAGAAGTCATTGTCCACAGTCATTGTCTCACAAATATTTTATTTTAGCTTCACGTCCCCCTCATAAATCGTCCTCGCCCCCCCTTCAAGAGGCGCACTCTACCATTTGAGAGGCACTGATCTAAAAACATTCATATATTTCCCTCAAATTACATTCTTCATTCCATCCCATAACCTACCTTTGCATTACTTGATCCTGATGAATAATTCCCCCATCTCTTGGTTTAAAGTCTGGGAGAGACAACGGATAGATCCCTCCACCTTCTGTACCAACCCACATTACATCATTCGTAGATTTGATCATAACTTCTGTGATTTGATTGATTCTGTGGAAAACAAATGAAAGAATTGGTAAATCTTTAATATATTTTACATGAATTGATGAAAGAATGTGATGAAAAGAATCAAGGATGTCTAAAATGAGTTCAATATTCGCCATTTTTCAAAATAAGTTACTGCATATTAGATAATAATTTAGGTATGAAAATAACTTGAATATTTATTGAAAATGTCATTTTGAGAATTGAAATTATTCTATCTAACAGTAAAATTAAAAACAGAAAGGAAAAGGCCATTTTTACATTAAAAAAGAGGATATCTCTATCAAAATTCAACGATTTGTATAAAATAAATTGAAAGAGTCCCAATTTGGGACAATATTTTATAATCGAAAATTAAAACAACTATTCTCTCAGAATATAATTTGCAATAGCAGCTTGCAATAGCTTGAATAAAATACAACATCATTCAAAGTATTTTTTGGGGTAAATTTCTCCAAAAGGAGAAGTGTAAAATCACCAATACAATGAGAGCTATATGTACCGTAGATGAATTGGTGTCAGTTGAAAGGCTGTCATGCAGTGGCGTACCTGGAGGGCCAGCCGCTCCGGGCATTTTACTCTTACTTGACCTTTAAATCTATTTATTCTCACGTATAACAACATCTATAATTTGTTTATACCCCAAATTTGTTTTAGTTAGGGCAGCATTATCAGAAACTCGCCAACGCAGCAGAAAAGTTTGACACGCCACTGCTGACACGGGACTTGAAACCAGTCAAGTTAACTGTGTCAGAAAGGCTAGGTTGAACAAAACACAGCAGATTCTTATTAATTGCTAGAATTATCCTTACTGGAAAGCAAATCTTGTTGTCCTATGATACCAAAATGCTTACTAAGTCAAAATCTTAGGTTTTGCACAAAAGCAGTTATTCCTGTACATAAACCCTATTGTTTCACAGTTGAGAGCACAATCAATTTTGCTGTGATGAAAAGTGTGATTCGTTCAAGCATGGAAAAGAATCCGTCAATCAGGCATGGGCCATAAAAAATACTTATTGAGAAAAGTGTAATATCATAAACAATACTATTCTGTTTTGTCAGGACCAGCAGACCATGACTGGCTTGCGGCTAATTTTGGGGAATTTACTTCAAGGCATTTGACATATTAAGAATTCACTAGCTTCGAACATTTTTCAACGACAAATCAAAAATAAAAAATGATGAGAAAATATTCAAACATGATTTTCAACTATTAAATTAACAACCTGTGCTAGTACGTGGGTGATAAAAAAGGGGCCATATCTCAAATTATTGTTGAATACAAATAAAATAATTGTGCTCTAAACAGAGAATATCACGGCAATAAACATCGAGGATTGAGAAATACTCGAATGAAAATGAATAAGATGCCAATACAAATAAGTCTGCTAGGAACCACTCACTATGTGTAGGATACAAATTCAGCTTGATTATTTCAATGAAGAAATGCATAATCCTCTCTTATGATTTGATCTATTTTGATGGGAAATAAAAATGAATAGGATGGCAATACAAAATAGTCTGGTACCACTCACAATCACAATGTGTATGACACAAATGTACTTCTAAGCTTGAATTTTTAAAAAAAGAAATGCTCTACCCATCTATTTTGATTAGTAAAGAAATCTTACCCAGGACGGCCAGACAGCTGATATGCTCCAACTTCCACAAGTTCTTGTGCCCCTTTCTTGTCATCTTTGATGTTTTGTAATTCCCATAAATGCATTGTATTATTGTCCAGTATGCTGACAAGGCGGGCCTGTAAATTTGCATTATTTAGGATTGAATTTGGAAGTGGTAAGATTCCAACCACAATAGCTAAAAAGAAGACATTTGCATACTATTGAGATATGCCATTTCTGTCATCCTGTTTCTATGCCTTTTCTCCTTACCTGTATCCAACATGTTTGTGTCATTTGTTATTTAATATTGGGGTATTTAGTTGTATTTAGATCTTTTCTAACAGTTAGACTTGGATTAGGTTAAACATGTTATGCTCCATTTGTAAACATTGGTTTTATACAAAGACACTCAAGTTGGTGATCTGTGAAGAATCTGCTCATCAGACTTTCCAAAAAATACTACCAAATTAACACAGAATATATAAAAATAAAATGACTTGTATCATGAGTATAAAAAACTATATAAAAAAAATTTCATCCTATTTTTTCCTCATACAGTAATCAAATTTTTTGCAATATGTCACAGACTGTTGTCACCAAATTTACATTGAATATCAATAGGTTATTTATAGGAAAGATCAGGTGAAAAGACAGATTAAAAATATGGCTAACTAAAGACCGTAGACTGGCTACCAGTCTGCACCAGTTACGGGCTCATGTGGGTCAACTTGGAAAGAGGATATATTATGGATGATATGAATATCAGCCACAAAAAACGGCACATATTTAGTTTCATGGCAGTCATCCAAGATGTGATGACAGGTATATTCCCCAACACTAAGTCACATGACCAACCTTTAGCACAAAGTTCGGCAAAACATGGTGTAACCAAATTACACAATACACTGATTATACATGACTATGTATACACTAAATAATATCATTTCATTATCACTGTGTGCTCTTTGATCATGGTCAAAAAGCAAACAAACTAACAGACAGAAATTTAATAACAGTCACCCAGACATTGTTTATTTACAAATTTGTATATTGTCTGAGTGCTTCATGCTGTATGACCGTGATTATTGTTGAGACACAACTTTAGTCAATATGGAGGACGGCTTGTTATTAACAAGAATTTTTATATACAGCACTTATTCAAGCCTTTTGCCCCGAACAAGGAACCACTGATAATTAATGATATGATGTTCGATGTTGTGGGGAACTACAGTGATAAAGGAAATATAGTGTGTGCATAAAATCCTAAAATTTTAACATTGCAAAGGGAATTCATCAATACCATATAGGCATATATTGTTTTGGCTCTCAAGGATGTAATAAATGAAGTAAAAATACAACAAACCTGGTCAGGTTATATTGAGAACTGACTTCGTAACAAAATTAAAAATTGCAAAGGGACTTTATGGACACTCTGTACTATTTAAAAAAACTTCACCAGAGAATTATACGACGCATCAAAAATATGGAAACGAAATCTTTCCAATCTATCAAATTTTAAATATGATTTACCTGTATTTCACAATATTTCAAAAAAGTTGTAATTATTTTAGTAAATGGCACAATAAAAAACTAAAGGCTTATTTACTGTATCATTATTTTGTTACATACATTTCATCGTCCGTACTTTGAAAATATAAATTATTTAATTTTGAAATTTGATAAATTTACTTCTGTAATGGAGAGTCGAAAAAATCCAAATCCTACTGTCTGAACGTGACAGTGATGGTTGTCCAACAGTAATTAATTCTAAACATAATCTTGTCTGATAAATCAAATCATGTCTTCACGACTTCAGGCAATAGGTCATATTCATTAATTAGGACTATGAATCAATGATCTATGCAAACCGTGTTTTTCCAGACTATGATGGTTAAATAACCGGTATTCCTGACCGGTATGTGAACCAAGATGGAAGACACCGGAACGTAGAAGGTGTACCAGGTTAGGGTTAGGCCATAATTTTAGGTACAAATACTATGGGAGTCACTTGGCTAGTCCCTGAACTCATAATTGAACTAAAATAGGGTAAATTGGAATAAAATGATGGCCTAACTTAACCTGGTACACACACATACTACGTTCCAGGTTTCCACCATCTCGGTTCACATACTTCGGGCGTACCAAATAACCTATATTCCCTAACTATGCTTGGAATGGGATTTCAAGTGTCAAGTTTGTTTAATGAACCCACCCAGAATGTCAAAGGTCGGAAATTTTCAATCCCAAATGCTCTAAGTCCTGATAATATATGTCAACAAAATAATTTGCAACAACAATTTGACACGGAACTCTTGAATTTCTTTCATAGAACACTATTGAAACACACTTATTATATGATTATATTCATGCATTTGATTACATTTAAACAATATACTTGAAATAACATGGACTCTCAGAATTGATAGTAAACTTGCGGAACTCCTAGCCTAACCCCTGGGCTTCCCACAGTTATCAGCGGGTTATCCGTGTAAAGCACTGGTATAGAGACTATTTTACAGTAAAATTTAAATTGTCAACTGGAAAAAATCACAGTATTTGAATATGGATATAGGAGTAACTTATTATTTTTGATTCAACACATACCAAATATGGATATTTCATAATGTGTCAAGTATTATTTTAGAGCTACAGATATAGTACATTGTACTTTATAACGAACAGCTGTGGAATGACTTCCAATGCCAGACCTTTGGAAGGCATATCTCAGTATTATTAAATATTTACTGTGAGCAAATATATGAAAAGGATTACATCATCATTTAGAGTCTGGTAATCTGCCTATTCGACTTTGTCAAATATCTAACGAGATCAAGATTGTTTATTAGGTTATTGAAGACAGATTTGGTCCATATGCTCGTATATGGCTTTGAAACTGGTGGACTACGATAGAAAGATAATAAATAATTAAAACAGAATCGGTTGTTTGTCTAATTCTATATCAAATCAATGAATTTGACAATAGTTATAATATTACTACATAATGATATGAATTTTGAATATTGATTTAAAAACAAATCTAAAATCAGAATTGTAAAAAAACAAAATTGAGTTGATTTTATTATATCCAACAAAGACTGATGTATATATTTTGAATAATATTTCAAATATACACGAAAGTAGGTAAAATCACTATATCGATTTTTTGGGGGGTATACAGGGTAACCCCCGTCCCCCCAAAAAAACATTTGGAACATATTCTACAGAAAAAAAGAAAAGTTTCTTATATTACTGAAACTTTTGGGTACAATCATACACAGAGAGAATCCTAATTTTTAAGGAAGATATTTATGGGAGACTTCTCTCTATAAGATGAGTAACAGATTCCTATAATTGTAATTGAATTTGTACTCTGCATAATTCAGTGAGTCATTTATGCATATTGTGAGGTCATATGACATTTTAACCTTTGTGACAACACAATAGTAAAATATGCATCTAGGTCAAATGTATTTAAATTATGCATCACATAATGATGTAATGAAGATTCCCAAAATGTTTTGAATATTTAATTGCGACGAAAGTTAAAAATTTATGTTTTAGGAAATTAGTGGTCACGGGTGTCGAAAATAATGGAATATTGGAATACTTGTATATAACTATATATCACTTCTAATAATGAATGATTTTGATTACGAATTCAGTTTATACCAATCGATTATGATGAGACAAACGACAGTATATTAGTTGTATTAAACAAACATACACAGCGTAAAAGTGCACTTCACGCCTCTTCACACACAATAAAAAACAATGTTCCCAATGGCAAAAAAAAACAGAAATTTTTGAGAAAGAAATTGAAAAAATTGAATCGTCAAAATAATTCATTCTTTTTTACTATTTGAAACTTAATGATGAAAATTTGCTTAACAAATGAAGAGCTATTGATGGTAGGAAAAAAAGCATGTTATTTGCAAATTGATGGTAACACTAAACTTAACAGAACATTTGTAATACACAGTTTGAGTACCCGGTATTGACAAAAGGTCACAGTTGACTGAGTTATCAGGCTGCTACTGTACACGTGGATGATGATGCGTGGGTGTTGGGCCATATTTTCAACACAACATTGACGATGCAAAATATCAAAATCTGTTCACACAAAAGTGATAAAATGCAACACGCATATTAAGCAAGGATAAAATCTTTTTCCCAGAGACTACAACGAAATTAGATTTTAATGGCAAACAAGAGCATTTTTCATGAATTACAACATACATTAGGGTTTATAGTAGAAGGGGAAATTATGGCACAAAAGGGCCAAACTCAAAAAAGCTGTTTTGAGAAAATGAAAGAGTATTGTCCAATATTTTCAATCTCCAAACTTTTATTTGAACTTTGCATTGAAATACTTGGTGAATATTGCTTCAAACTACGATTAGATACTAGCTTTAGGAGCACCTATTTTTACTATTTTCAATCAAAATTTGTTTCATTTTGATTCTCTCACTATTTGTGTGTTTAATATGTCTTGAATTGACAATCAAGGAATCAGTTCTTTTATTGAAACACATGCATATATATCAACAGTTTACATTCTTATGTTGAATACTCGTGATAAAATTCTCATGAGCGAAGTTTACGATCCACGATCCTACGATCTAAATAGAATCCTATTATTTAGATGTACATACTGCAAAAATATATCTCTAGATATAGATTGATATCATGCAGAAAGTCGTACTAAATTTTTTCATGACACAGTCTATGTTAGCCAGTGAATATACCCCTGACCATAGGCTTCCGTCCCATTACACAACTTGATGTAAAGAAGGCGAACAAAATTAGTTACCTCCATATTGGTACACATACTTCTGAAGCACCCAATTTTGTTTTGCTTGGTGTAACTGAACTCAAATAGGAATAAAATTGACTTTATAAATCATTCACCCATTATAAATACGATTCAATTGTTTAAAAGGAAAAAACTAATCTATTAAATCCCCTTAAATCAATAATAAGAAAAATCATGCGCATATTTAGTTAAGAGATGTTTCGATGATTCACGATTTTGACAGTAAATTATTGAACTATTTGAAAAAAATCAATATGGTACAGACAAAACAAACGAATTTCTTGGAATAATGAACATGGTATGAACTACAGACAAAAATGTAATAAACAAGACTGTCACAGATCGATGTTGTTATTCAAAATTATGTTGGCTGCTATACACTTGCTTGCATATAAGTTCAATAGATCAGGGCTCCCCAAACAGGGGTCGCAACCCCACAAGGGGCTCGCAACGAATTTCAGGGGTCGCAAAGAGACACCAATTTCACACAAAGTACTATATCTAACTTTTGATTAGAAACACAATTATTAAAACTAGTGAAAAACATAAATCTAACTAATCCGAGTAAACGGTTATAAATTTTGTAAATGTAAGTTCATCAGACAGTATCCACCTCAATGAAATTAGTACAATCCGTACATATATGAATAAGAAGAACGAAATTAAGCTAGACGATGATTTGAATATCTGATTCTAAATTAACTTTGACTTTAATAAATTGGAATTGAAAATAAGCAGAAATCCAATCCAATTAGACTGGGTAGCCAAAATACTGAAATTTGCGAGAAATAAGAAAAAGGGTATAAATGCAATACAGGTAAAAGTATCATAATCCAATTCAAGAGTCTTGCAGCACACTAACACGAATGTATTTCTGTAACGTTTCGTCTGACCAGGGTCAGATTTCCTCGGACAAGCATTATTCAACTATGATAAGAAACGCGATGAAATGTACATAAATAATGGTTAGCAATTTCTGGGTTAGTTAGTTTTCAATAGAGAGAAATAAAATTGGGGACAGAGGAAAGCATGGAAATGTAGTTAACCCCACTGATAAACCAAATAGTTCAAGTATTCTGTTTTTTCTTATGGCCATGAATATGACTATAATTGATTGACATATATCTCACTAAGGGCTGTGGAATCGAGGAAAATTTACACCAGACCCCGAGCTATACTCTGGCTCCAAGACACAACTTGATAAAATTTAAACATAAATTCAAGAATTTTGATACCAACTCCATCTCCTAACTCGCAGAAAAATTTGGATAAAAAAGTGAAGTTTCGGCTTCTCAGCTACAAACATAATGCTAGTGTAGTAGAAACATGTTAAACTCGACTTCAGTCTCCAAATGTCAGGTGATTAACAATGCCTTTCAAAGTGGCCATTACATATACGAAGCCATAGACCAAATTCAAACCGAACCTACCTCTCCTGTAAGGAAATGCAACTGAACAACTTGATTGGTGTCATCATGAAGTCCTGTAAATTCAACTCCTGGTGCTCCATATCTGAAATGTTAAAAATATGATTTTGAATAGATTCAATTCAAAGAAAATATTCAAATAAATGTGAGTTTTTTTTGCTATGCCAGTACATCAGATGTAACCATCTGACAAGAGGATATACTGGGTGGAAATGTCCATGTTATTTTGAAATACCAAATTTACGGCGCTCCAGAAGTGTGTATACCAATATGGAGGTAACCAATTACATTCACGTACTTTATATCAAGTTTTGTAAAGGAACTGAAACCTATGGACAGGAGGTACTTGGCTGACAGTCCCCAAACTTGTATTAGAAATAAAAATAAGGAAAATCGGCATGAAATTATGGCCTGACCCTAACTTTGTACACATACTATGGAAGTACCAAATTGACTCATGATAAAATCAGGTAAAATTATATGGCTGTTGAATCCTCCACCCAATCCCAATTAGTGATCACTTGAAACTAAACTTATAAAATAAGTTTGAAGGTAGTGATGTCTAGAACGAATCAAGTACACAGGTATTCAAAAATTTGAGTAGTCAAATTTAAATTTCTAAAAACTGCAAAAATGCAAGTAATCAAATTACTTTCCTGCAAAAACAGTTACAACACATTGAATATTCATTTGATTTCTATCTGCCTCTTGGTGGACATGGCCAAATACAGAATGTTTCATACTTGTATATAATTTTGTAATAGATAAGGAATGATAGAATATTCAGTTCTGGCCACCCCTAGTCTTTCTTTGTAATAAAAAACTTACATTTTAATTGAACCGTTTTTCAATCCAATGGCCATTAATTTTAACTTCCTATCGAATGCCAGAGCACTAGGTTGGTTTGGGAATCCATGCTCAGCCGTCTGGAAAATAATTCAAAATTACAGGTTATCAAAGGCTATAGTGACACGGAACACTGATTTAATCCTACTTTGGTAGCTTCTAGGGGTTCTGTTAATTTGAGTCACGTAATAAAACTATCTTCTGACAAATTTTAATACAAAACATGCTCATCGATAAAAAAAATTCAACATTTGTACATTAAATAATTTTAATTCAGAAATAACATCATATTTTTTAATTAATATAAACCATGACTGTATTATTGAATCGCCAAATTTTAACAGAAAACAGTACTTTCTTCAACCTCTTTAGCTATCAAATGTTTAATTTTGAAAAAGTGGAATAGCATTTCAACATTATATCAGCAAATGGATACTTATATCTTAACAGTTTGAAAGAATCAAACTGTTTAATTTCTTTTACGAATTTTAACAGAATCATGAAATTTATTAATAACTTTCCCGAAATATCATTGGTTTCAAATTCAATTCTAGCTGAATTTTTGAGGCAGCTGCAGGGTTTTCAATCCAGAGGCCAAATTTTGCCCAACTAGACTGGTGACATGAAAAGTTACATTTTATGAACAATATTTACAGCATTACAAGAGCAAAAGTGGGAAACAATAGGCCTCGTGCAAAAACTAAATTTAATCGCAATCTCAACAAATTCCTTGAGCTACTTTTCAGTTTACATATCAAAATTTAGTTTAGTTTGGTTGTGGCAGCATCAGGCAGGCCAGAATTATTTACCCAACAAGCCAGAATTGGGTCACAGGTCATAGTTTGCCTATGTCAGGTGTATCCTAAACCAGGGGTGCACAACACAGGGCACGCGTGCCAAATTTGGCACTTCATACTCTCAAACGTGGCACACGAACGGTTTTTTAAAAAAAAATTATTTATGATATATATACATTAAAATCAGCAGTTTTTCAGTGCATTAAATTGTTTCAATATATAGATATTCGTTATTAAGTATTGTTATTGAAATTTCTTTAATGCGTGTTTTACGGGAGTTAATTTACAATACCAACGATTGTGTGTGGCACGCGACAAGATTATTTTGAAAAATTTGGCCCAGGACCTTATTCGAGTTGTGCACCCCTGTCCTAAACTAACATACTATGCATAGAGATACCTTTTTGAATTCAAACAGCTCATCTTTTATTTTTTCTCTTTGTGGATCGTGATGATGACCTTTCTTCCATTTCTTAAACATGATGAAGAATGACAAAATGAAATGAACTTGAATAAATAACTTTTTCTTACTTAATTTAGATAAAAACTGAACAAAACAGAGTCTGAAAATATTCCAAAAAATTCAAACTGAAGAATTAACAAATGAAACTGACATTAAAACCACTGCAACCAAAAATGAGTATAAAAAAATTCATAATATTTCAGTCCAATCAGAAATCCAAGAAGAAAAACTTTCGAAATATTTATTGCTGCTCTAAAGTGAGTATTTGCAGATTGGAGTGATACAGTCAGACAGTCGTAACAGGCAAAAGAGATATTTTTATAATATTAGGTGTCAAATCTATCTGTTTTCTAAAATGAAATTCAATATGGCTCAAAGATAAACAAGTAAAAATTATCATTATGAAGGAAAACATTTTTGTTTGGCGTTATTGGAGTACTTATACAGTCATAGCATTCATCTCCACACCACATTTGTGTTTGTGGGTATTCAAGCAGTTACGGCGTTTACTTTACAAGACCCGAGATCGTGAGACCGTCGGGCAAATGCCATTTCGGATGGCCGTTGGTATACCGTACTTTGGCAAGCTCTATGACAGTATAACGTGATTGTGACGTCATAGTGCAGTAGTGACATAATTTTTAAATGGCATAGTCAGGTGGGGGTTGTATGTATGTATGTTTATTCGTCTAGTAATAGTGATACATAAATAAATGAACAATTATTATTAGGGTTAGGATCACTAAGTGCAAAAATCGTTATGCTACTTCGACTAGAGTACTGTACCGTACCGTTCTTTAAGACTTTAGGTACCAGTACAAAACTACAAAAAATCCAAAAATTTCACATCACATTTTGGGGTCCAGTGAAGTAAACCTTGTAACTGCTTGAATAATGCGTATAACAAGAATGTGATGTAAAATGAACGCCGTAACTGCTCAAATAACACCCAACAATAATGTGATGTGAAATTTTAATGTAAGAAGATCGAAATTAAAACCTTGTCTCAAAACGTCGTCGTTGAATATGCGCAAAGGTGGATCGTCCATTTTGAACTTGACCCATCTGTCCTCCCGTCCTCCACAAGTACTTCCAGTTGGCATAGCATACCGAATTTTACATAAGTTATTCCTAACCGCCACCTGACTATGCCATCCATATAAATTACGTCACTACGACGTCACGTCACCATCACGTCATATGGCTTGCCAAAGTATAAATTACGATCGCCCGAAATGGCATCTGCGCCGCCGTTAACGAACTCGCTAAAGCCGGCGATCTCTCTCCTATCGTGATCGTTGTGACGATAAAACGAGAAAAATAGCTTGCTCGATTTCGGATGATCGTCTGCGTGTTGTGTACGACCAGCCGCATACTTTGGTACCTTATAACGCCACTGTGACGTCGAAATGACGAAATTTTCTCGGTGACGTAGTCAGGTGGGGGTCAGGATTGACATATGCAAAAATTGTTGAGCCAGGCCAACTAGAAGTGCACGTGGTACTGAACTATACCAGACCCTCGAGTTGTCCGCCTCCCTTTTGTACCATGCGTTTAGGGGTTTTGTGTTCGCGAAAGAAGGACTTTTATTTTTAGAAAAAAAAAATGAAAATTTGGGTTGTATTTTCACATCACATTTTGTTTGGCGTTACCTAAGCACTTACGGTACTGCGTTTATTTCACGAGACCCCATTTTTGCTCGGGGTTATTCCAGTATTTTAAAATGCTACGCTGTTTACCTGCAGACTTGGCTACACTCAGATATTTTTTTATTTTATCTCCCCCTAAATAAAAGCAAATCTTTTCCCAGTACCGTACCGTACCCTATAAATCTGGAAATGTAAAATCTGTAAAAATTCTGAAATCGCTGAACGAAGCACTATTCTGTTACCGTAATTGTTCGTCTTCAGATTTTATCTAGACTCGGGCATTAATTTCAAATAGTTATTATTGCAAAGTAATGGTATCAGTTACTTATAATCCAAAAAATGCCTACTATGTACGGTACCGAACGTAACTCCCTCTGTGAACGTCTAAACGTTGTACACATCATACACTTCTGCCAGGAGCCTTCGGCGAGAAGCGGCGCGGGCGTCTATCGTCGGTTTGCGTACTCCTCACGCAACGATTACTCAAGCGTAACGACGTAAATGACGCCGGTCATCAAAGTACTTCATTAATATAGAGAGAGAGAGAGATTTATTATTTGTGCATTATCGTATTTCAAGCACGCTCAAAAATACCTTCTTACAAGCCCATACAATGTAGTATACAATTTTCCAAAACTTTACGGCAGTTCCGATAAAAATATTTTTAGTTTATCATGAAGAATTTTACCTACTTAAACCTGGAACCTAACCCCAAATCCACCAAAACTGTATCCATAAGAAGAATGTTCCAGCTTACCCAATATTTGTCACTATCGGAAGAGCCCTGCCATACGGCCACACCTCAATGGTTACGGCCATTGAGGTGTTATATACATCTCAATGGTTACGGCAGCAAAGTACCGGCATCTCGCCGGTATCATCAAAAAGTCAGTCGCTGTGGTTTGACCATAGCGGTTTGGAAATTACGTCATGGTTTTGCGGCAGCTTCAGACGCCACAAAACTTCCCAAAACTGCACTTAGACAAACTAGCTGTCCACCATTCGAGCAAAGTAATTGAAGTGCAGATAAAACGTCAGAGATTACGTGGTCGACAGCTCATTTAATTCTGAGACGGATTGTTTAAAATTCCCTCTAGTCTCAGATGAAGCGCTTCAAATGGAGGGACCATTGGCTTATGCAAAAGCAATGTCAATGGAAAAATACTCTATGTCCAACGAGCTGCGCTAAGGATAATGTCAGAGTTTGAGTCAGCATATGTCTACGGATATATATGTGTTTTCTACCTCAAAAGACGTGAAATCAAAGCATTGATCTGTTCTGACTGACACCCATGTCAAAAAACTGCTTCGATTGGTTACAGCGACATACTAGCCAAATTTAAAGAGCATTGTTCAATCAAAGGAATGCCAGAAGTCCCACTAAGTAGCATGCATACCAATAAATGGCTTGTAAATTTTTGTCATTAGCATGTCGGTTTGTGACATTTACAATCAACTAGCAGAGCCGAATAAAGGTAGGCTATATTTGATGTTCATGTGTGTTCTTGTTTATATAGCGGTGTCGGTATATAGCTCTTCGCGGTAATAAAGTACCAAATGCGGCTCTTGGTTTTGACTGGTTGGACACCAATGGCTAAGCGTAACGTCCGCTCCCGAAGTATGTGTACCAAGATGGCGCACAACCTGAACCCTAACCTGGTACACATACCATGTTCAGGTTGTGCGTCATCTTGGTGCACATACTTCTGGAGGTACAAAAACGAATGTAACATGAGTGAAAAGGCCTTCGAATACGGGAAACACCTGCCAGACTATTGCACTTGCGATTACATTACTGCCCAGAATTTTCTTTTAAAACTCCCGACACCGGAACTCTCTTTCCTGTAAATACGAACCATTAAAATATTAGTCGAACTAAGTGATGACCGCGACATCCTGTTATTGAACCGATTCCATTCTAGTACTTTCGACTTCATTTTACTAACAAATGTGAAACTATCATATTTCATACATGATTTAAACCTGACATGGGCAAACTACGGCCCGCGGGCCAAATTCGGTCCGTTGGGCAATTCAATCTGGCCTGCCTGATTCTGACACAATCAAACTAAAAGCCAATTTTAATGTTTTATCTAGAAATAGCTCAGGAACTTTGTATAGATTTCGATTAAATTTAGCACGAGGCTTATTGTTTTTCATTCTTGCAACAATGTGAATATTGTTCATAAAATGTAACTTTTAACGTCACACTTACATGGCCCACTAGTTTGAGTGGGCAAACTTTATGGCCCTTGGTCCCAAAACCTTGCCCACCCATGATTTTAGACATTTCCTTATTTTCAATTTTTATTTTATTCGTTACAAGTTAACAATCGTTTAGCACCAAATACGTTTCAGAAAAATCTTGCTGATTCTAATCTAGTTGCCAAGTAAATGTAATCTTTATCAACCTGAATTGATAATTTAAAAGCGTTTACTCGTCTACCACTTTTCGGCAGAGAAATCCCTGGCCGGACAACAAAATTAATTCAGCCGCTCTCCATATTCATAGCCCGGTACCGATATTTCTCTTGCGACATCAAACATAATGTGTTGTCCTTCAGCGCGAGAACCCCTGAACGCGGGATGCCATAATTTATCCAGTCGTCCTATTTTCATATTATAAGGAAGTGGTGGATTGTCCGTTTTCAGAAAAATTCTATTATCCTGTTGAAAAACAATGATGTTGATTGAAAACAGAAATATTATTTCATTAAACCCTAAATAATGTTACGCGAAGTAAAATACGCACTCAATGTTGCAATTTGGATATTTCCTGTTTTTGACAAATTTATAGCAACTTTAGTCATGACACATGCTTTAAAGATGTGACGGTATTCTCGAAAGGCAAAAAGTGTAGAACAAAAATATTAGCGTTGAATTGTGTAAAATATATATAACGGTTCAAGATCATCTCTCGAACCCCAACCACAAGTGCTTATGGCCTCCAAATGACATGATAATGCCCTGGCAATAAAAACTCACGAGCCCTGCAGCCATTCTGCAGACACAAACATGCGTGATAAATTGTCCAATTTCCGATCTTGTTGAATTGTCGAATTTGGGCGATCCCGTAGTATGTGAACCAAGATGGACGACACCGAAACATAGTATGTGTACCAGGTTAGGCCATAATTTTATTCCAGTGTTCCCTATTTTAGCTCTATTTCGAAATCGGGGACTAGCCAAGTGACTCCCGCAGTATTTGTACCTGAAATTATGGCTTGACCCTAACCTGGTACACATACTACGTTCAGGTGTCCGCTATCATGTTTCACATACTACGGGAGTACCCAAATGTGATCTGTTATTGCAGCTATGATTCCGCTATGTTTCAGTCGATCAGTTATTTCAAGATCATTGTTAAAAAATCCCAATATCTGCAAAAGAATCCCAATAATGCATTTATTTTCGTAGAATAGAAAATTGAATCAACATACTTTGCGCAATAATTAGCTCATATACCTTGATAATCCGGG